GGGCTTTCGTTAGAGGAGCTTCCAAAGTCCAATACTTTCACAGCCAAACTGCCACCAGACCCTGCTTTCGAGACTCCCGAGATCTCTCATGGAGCTCCGAGGGAAGCTCTCGGCCCGCGCTTGGTAAAAGGCGCCCTATATACTTTTGTTCGCCCCGAGCCATCCATGAAGACGGAGCTTTTAGGTGTCAGCCCAAGAGCAATGGCAGACTTGGGATTAATGCCAGGAGAGGAGCTTACTCCTCAGTTTACAGCGGTAATGTCTGGTAATCACTTTTTTTGGACCAAAGAGAATGGAGGCATTTACCCATGGGCGCAATGCTACGGAGGTAATGTAAACCTTTCAATAAAGTTATTCGCTGGCCGCGGTTAGTTAACGATGCGAAGGATGGCAATTGTACGTTGTCTTTGAACCTACACCACGATGCGGAAGTTGACAGAATACAGCGGCTCATGGGCAGGGCAGCTTGGAGATGGGGTAAGCTTTGTTGTCTGGCCTTACTTCGGACCTGGATTGACCTCAAGCAGCGTGCTATCAGCCTATTCGAGAGCACCAACCCTAATACGTGTGTCCGATATGAATTGCAGCTCAAAGGAGCTGGGAAGACACCCTATTCACGCTTTGCAGACGGAAAATCAGTCCTTCGATCTAGCATCCGCGAGTATGTCGTGTCGGAAGGTAACAAACTGACAGCTGCGTAATACTATCCGTCTAGCTAACTATGAACATAGCACTCTCTGCGCTTGGTATACCGACTACCAGAGCCTTGTCGATTACTCTAATGCCCGAGTCAAAAATTTTACGCGAGCGTATAGAACCCGGAGCTATAGTGGCCCGGTTTGCCGAATCCTGGCTGAGAATAGGAACTTTCGACCTTCTCCGCGCACGCGGTGACAGGGATCTAATCAGAAGACTAGCTACATATGCAGCCGAAGATGTGTTTCACGGCTGGGAATCTCTACCGGCTGCAGTACCTCTAGGTAAAGATCAACCCACCGATGCGATTTATAATCCAGCAAGAGGCGTACCGTGGAACCTGGTTCAAAAACACGAAGGAGTCGAAGAAAATCGGTTTGCAAGGCTGTATAGAGAGGTCGCACGACGAAATGCCAAGACTGTGGCTGCCTGGCAATCTTATGGCTTCATGAATGGAGTATTGAACACCGACAACACATCAATCTATGGTTTGTCGCTTGATTACGGCCCGTTCGCTTTCATGGACAACTTTGATCCCCAATACACACCAAACCACGATGACCATTTGTTAAGGTACTCGTACAAAAACCAGCCAACTATTATTTGGTGGAACTTGGTCAGGCTTGGAGAATCCTTAGGAGAGCTCATTGGGGCAGGAACCAAAGTTGATGAAGAGAGCTTTGTGAAAGAAGGGGTAACCGAAGATGCTACCCCAGCTATTGTCAAACTCGCAGAAGAAATTATTGAAAGAACGGGTGAAGAGTTCAGGACTATATTCTTGTATGAATACAAGCGGTTGATGGGTGGAAGACTAGGGTTAAAGACTCAGAAAGAGTCAGATTTTCAGGACATCTTTTCAGAAATGCTAGACACGTTGGAAGCTTTAGAACTGGACTTCAACCATTTCTTCCTGCGGCTTTCTCATGTACCGATCAGCGCCCTCGATACCGAAGAAAAACGGAAAGAAGTTGCGCCAATATTTTTCCACAACGAAGGGTTTGGCGGGGTCGGGTACACAGAAAACTCTGCAAAGGAGCGCATCGCAAATTGGCTCGAGCGCTGGAGGCTGAGGATTCTCGAGGATTGGGGGCCCTATGGTGACGTGGAGCGACAGAAGGCTATGAAAACAGTAAACCCAAAGGTAATTTTCTAGTCCCTCGAAAATTTAGTCAGGTTACCTCTCTAACGGTGCAAATTCACTAGTTCTTGCCTCGCGGGTGGATACTCGACGAAGTTATTGATCGAGTAGAACGTCGAGGAGATCGAGATATCCTTGACCGCGTGATGCAAATGGCCTTAAACCCATTCAAAGAGGATTGGGGCTGGAACAAGGAAGAGGAGGAGCGCTTCTGTGGAGATGTTCCTCGATACAAACGGGCCATGATGTGCAGCTGCAGCTCTTAAGCATTTTAAGTCAACGATCATTCAATTATATTCCCTGCCCTTCCGCGAACTGTATATTTGTATATATTCTTATAGCGGCGTCCAAAGTGTAGGCAACACTGCATTGCATACTAAAATACCTTGCATTTGGACTCCTGCCGTTGAATACAGCCGACAAGGATTTTAGCCCCCCGAATCGTGGGGCAACCCCATACACAGTTTAGAGAAACCTACACTTAAGCAAAAGCCTAGAGAAGTTCCAGGAAGTCAAGAATACTCTCAGTAGTTGAGACATCGAGTGAATAGATTTATTTTTCTTGCAGTCATCCGCATTACACACAGAAGAACCCTATCATGTTTGTCGTCCTGCAACCTAGATCACCTGCCATATTACTGCCCACGGAATTGCTGCCCACGTTTGAGAAATAGAAGGCAAATATCACGGATACAATGTATTGGCACGCGAGTACTCATGAATATCATGGTCATGGTAGGGACGGGCAAACCCCACCAAGACCAGGGTTATGAGCCAGGCTTGATCTGGCTACATGAGAAAGCGTAAATATGAGAGTTCGAGTGATTCGAAGAGCACTGGTTCAGTCCATGAGAACGCCTCCAAAAGCCTCGTCTCGTGTATATACTGGCGCGACAAATTAGACGAACGACCCAAAGTGCTTTCTGGCCTAGTTAGGACAGGCAGCTTGAACGTGGCCTGGCTGCTTGCAATTATAGCAAACCCGTTCACCCTTGGCTTCAGTGGGACAATCCCGCGAGACATGTCCAACTTCTCCACCTACATTTGAGTGGTCAGTACACATGCGCACAATAGACAACAAAAAAAGGAAAGAAGTGTAAGAATTCCAAAAGTGAAGGTTAGAATGCACAAGTCCTCCCACTGGCGTAGATGTAGTATATTGCATATTACAAGGGAAAGCTCACAGTTGTAACATTTCTGACCGTGGGTGCAGTCACGAGCCATGTGGCCGAAACCACCGCAAGAGTAGCAAGTCTGTTGACGACCACCATATCCACCCCCGCCCTGAGAGCAGTTCCTTGCAATGTGGCCCACGCGGCCGCACTTATAACATTCCTGACCACCGGTAGCACCACTGTAGCCATCTCCCGAGGTGCCTGGGGGCATTCACGAGAGATATGGCCAACCCCACTGCAACGGTAGCAGGACTTCTCCTTAGGTGCTACTGTGCATTCGCGGCCTAGCAGAGGGGTTCTCGTCAGATAAGCTGCGCTTATTATTGTGCAGTAGATTCCCATGGTATCCACTTACTAACATGTCCCTGTCCTGCAATCGATTTTCAATCCGTTAGACAAGACCCAAGGAATATTAGACCGAGGAAGGGTGTTGGGATTGTGAAACCCGCTAACGAGGTGCTAGTAAAGTAAAGGCAAGCAGAGTATAACATACCACCACAGTTGTAACTTTGATTATTCCATTAGTAAATGTAAAACTATAGTTCAAGTAATGAGAGTATACTATACCAAGTTGGGGTGCCCTTCTTGGGACAGTCACGGGCCTAAAAGTCAGGGTCCGTGAGATTATGGTTTGATCAAAAGTGTATTAAAAAATACATAATCAATGCCCTCTGCACTGATGATCTGGGGAGAAATTACCTGATGGGAAGCATCGCCACCTATGGTATAGAAGATGTTAGTTCAATTTCTTAGTGGCTTAAAAAAAGGTAGGCACCGGGTTTCTGTTCCACACTTAGACGAAGATGACAATCTTGATGCCTTTTCTTCTTGAGTGAAGAAATATCAAACAGGCGCTAACCCAAGTAAAAACAAAATCAAGCAAGACATGCAAATGTGAAGGGAGGGAAACCTTCCGGGTCGAATCGCAAGGCGAGGGCACAAAAGCTAGACGTCAAAATCGTAGCGACCGCCAGGAAATCGAGGCCGCTACAATAGTAAAAACTCACAGTTAAAACATCCACGACCTCCGGTTTGGAAACTCATATTGATTGAATATAGCAGATATTCTGGTTAGATTGAATGGTAACGAAGCTGTTGTGGAATGATCCGGATTTTTTTTTCTTCAGAAAAAAAAAGAAACCACAATGATAATGGTGGAGATCGATTGATTGATGAGAAATTTAATGCAGATAATATGTCCAAGGCGGTGCGCGGGGACGAGAAAGTGAATTTAATTTACTTGATAAATTAAATTCGCTTGCCGTGCGGTTCCTGCAGAGCTCCCTTCTTTCTAGTTAGCCTGCAATTTTGTGGTACTAAACTCCTGCATTCCTTACCCTTCTGATTTTATTTCTTATTATCCTTCCCCACCTTCGCCCTCTTTTGTTTTATCCCCCGAAATCAAGATAAGAAGCAGGAAGAAATCAACTGAATTTTAAGCGAGACTAAGTTGGTGCGTTGTATTTCACTGAAAGCAACTGGTGCTTTTCATCTGAGGATCTCAAAAAGCCGGCCGGACTTGAGACAAGGCCAAGGAATAACTCAAATGATCTTATGGGCTGCAATTCTTCATTATTCACCGTAAATTGTCCAATCATCTAAAAAAAAGAAGAATGGCTGAGCGAAGGCCGCTCTGGAGTGAGGAGGTTTCAGAGAGATGCCATGGGAAAGACCAGCCCAAGTCACCGGGGTGGTATAATAGTATCCATATGTAGCCGGAGCGAGGAACGTTTCCTGATGTCCGTGGGGGCAGCTATAAGACAGAGGTCCCAGTTCAACCTGAGTAATTCATGCAGTTAAATAGTTACTACAGCCTCCCAAGGTCCTCAGGTTGAACACATTGGGATTGGTTTGCAACCCAACATTCTGCTTTAGATACTCCCGAGCATTCTAAAGGTTTAGTTTATACCAGAGAAAATCTCTCATTGATTTTTCTGTTTGGGATGGTGCCAACCGTCCTGTTCCTTTTCTCTGCCCAGCAGATGCGGGATTCATGTGAAGTCATATAATTCTAGTAGCTGTTTTCCGACACTCCGTTCCCGAAGCAGAAGCACACGCTCATCATCGAATCCAACGCAGCCTCGTATCCGGTCCAATTCGTAAGATCTTTCCAGAGAGGAGGATTGATCCCCATTGACTTCGCAACGAGAGACTCCTGATAATATGCCGAAGTTGTCATACTTCCGACATTGCTTGTTCTCAGGGCTAACTTGTATGCTCTTTTCCTCTAACATCCTCTGCGTCCCAAAATAAGAGATCAAAGGCTCGAGTTCCCATATTCGAATTTCATCACCACGTGAACTAACAGATACTGCTTTACCATGATCACCTACTTGTACGGCTGCAACTGACGTGGTGTGGCCCCAGAGTCTCTGGCCGCCTTTGACATAAAGACTTGTTGTTGTAGAAACAATAAGGTACACAGTCAACGTGTTGTCTGCGTGAGAAGTCAAGAGGTATGGGTGCGAATAGGAGATCGAGGTTGGAGGTTCTCGATGTAAGATCGATGGTTCAGTAGGCCACCCGTACAGGTCACTGCTCAGTAAAGATTTTGGCTCTTCTGGTACCCGGCTAGATGGACGTAACGGTATCACACCATATTGACAGTCCACCGTAGTTGTGAGTCGTGAATTGATCTGCTGACCACTTTTGTTGAAATGTAGTTCCTGCAAACCTATTGACCAGCCACAGCTGATGTGGTAAAAGCTATACACTATAGAAGATATGATTTCCGAGCCTGCGGCACGCACAGACAATGACATGGGCGCCAATATGCTCTCGGCTTTGAGTGTTGCAAGGAGATAGGCCTTCTCTATCAATTCGACGGGGCTGTGGTCCAAGTTCTCATTGACAGCTTGAATACTAAACAACGATAGCACATTGCAGTGGGACACCGTTAAAATATAGGGGAATGACAGAGCTATCCCTGTTATTGCCCAATCAGTAGAACTAGTGTAAGTGAATCCCAGCTCCAATCGTAAGGCTCTAATGTCCATGTTATACACACTAAAACAACCGCTTTTAAATCCGATAGCAACTCTGGTCACATATTGCTGTGGACAATAAGTTGCTTTTAATGACGTGGGTACTATAGGTGCTTGTGTTTTGACGTTTGTAAAAGGCACTCTTGCTAAGCAAGAGTTTGTATTGTCCGCGTGCCAAACCCTAAGCCCATGATCGGAATCTGCTATAAACACAAGCCCAGCACAAAATTGTACCAGAATTGGTGGTTGTAGAGGTTGAGGTAACTCAACTGTGGTTACACGGCATATCCCCTTGGACCAGTTGTGTCTAAGGCGATATTGTTTTTTCCAATTTGTACTGCTACCTTCTCTCGCTAGATGACCGTGATCGAGCCATGTAGACACTTTGGGCGAGTATTCAGGCCTCGATAAATGAGGAGTGGCACGTCTCATTCTCGCTAAGCGGCGTGCTCGAGGTCGTACCCATCGAGAATAATATTGTCGCTTCCATAGCTCCGGGTCTTCGGCTAAAGCGTGGAAGCGACGGGACACTCTAAAGGGAACGGAGTACGTCAGCTTTCTGCCAGCTTGGGTCCTTCCTAGAGCGAGCATACCTTTGACATCTTAGCAAAGCGGGTATGGGTAGATAAGATAGGATATGCAATAAAATTTCATCGCTTAGGAATGAGAGGTAGTTGCTATTATAGGCTTGGGATATACGCCGCCGTTTTCGCGACGGATAGGTCAGGGTATCACCGTCATCACGTGTTTTCAACATGTTGGTAGCTTCCTTTTCATATAAGAGTAGCCCAAAAGATACGTAAGGACTTGAGGAAATGCTATAAGAAGACTCCTGGAAACTTTCGATAAGAACGCTTATACTGATAACTGGGACGGAGAGAAACTGGGCTAAATCCCGCCTAGGGTCACGGGTATGATGTAAGGCTTAGAATAAGTACTGTCGCGTTCCCGACACTCCCAAAACTATATCCATAACCTTGCATGGACCACTCTCATTTTCATGGACCTTCTAAAGCAACTTCATGCCTCTGTGGCCCAAAACTTCGAGAAATCCTTCGATACTGCATATAACGATTTGGGTGCTGTGCTTACCATTCATGACAGAAAGGTCGCTGCGACAGAAGAGAAACTCAGGGTTACGGAGGATGCTCGACGTAAAGCCGCGGCCGAGATCGAGAGGCTGAATGTTGAGATTACCCATTTGCGGGAAGAGATAAACCGTAATGATATTAGCCTAGATGATGCTGAAGTTTCTGTGAGCGAGTCTCAATTGGAGGAAGCATATGCGCCGCAGCGTGTCTTGAGTTTATGTGACGACAACAATCTCTTGTCGTGGGAATACGGTATGAAGGAGATGAGAAATGTCAATGGAAAATATGCCGCCTTATATGGAGATGCACAAACGCTTGTAAAGGCCTGTAAGGGTCTCAGACAACAGATCAAGCGGCATAAGAGAAAGCTGGAACATTGGGGCAAATGTTTCGAGCGGGATGAGTTTACATTGGTGCTAAGTGGCGTCAATGTCAAATTTCGACGTGTGAAGAACATTACAAATGATGACCAGGATGGCTCTCTAACCGCAGAATCGATACCTGCAAATGACATGCCAATACCGGTTAGTCATAATGTAGCAGATGGGGCTACCGGGTTACGGGGTTTACCTAGGCCTGAGTTGGGTGAAGTTTGTACGTCCGTCATTTGCGGCGAATATAGAAGATCAGAGAACAACTTTGGACAGCTCTTGCAGACTGAATCTCAAGACGTGTTTTTGACACAGTCCAGTCCTCCTTTGGAGAACGAAGATATCGATACATTGGTGAGTCAGACACACCAGGGATTGAAGAGAAAACGCGGGAGTTTACCCGAATCTGGGGCATTGGCCCATTATAGTGGCTTGGGGGAAAGGGAATTGAAACCATCCATTGCCGTAAAAAGCAAAAGCATGCCCTTTAGTCCCGTGCGAAACGTTTGCCCGCATATTGAAACAATTGAAACCCAAGATTTGGATGAAGTTGGCGACACTGTCGAGACACCGACAAAAAAGATGGTCATCGACGCATATCCTATGTCTGAAACAGACCCTTCGGCCATTATTCATTCGCCATCTGTTCAAAAACCAACACCTCACGACAATTCCCGACTCGCGTCAGGCCACAGGCTTCCTAATGTATCCACAGCACTCCAATCAGTGGATGACAATGCCAGCCTTATTCATGGTTCTGGTCAATGTTCAGAAAAGAAGCCAGTTGTAGTCCCAAGGGCGGCCAGCCATGCTATATCGTGCATGGCAGAGGATGGTGAACCGTTGTATCCCGTATCACATGCAGGAAGGACTTCACGGAACGCTGATTTCAGCTACCTATCAGCAACTTTAAGTTCCAAAGGTGTCTCACGCCGTTTGCAGGACTTGTTGGAGAAACCGTTGCCTCCTAGGCCACTGTTGCAGTCACCGAAGGACAACGAGAACGTGAAAGATGCAAGAAGGCACAACCAGCACGAATTACGAGCTGATCACGAAACATCCGGATATAATACACGTTTACCTACTCATACAACGGCAGTATTGGATTCTTCACAAGCTAATAAGCAGCCGACTAAGCAACAAGCATCGACTAATTCCCACCTTTCCGAGCGAGCTAAATCTAATTCCATCGAAATGCATCCAGAGGATAAACCTTACCGAGCTCTGCCCCTACACCGGCTCGAGCTTAGCCATTTCAGGATAAATCCTGACTATAACGAAGGACTCGGGTTTGCATTTGACACCGTTATCCGCAAGAAAAAAGAACGCAAGTGCGTCAGGGGATGCACGCGCCCTGATTGCTGTGGAGACAAATTCTTAGCCATGGCACGCCTTGCTGGTCTACGAACTGACCCTACAGTCTCTCGTCAAGAAGATGACCAAAAAATCCTAGAAGACTACTTGGGAGGAGATAAATATTTGCTTGATACACTTGGTGAAATGGACCGTCAGAAGCTCCTTGATGAGGCAAAAGCAAGGCTGATCGCCGATTGTTTTGGAAAACACAGAAATCATCATCAACGTGCTGCTACACCTCCGGGGTTTTGGCGCACGGATATGCCTGACACACAAGAACTAGATTTTGACCGTGAGGAGGCAAGAAGGCTTGAGAGAGATAAGGTAAAAGAACGATATAGAGAAGCTATGCGCCCGGGTGGCATTTGGAAATACGCGGATGAGTGACTCTCTGGGAGCGAGGCCCTGAACGAGGCGTCTGAATGGTGATTAGTATGGAGTGAGTGGATTTTGGAGCTCTACTATGGTTCTTGAGATAAGAATTATGACTCTAATATTAAGAAATTATCAATGGCCTGAAGCTTTGAATAATAGCCTTTGTCCTAGTTAGTTACATCTGCAGGCCTACTGAGTTACACTATTAAGTACCGTAGATTGTCCGAACGGGACCTCGGCACATGTTCCTTGGCGCGGAGAGCACGTGTTGAAACTGAACATGCCTCTTATCATTTGTTGCTTTGCTCAACTTCATCCCCGTATATTGTTGTTAAGTTTCGCTTCTTCCTGAGCCTAGTAGGGGCTCGATTACTACATAAAATACATTATTTCTCGGTTATGGATCCAACGCGAAGCCACGGAGGATCGACCCCCTCGACGCTTTTGAGGCCATCTAAATGGCTACCATTGTACGAGGACTTCGTGACTAAGAACGCTAGTTCTGTAGGTCAAGTAGAGTCGGCGTTGAGGTCTCTCACATACATAATCCCAGGTTTGTTTCAGACTAATCTAATTATGCATATACGAATGACGAAAACTAATGCCTACGTACGACGCAGGACGATACAGAGATTCAGAGATCTCGTCAGAATGCGGTATATACACACTACTAGCCTCGAATACATGCTAAATGTCTAACATGGTTCATCCAGTACATTCTTCCGTACAACTCCTTTCGCTGTATCACGATTCCCTTGTTTCTCGAGTCATCTCTAGACTTCCATCGACTATCTCTCGGCCGGCGCCCACACCACATTCCCGATATACAAAGTACTGGACGGCCCACTCCTCACTTTACCGCAAGGTTGCCATCACCCTTCAAATGGTTCAGTACACAGAGCTACTCTGGGAAATGATCGCGCGGCGTCGAGGTGAAAAAGTTCGCTGGCGAGTCGTTATCCTTATCGAAGCTATCAAAGCAATATGTCGTTTGTTTCTGCTGCATCTCACAAACTCGAGACCGCTAGTCAGCCCTCCATTACCAGAGCGCGACGTCGACCCGAGATCTGCGGAAGAAGAGGAACGCGATTGGAACGGGATGCAAACACCAGTAAGCGAGCGGTCTTCAGACCTGAGCTGGACTATGCCTCGTACGGGACTATCGCTTCCTTGCCTTCCGGATGTGAACGACGTCTCAAGCTTCTTAATATCGAAGGTACTCACTGCTGATGACATCAAGCCGCCCAAGGCCCTTTTGCACCGAGTCACAGGTCAAGGCCAGCTGGCAGAAATATTGTACATTTTGCGGCCTGTAGCCTATGCACTAGCGATGCAAAAATGGAATGGCAATAAACGAAGTTGGAGGCCTTGGCTCATTGGGTTTGGCATGGAGTATGGCTGTCGGCAACTTGCCAAAACTGATTTCAGGGAAAGACTTGCTGGTGGCCTCGGGGACTAACAGGCTTGGAGCGCGAGGAATTGAGAAAGAGAGGATGGGCTATGGGGTGGTGGCTCATGAGGGGTGCTCTTTATGAAAACTTGACTAAGTATGAATGCTTATTACTATCACCAATCAAGGCCATTGTTATGCTAACACTAACCAGGCCCTGGTTGAAAGGGTTAACTAGGACGATGAAAGGTAAACCACTGCTTGACTTGGTAGGCAGTGTGGTCGAAGATTATGAATACCTGTGGGACAATTACTACTTTTCAACAGCAACTTTATGAGCTGAAGCATTTCATTCCCCCCATTCGCTGAAATAAATCTACGACAATATCCCCGTCAACTCGAACTCGGATCTTGAAATGAGTGAACCTGATTTGATACCCAATGGATCCTAGCATTTTTGTCTCTCTTCGTTCATTGATTGACATATTCTCTCTATGTATTTCTCTACCTTCCTCTATTTCATTTTATTTTAATTGATTTGATTTTGCCGTTGTTTTTTTTTTAATATTGTTCGATACTTTCGCCATTATGTTGCAGATTTAGCGTTCTGTATTTATACATACTGGGGTATCACAAGTCGCTATCGCGATTCCATATCGGGAGTGTGTTATTTCTGTTTAAATAACCTCTGCTGTCTTCTGCCCAAACCAATCTCGCAGCTCTTGATTGGTTCCCTTAGGAGCTTCAGAAGATGTTAAGAGGAAATCTCGAAGTTGTGTGTTTTCTTCATCTAGCGGCCAGTCCACCTTCAACCCCCCTCTCATTTCAAGCATTTCTTTCGAAGTGCCCCAGCTGAATCGACATTCATTACCCCACCCAAATATGGGATCCATGTGTCTTCGGAGCCAGCTTACGCACTTCGAATCTGAGGGATAACCACTTCCCCAACTGTCGGTAGAAGTTGCCTGTGAAGGGTCATCGGACTGTTGAGCCTCCGCTATATCTTTTTGGCAGAGTTCCAAGGCCACATCCCGGGTCACTTTAGCAGCAACACTCGCAGCACTAACACAAGGGTACAAAGAGTCGGCTTTTTTGGCCACTGTAATTTTTAGCGACGGAAAGATCCGCTCTAACTTCTGCTGATAGGTGGACGGGTTTCCAATCGTGTCAATATACACCTCTCTAATGTCAATTTTGCGGCCCTCCACGATCTCCCGGATGAGTTCCACAGTAGCATCCATTGCTTGCGCATTCAAGTTATAGATACCCGCGCCGGGGCGCAACATGCCGGACGAAATATCTCTTGCTGACAAAAGCTTAGTTGCCCATCCACATGACTCGAACAGGGGAGTCCCCGGAGTACAGAGCAGCCGCATTAGATTGGCGCGTACACCGGGCGTTAGAACCTTGCTGTCATTGAAGCTGTAATCGCGCGCAAGGAGGGAGTTGTGAAGGTCATGTGGCAAGTAGAAAGCACTGTATACCATAGGACCCAAAACTGGACCACGGCCTGCTTCGTCAACACCCAAAACAGCATACCTTTCCGGGTAGCTTTCAGTTGGGGTGAAATCATCTATGGTCATCTCGTCAGCTTTGGAAGCATCTGAACTCGGTTGACGAGCCGAAATTATGGCAGGGCATGGCGAATAGTAGGAATAAGAATCTCCCGCATACAACTCTTGGCGATTTATATTGGGAGGGACGAAAAGGCCCGTAGAAGTGAGCTTCCCCTGAGAGGTGAACGAGGGATGCTGAGTTGGTTCTTCCATACCAACTTTCACCAAATACTATTGACTAGGGATAAAGAACTATAAACAAAGATGAAGATGATTCTATGGAGGTGAAGGACCCAACTTGTTGTACGCTATGAAGATTGTGTGCTCTAGACGCGTCCCAAACCATTCCGGACTAGCGGCGCTTCCGCGCGTGTCGCCGCCTATCTCCAACTCCCCTCCACAGCGCTTCACTAGCTTTCCGCCTTCTCCCAATTGAAATTTGTCCTTATTGCTTATAGGTTATACTTTTTTTCTTTTTCTTTTTCTTTCATTAAAAAAGAGGGTGATACAAAGGTGTTTTCGGCTAAAGCAGTTTAGGATACATTGTGCGCGCGTGCGCGTGTGTGTTCTACTCGTAACTTTTACCATACAGCTAGCTACCTTCCCGCATTTCACTCCCGGAACTCCACAAGGATGGCTCCTCGGGGGTCCGCGAAAGCTCGCGATTATGATTATTCCAATGTCGGTAAACTTGGACGGTGAGCGTTCTCCGCTGAACATCCCACTTTGATGTTCTCCTACTGCTGTAAAGGCGACTAACAAAGATAATGGATACAGTCGTACAGGGATTACAGTGAAGGAGGGCAAGCGTGATGAACATGGAATGGAGGACATCGATGGGATGTGGTCATCGCCAGAGAAGTCTCCCGTAAGAGAAAATGGCTTTAGCGATGGGAATGAATCTTCGGTAGGCTCCGATGGCATGTCTATGGACGAGGGTACGTACAAACGCTCTTAATGTACGGGTTATGATATTAATTCCTCAACGCGGGTGACTAGGGAACGCGCCTGGTCCTGCTGATTTCCTTAGTGGTATGAATGGTGGGCGAAACTCTTATTTCCCACCTGTTGCACGTTCTCCCATGAAGACTGGCTTAACTGGGTCCCCTCGGAGAACTCCCGGTTTACGATCATCCCAAAGCCCACGACGCGAACCCCTCTCCTCTAGTCCTTCCGATGGTAAAGGCCTGGGTCATACGAAAGGGGAGTTGCGACAAGATGTTTCTCCTCTGACTCACCGTTCTATAAATGCACCTCCCTTGAATCATTTGAGCAGCGCCCGCAGTAAGGCAAACAAGAAGACACAGGAAGTAGCAGCTTCATTTTCGGACAGCGATGCGAACAGCCAATCCAACACAGATGAAAATGCAAACAGTTTCGAACATATACGGGATGACTTCGCTGACAGCTTCGATGCTGGTAACGATACGATTCTAGGAGATGAAGCGGAGGAACCAGATGAAAATAACACGGCAACACCTTCTCCATCAATATTGGCCGTTGGCCTTCAGAAAAAAGGCCAGATAAAGATCGGCCATCAACCCAAAAAGAGAGTCCGAAGTGGATCAAGTCGGACTCAACTCCCTGTAGAGCCGAATGAACCACAGGAGCGTGTATCCTCTCAGAAACGTAAACGCCCCGGAAGGCCCGCGAAGAATCAGCGCAGTATCAGTCACGATACAGAGGAACCGAGGCTATCAAAGAAGCTCAAGGCTTCCGACAAAGAGACTAGAGAACCAAAAATGTCAGGCCACCCCGATTTGGATAGGGTTGTTGAGGATCACGTCAACCGCACGGGGCCTTTAAAGGGGCGAAGCTTATATATTCTCAAACGGGAGACCCCAACGGATAGCAGCACTACACACACTCGGTCAGGGCGAGTGTCTGTCAGACCTCTTGCCTATTGGAAAAACGAACGCTGTGTCTACGGTGATGGCGAGGCTGCCGAGGGAGAACGTTACCCTCTCTCTACCATTAAGGAGATTATACGTACGGAAGAGCTCGAACCGGAAAGACAAAAATCCAAGAAGGGCAGGCCTTCGAAAAAGTCAAAGTCGGGAAAACCTAAGGATGACAATAACTCGGAAGACGATGAAGATTATATTGACCCTTGGGAGAAGGAAGGGATTTTACATGGTTATATTAGGAAGTGGGATCCCGATGCCCAGGCTGGGATAGACGAGGAAGAGGTCCTCGGTGAGTGGAGTCCACCTTCTATTTTTCTTTTCTTTTGTTTTCTTTTCAAGCCTCCATACAATCGCTTATTGTGCTGATCTCTGGTATATAGATATTGCATATGCGCCTTCCGGTATTGAAACGAGGGATGTCAAAGGTTCAACTTTTCGGTTTGCCAAACTACTTAGCTCTCCTTTCTTAGGTTCCGGGATCGTTGAGTTGCCAAGCGGCGGAGTGAAGAAGCCAAAAAACTCAAAGAAGATGCATATGGTCTTCTATGTATGCCACGGCCGAGTACAAGTAGACATCTCCGGTGTACAATTTAGTGCTGGAAAAGGCTGCGTATTCCAAGTGCCAAGAGGTACGTTGAGCTTGGCAAAATCTTCCCAGTCTACCTTTTTCAGAGATGTCTGACCATCTGTGCTTTACTTTCAGGCAACTATTACAGCTTCGCAAACACACATGGGAAGGACGCCCGGCTGTTCTTCACGCAAGGTTGTGTTCCTGTGGAGGGTAACAATTCTGCTCCTGGGTCTGCCTCCAAGAATGATACTATGGAAGAAGAACCAACCCCTCAAATTGAACGTTCTCTTGGTATCGGGAAAGGTAGACCAAAGGGGAAGCAGAAGGCAGGTAGCTCTAAAGCATCCTAGTGACTGTCTTTGAACAGGCTCAGGGTACTATCCTTACGATACCAACGCCACTTGCCTATCCTCTTCCGTCATTTCTCCCAACTTTATGTGAATGTAGCATTGACTTTTTATTTTCCATCTGTTTCCCATTTTTGCGTCTGTCATAGGCGTGGACCTTGTTGGGATTAGCGATCCTCTTGAATGAATACTGGGCTGTCGGTGTTTCTCGTGTTCCTCACTTTGTTCTTTCTGTTGTCTCTCAGTTCCTGATAGCAACATGTGTGAGCACGAACTCTGTTCGTGTGGTTTCACTGGCGCGATTTCAATGATATTAATATACGGTCTAACCCAAAAAAGCCTCCTCGTCTCGATTATCATAATGACCCGGATTATATCTCCTCCATCGTCTCATCCTCTAGATCATCTAGCCCCAAAGGCGGAAATTCTCCTACCTCAACCTTTTCGGGTTTCACAAAAATACCGGTCATGTTAGGGCAAGTAAAATAGCGCTTTCCGCCCACGCTGCCATCGTTCTTACCAGTGGGCTCATCAAGTTCGATTCCTACCCAGATAGGCAGCGCACTAGAATCAGCATCTCTGGTTTCTAACCCGGGATAGGGAATGGATGGCACCGGTCCAACAAAGCGAATAATTCCTCGTCGGACATGTGGCGGAGAGGAAGGGAGAATAATCGCACGTCTGGAAACCGCGATACCTATAAAAGCGGCATTCTGGTAGTTAAATTTTTGAACTTTTTCTTTTTCTTTCTCTCTCTTAGCTGGGTTTCCATTTATGCTTCTTACCTCGATTCCCAATATCCTCAGCGTCTTTTTCTGCTTGCGTGCGTGCCGATTCATACGGTGATAGTACATTTGGGTCAAACCGACCAAGTTTCTGGCGCCTTTTCCACGCCAATACCGAATTTGGTAGGGACTCATAGGTAGTTGCAGGAAGAACGTATTTTTCAACAGAGGATAGATCATGAAAGTTTGGACGTGCTGAAGAAGGGCGGGAATCATGAACCTGGTTCGATGTTTAACTTTAGCAAAATCTCATATAGGCCTCAAACTACCTCGAACATCGTACCTCGATTTCACAGCCCTTTCTCACCCCCCAATTACCGATAAGATTCTCATCGCCGTCAACCCATTGGTCAGGACAACCTGGTGTCTTCAACTTTAAGCGTTGACTACCAGGAGGAATCCCTGTCATCGTTTCCAACTTTGACTTTAGTTGAATAACGGTCCATGTTGGAGTGATTCGACGCTCCGTGACGAAGTGCGGCTCAGAATTGGCACTTGTTGTAGGTGTGGTAATGAGGACAGAAACATCCGATGGAGTGGGCTGGAATGACATAGTCGTTTGGAGTGTGTGCCCTTCAGTCGAGAAACAGTGGGTCTAAATGTGCAAATGAGTTGCTCTACTTTTTTGATGTAGGAGAGCCCAGGTAACATTTCACGTGCAAAGTGGGATAGATTTCTTTGATAAGTACGGAGTACCTAGCGATAAGATCCGGCCAGAGAGGCACGTGGTTTTATTAGGCAATCCTCCTGCTATTTAACCAACTACCGAGTAACCAACCATATGCACATTGCTCTTGGTTATTTTATTCCCGTTCTTACCTAGGTAAATACTAACCATTACTTTAAAGTAGGTGTCAAAGTTGTAGGAAGTATGTGAGGGAGTATGCGGACTCAAACCTAGGTTACTTAATCCATGTCATTAACGTAACCGGCAAGGTAGTGGGTCACGCAACTTGCCGGGTCAGCTTGGTATTGCATACAAAATGGCCTTTTTTAAAAGCTCAATATCTTAGTCTATTCAAGTTCAATCTATCTCAAATTTTATATACAGCCTACTATATATTAAAATAATAAGTAGACAAGTTTAGAGAGTATAGAAATAGTTAATTACCTGGGTAATATATATTATATTGATTTTATCAGGACACAGGCATAATCTATAGAATTCACTCTTTAAAATAATTTTCTATAATAAATATATAGAAGTAGTATATATAGTAGTAATTCTTTGCAGTTATAGATTGATATATATAGTTGTAGTTGAGATATTGAGCTTTTAAAAAAGGCCATTTTGTATGCAATACCAAGCTGACCCGGCAAGTTGCGTGACCCACTACCTTGCCGGTTACGTTAATGTGTATTGGTTAAGGTAAGATACGGCGGCATTCCTTAGTCAGGTAATCCTTCGGTTGTACTGCGCATGTAGATGGAGCTAATATTGGATGGAATACGGGATAGTTGGGGCTGGGACATAAAACGAAAAGAGCGACGAAGAATAAAAATACTGTGTATGAAGCTATGATCTGCTGATTTAGATATTCTCCGAGCTACATAACAATGGCGAGTGCCCGCTAACCTTAATCTTTGCACCGATTTCACGACATGCCCTCGAAACTATCTAATTACGGTGTGTATGGTATTGTACCATGTTTCTTGATAGTGATTTCAATTCTGATTGACGCCGTTAAGATTTCTCCTTCTTTCCCTCACACTCCAGACCTTTTGACGATTACGCTGTATCGAACGCCATAGCTCTATGAAAAAGATACCAAGTGTAAGATCACAAGGTAATACAGCAGAATGGCATCATCAGATCAGCAGTCTTTTGTGACTGAAAAGCTGCAAGAGGAGGCATACGAAGAAAAGCATGTCCATGAGATATACCAACAAATCGCAAGTCATTTTTCCTCCACTCGCTACAAGGTATATATACCATTTTTTTTAACATTCCACTTCCCAATGCATGCGAGTTGATGTATCTATCAGGCGTGGCCAATCGTGAAACGGTTCCTTACAGAGTTAACACCCGGAGCTATCGGATTAGATGTGGGATGTGGCAACGGAAAATGTTTACCTGTAAACCAGAATGTCTTTATCATTGCTTCAGACAGGTAAGTGCATTCATTCATGATCTATGCTTGGTTTCTTCATTTCATTTTCTCTCCTTTTCATGTATACTTGTTTTATTTCGCTTTTGTTTTTCAATTTTCTTATCAATTTATTTTTCAATTTTCTTATCAATTTGTTCTTAAATCTTTATATTTTATTCTTCTTATTCTTCTTCTTATTTTGCTCTATTATTTTGGAAAATTACCATTGTTCGCTTTTATTCATGGACTCTTGAATAAACCATTTCACATATCCCGTGATTGACTAAATGATGCCAGATCCGAGAATCTTGCCCGAATTGCCGTAAATCACCAACCACACTCGGCCATTGTGGCGGATATCCTAAACCTGCCACACCCAGATTCCTTTTTCGATTTTGCAATATCGATAGCTGTGATACACCACCTATCAACCCCAGATCGAAGGATTCAGGCTATCCGTGAGATTCTGCGCACATTGAAGCCTGCGACGACAGAGGCTCCTGGAGGGAAAGTCCTGCTATATGTATGGGCACTCGAACAGAAGACCAGCCGCAGGGGTTGGGATAAAGGTGACCAGCAGGACGTTATGGTTCCATGGGTTATGGCAAGCAACGTCCCTAAGGACGGTCCAACTGATCAACCAAAAGTTTTCCATCGATATTACCACCTTTATGAGGCCAATGAGTTAGAACGTGACATAATCAATGCGGGTGGCCGTGTCCTGGAATCTGGCTATGAAAAAGACAATTGGTGGGCAATCGCAACACGATGAGACCAATGAGAAAAACACCGTAACACATGGGAATAACGCGTGCTCCGAGATCCAGCTCCGGAGATCTTTCATGGCATCTATTTATAACAAAAGAGATAAAACAAGCAGAAACTGTCATCAAACTCGGGGCTTCCTCGAATTTCTGAAAAGAAGGCGTATATCAACCGAGCCAATCGAGGGAATACTTCCCATGGACGAAGATAGACATTCAGCCAACGCTATGCAAGTCATTATAACGCGCAACAGAATTGGAATGGAGGAAGGAACATGGAATCAAAAGAAAGAAAAGAAAACAAGAAAGATAATAATAAGCATCGATATAAGGCGATAAAGAGGCACAGGCTTGACATTCTTGGCTCTAAGGAAGGGTACGAGGAGGAATGCCAAGATTGGGACCCATATGGCTACTATGGGCGCCGCTCAGATCCAATGGTCGTCCTATTCGGTATGCCTCCCTTGGGGGAGGAAATGGTGGAGGCGGAGCAAATGCTGGAACTCCTGCAGTCAGCTCTTCGACGGAGGGTAGCTGTGGTGGGGGAATTGTGCGTGATGTCGATCCTTTTCTTGGTCGAGATAAAGATGTGCTAGTTCTTCGTGTCCTAGGTGTTGGCGGGTCTATAGCTGAACTCGATAACGAAAAGGGCACTACACCAGCTCGGCGCGCCATTTCTTGCTCTCCTAGCTGCCAGTGCATGGCTTCTGCAGCTCGCCACGGGATTGCCATCTCTTCCGCTACTTTGGACCACATCTCTGCTTTGAATCTGCAATAGAAGTTAGCAACAAACTCCCAGTCACCACCTTTCAATCACAGACTCTGTACAACGTGCCTTTCATATAATCTTGCGAGTTTATTCTTCTTGTCTTCATCCCACTCACTTCGACGCTCTAAATAGTTCTGATAATGAAGGCGGCAACTAATAGCACTTCGTCCAGGAAGTCGTTTGCTAATGTCCTCCCACTTCATGCCACTCCCACGTAACTCGATAATCAAAGCATCCTCTTCAGGAGACCACTTGGACTGCTTTTTCGCCGGGGATTCTGCTGTATGGGCGGGTTGAAGACGCTTAGCCGGAAGCGATGAGGGGCCTTTGGTGAGAGGTATAGAAGGCAACGATGCCGAGGCAAGAACAGGAATTGCCGGAGTCATTGGAGCCGGAGGGTTTGGGTTTGGTGGAAAGGTGGACGTAGTGGTCACCGGTGCGGCGGCCTCCTCATCTTGGGGCTTCAACAGCAGTGAGATATCCACTTTGGCGGGAGGCAAGATAGCTTGGTTTTGTAACGCAATCATATGCGCGATTCGCAATGAGAAAGTTTTTCGTTCCTTTCGAGTATATGGGAAGCCTAGGCGGATAAGAGCATCCGGCAACCAGGTGCACTGCCGCTTTAAGTGTCGTGTTCAAATGATCACTTGCGACTAGAATCCTCCTAAAAAAAACTAAAACAATGGCTGGGTGTAAATCACAAGTGATCTTTGACTCTCAATATCAACGGTGAAAAAGCAGGAGTTTGTCCTCGTCCGACTTCTAAAGGTGCCAATCAAGTGAACCGTGTCCCAACACAGTAGCTGGGAAAGTAGATGACACTACCGGAGTACAGGGCGTCTTATAGGTTCAACTGTCAATTGCTTAGAGGCTCCCCAGATCCAGGAGAACAAACAAAGAAATAAAAAAGCGAGAAAGGAAAAAGGATATAGCTGAAGGACGGGTATAACGAATAAAGACTCTCAATGATAGTTAGAAAGTCGATACACTCAACGAGATAATGAAATGTCAAAAGCACCAGCAGTAAGAGAAAGATGAAATCCAGTAAACTAGGAGAGAAGGTTCGGTTTGATATTGGGCCCAGCGGATAGATTTCAGCGACAGGGATAAAAAAGTGACTAGAACTAGGAATAGTCAACAGAGATGGCGAGACGATAGGAGTAGGAAGAAAAGCAAAAGAAAAGAAAGCAGGTTATGGGAAAGGGAAAAGGAAAGCCGATGGAGATGAAACAGCTTGAGATGCAAAAACAGATCGCCTGCATTGACAGGTGATCTAGCATCGCCGAATAGCAAATAAGAAGCTCAACAGTAATTATCCCACGCAGATACTACTAAAAAGTAAGGCCCAGGTCAAGGTAAGTAAAGTACCTGATAGGCAAGTAGGGCATGGGAAGCTAACAAGAGGCGACTTTGACGGACCAGTGGGTTCGAGAAGCCGTTAATATTAATAGTATTTAATTTTACTATTATTACGAAGTACCACGATTCAAGGTGATTTTAATTATGACTGTTCCGTCCCGGGTTGCAGCTTAATGCCTATCTACCTAATCCATTGTGCTCTTTTAACACTCTTCCGGTTTAATTCTTAAGAAGGTAGTGAAATTAAGAGCCTTCTAGGGCGCAGCGAAAGGTAAAGAAGAGCCTAGAGTCATGACCAACTGTTGCTTTCTATCTATTCACAATACTGCTGAAAGAGAGGTTTTCTTTTCTTTTCTCTCTCTCTCTCTTCTTTTTTTTTTTCTACGTAAAAGGGAAAGAAATTAGAAATTGTAAAATAATAAATCAATCAATAAATAATATTAATATTAACAACGACGATTATCACTTACTCGAGGGCTCCACTCCCCGGGTCCTAAACTATACTTGAATGGAAGAATTCACTGGCGGTCAAACTCTCCCCGAACGTTCGAGCCCAGTTTGGGTTCTGACGATGACTCGGTAGGCGGATGTGCTGGCGAAACAAGAGCCAGGCCGTAGGGGCAAACGTCTTGTAATTAAAGAGGAGTTTGGTCGAAGCTCGAGCTTCAAACCTTCTGCATAATGTATCTTATGTGTAAGTTGTAAGTATCCCCCAATGGGTGTGTGAATTTATATGTATGCGCCAAATGTGTACATCTACATTAGATCATCGTAATCCCGATTGTCTCCTTTGGCTTGGAGTTCATAGTGGGCAGCAGGTACTTTGATTGATGGGTTATAGCCTGTCATTGACCTTCTCAGATGACCGAGGATAAACCGAGCAGGACATCCATTACGAGAGAAGCGTAGCAAGCAAGTTTAAAGGTAAAGTAAACTATGGAGTGCTCCATATGCAATAGAGGGAGAAAAGAAAAGATATTAAGGCCTGAGCCACTTGCACAGCCGGGAACCCCGGTATACGACCCGAGAGTTAGGGCAATTCGTAGGGAAGTTAAAAAGTGGGGAGAGTAAGAAGGGAAAAGGACAGAAAAAAGGTCCGAAACGGAAAAAAAAAAGCATATCTAAGAAGAAATACATAGCACACACACACAGGGAGAGAGAGCATCTACCTAGCTCGGGGGTGGGGGCTGGCTGAAGGTAACAAAATGAAAATAATAAAAACTCCCGACAGAGTGCTACTCCATATGTAGTTACGGAGAACATGGTTCCTCCCTGTGGAGACCAGCATCATCCTGAACCAGGTATGAATGGTTTCGGAAGCTCCAACCAAAACAGAAATACGAGCATCCATGGGTCGCGTAACAACGACGGTGTCAAATCCTAAAAACATCTCTGACAAGGACTTTAATTCTTTCAATTGCTTATAGTGGAAACACCTCCATGTTATGTTTCTACGAATTCATCATTCGGCAATATAGATAGTGGTTTTACATGTATATTACAAGGAAAGTATTCCCCGTGGAATTTTTGGGAAATTGTTAAATTAGAAAAGCATCATATCTCACTTCTGCTTGAGATCTTTTTTCATTTTTCATTTTAATTTTCGTTCTCATTTTTTTTTTTTTAAAAAAAAAAAGGAGAGAGACAGAGAGAAGAGGGGAAGGGAACGAAAGAATGGGTAAAAAAAGTAGTCCATATTTTTGGTACCCTTTGGGTTTTGCATCTCAATTTAATTAAGCCTCCGCTTCAGGTTCTTCTCCCGATTTCCCTGTTTTGGTTGGTTCATTTACAATCAATTTAGATTTCCGAGTCCCAACGGCTGTGGGCTGTCTGTCCAATTAGTGCCGGACCATGGTGATGGATCTGTCAACGGCGAACGAACTCCAACCCGAAAAGGTAAATATCAGCCAAAGGCAATGTCACTAGTCAGACACTACTGGGATCCGGGGTCCTGCTAGCAGCCGTTCGCCTCGTCCAACTTTCTGCATCTCATTCCTGACTTGACCGACCTTATCAGGGCAATCAACGTTTCACTGAAAATGGCAGTGTCTAGAGTATGTCTACTATTAGCTCTATAACTTTCTAGCTTGCTAGCAAAATATTATTCATAATATTCTGGGGTTGGTTATCCATCCTAACACGTGATAAGCATCATTCTTTAAACCCATACATTGATCAAAGTCACCCTTTGAAGCTTTTCTAGGCGGTCATTTAATATGGAATTCCATCAAGTTCTATGAAACTCCTTACGATATCAAACACGAAGGTAACCGATGAATCCGCAAGCCTTTGTAGTTATCCTCGTGCCTTCACCCGATCCTCGACACGACACCGAACCGGTCTGTCTCTTTTCCGTGGTTGCGATGGTGGATCATCTCGACTCTTGATGTGGGTTTTATGTTTTCATAAGTAAATCTTTCATTCTTCCTCCCCCCCCCCTCTCCGCTTCAATTTCTTTCGAAAGGCGGCCTTTCCCGGTTCTGAATCTCGATGAGGTGAGATGACACGCACTTGGATTTGTTGATATGGTACACACTTTGTCTTAGTTTTATTGCTGTCAGCCATTTAAAGTGAACAAGGCTGTGGATGCTGATGCATGTTGCATATTGTTGCCGCTTAGTGTGCATATACAAGGATTACATACGACATCTCGACAGAATACAGCCATAGGAGAGCTTGCAGCGTCTCAATACTTTTCTCCGACATAACAGAAGTCCGTCAGCAGAGGATGCAGCACTATTCATTACACTGTAATGTACGCCCCTTGGCTTGAGGCCCGCCGCCTTGTCATACACAGCGCCAGTTTCAATGTATCCTTGAGCCAATCAAGGTAGATATAATTGTCTCAAAACCGGGTTATTCGTTTGAGCGCAGTGACTCTTTTCATGTGCTGTGAGCCTTAATCACTCGAGAGCAGCTACCTCCTACTCTCTCTGAAAAATCAGGGGAAGACGCGGGTTTCCAAATACTATCATCTTGTTCAACCCACTCGGGCAACTTATGGCCTCACAATCTCCCGGTCTCGATAATTTCTAGTTAAATTGGGTCTGTTGATCTCTCGGCCTGGAACCGCAGAATGGTAAATAGGCTATGGATCCAAACTCACTAATTTACGTTATCGTCAAAGACGCGTCTTTCTTTGGTTCTTTACATAGCTAGGATCCGTATGTGTACCACTTGGACCATTTTCCTTTCCATACATGCGGGCAGTATCGCTTTAACTCATGAGTTTGGTGCAGTTTCTTGGTTTTGCCGTGTAGATGTAAGAGGAGCCCGTCTCTTCTCAGTCTATAAGTGCCAGCTTGGTGACCCTCATTCTTCGATTGATTTACCCATTGCATGGTGTTGACAAGACTTGTCTTCTCCCTTTCCCATCCCCCTTCATCTGCACTGTCCGTAGATTTATAACAAGGATGAAAGATAGACATCATTGTAACTTACAGTAGATAATAAGATCATGATAGTAATGTGCGGAGTACCTGGATCACGGGTTGACTTCGAACGACGGGGCCGCGGGAACAAGGGGTTTCCCCTTAGCAGCTGCAAGCCCTGCAAGATTGATTACCTAGGGACTAGTGGGGCCGAAATGGTGGCTTTTTCGAGTACAAATTTCGTTCCAACGAGGCGGTGGACTGCCTTCACCCGCAAAAAAGGAAAATGTAAAACGGGACGTAGAAAAACCATCCGTCTTGATAACCCAATGAGATGTTTCTCTGCCCTAAAATTGTGGATTGAATAACGCCAGCTTATGTCCTCTGCTCTAGTATTCAAATGACATGGCAAACGCGCTGGCTTGTCGACGAGTGAAAGCTTGAATCGATGCTGCCAAGTTACCCATCAATGTCCGCTGGTCATCTCCTTTTTTACAATACCATTGGGGACTTGTTTCTGATTTCTATTTTATCCTTGTCCCCACCCACTTCCTCTTCATCTCTTTGCTTTGTTACACCATACTGATGATATGTCTCTTGCTTTCGATTAATAAATTGCTTAAACTGAGCTTGGACTACGATTCCGGTCAATTTACTCTCGGAAGCTATATCATTCAATTCAGACTGAGTAAGTATGCCAACAGATGGGGACCAATGTAGCTCGCCATGGAACCTAATTCCAACATTAGAAGCCTGCAGAAGTTCGTTCCAGGTCTCAAACGTAGTTTGTGAGGGCGACAACTGCAGCCGTTAAACGTTCTTCGGGTGACGCAGATTCATGCAGTATAAGAAAAGTACGGAGTAGGCGGTAAGTCACCGCCAGGTAGATTAATCAACCCTTCCCAAAGAAGAGTTATCCTGTCCAAAATCCAAACATCATACGATCAAGCTGCAGGCAAATACTTCCAAAAAGTGGCATATTATCACAGCGTGCCTGGCTAGAACGCTTCTATTTTTCGTGTATAGTTGCCTTGTAACCGTAACTTTCCTAGGCCTGTGAGAACCAACCTGTTCAGTATTCGAATCCACCACCGGTTTTATCTCACCTGTAGCCTCATGACACGGACCGGTACGTACCAGTCAAATGTGTATACTCTGTATGGTGGTGTGGGTATTCCACTGCAATGACCTGCCGCGGGTCTAGAACATGTGTTCCTGCCACCCACTTTCTTCCCGTGCGGACTTCATCGGGTTTCGAGTACTAGTATCGAGCTGCTGACTTAGCCCAAAGCCCAATTTACAACAATACCATTATCAGTGGGTAGCCATAGTCAATCACACATGACTTCCGTACGATTGTAATGTCATCAAACAGATGGGGACCGGACTCGCGCAAGTACTCAAGGAAAAAACCAAGTAGAGAGGACAATAGTCACATGCACGAAATAAGCGACCTCTAGGTCAGACGGTTCTATTCTATAAGCACCTCGGACCACTCATTCCTTTTAGCCCTGCGGTATCCATCATTAAGTGGGCTGTGATCCCACGTCTAACCCCCTCGCGTTCAAGCCGAGATTAGGGTACGTGATATATATAGAGTAGACATACTGCGTACGTATGACACCCATCCCGTCTCTGTGGTAAAATAAACGAAAGGCGAACGCTACACTCTTGCAACGTACAGCAAGTTCGACAACAAAGATGAAAATCTCTGGGCAAAATAATTGGCGCTTATCAAGGCGGGATGTCGTAATCATAATCATACCATCGAGCGACCATCGGTGAGATAAATGGCTACCTTGGCAGGAGACAAAAGGATCCATCGTCGACTTTCGTCTTTTTGAGTGCATCTTTTTTTTTTTCTTAAGCGGCGAATATCGATTCGGATTTTCCAATTGAGGGGAACAGACAAACAACCATAACTGGCTCCAGTGTGGTGGATTCAGACAGGGATGTTGCTGCTTGAGCTATTCCCGGCACGCAATGATCGTCAAAAAAAATGTCCGACAGCCCCACAGCCAAGCTCTCGGTTATGTTTTTTTTCTCTTTCGCTTCTGCCCACTATTGTATGCTGTTGTGACAGATAGAGAAAGAAAGAGTTAGAGACGGAGGGGAGAACAGTGTCTGTACTATCTTTTCCTTAATTTTTTCCCTTTTTTTCTCCTGCTTCTTCCTTTTCCCTTTCATTATTTATTGTTTATTTATTTCTCTTTTCTTTTAAGGAGTCAGGATGATTTGGTTCGCCTACGAAGAACCAGTGGTTTCGGGTAGGACTACTCCGTAGGTACCTCGTGCAGACATGTTAGATACCAAGTACCTTCTGTTCTTCCCATACTCAGCTACCGAACCATTTCGATCACAATAGCCCATCCCCTATATGTGGTTGTGGCCTCTATGCTGATCGTTTTTGTTACTATAAACAGTAACGTTATCTACTCCGAGTATGCCTCAGCATAGCACTTCGACTCAATCATTGACTTGTTGAGTGCCTAGCCAATCCTTTAACTCCCATTCTACGGATTAACTTTGGACTGGCCAGTGGAATTTCAGTATGTACTAAAACAGAGACCAATACGGGAAGGGCCTGTTGATAATAAGACAAGAGGATGGATTCTTTGAAAATATGAAACGCATTGGGTCATAATTTGGTGGCAAAGCTGAAAGTATGCTTGTTATGGTGAAAACGGTTGACATTCGCTGCTGCCCAACAAAGGGTGGATCTGCGCATTAGTTAGGGCCTAGATTTGTTAAGAAGTGCAGGACTTAGGGGAATTACTACTAGTAGTATGGGGGAAGGCAACGCCAGCTTTCGGTTTGGGGGCCCACATCTTGAACTTTCCAAACGATATGGTTGGCCTGTAGGACGCATGATGGAGTTCCGTGTGGGCCTGGATGGGGTTTGAGAGAGGAACTCAGCTGTCACCTTCCAGATATGGGACGATTTCGGACGCCCATGAATTTTGATTCTGATCCCTCTCTGTACTTTCTTGTTCTTGTCCTTGTTCTTTTCTTCTCTTTTCATTCTTTCTTTTCCCTTGTCTCTTCATATATGAACTATCGATCAAGTACCCTGAATATAGTTCTCTGCATCGGCGATATATTTTCCTTTTCGACATGCCCTTGGATTGAGTCGATCGCCCTAACAGTGTCAACTCTATTCTTCCATAATTGACAACCTAAATTTCTCAATCTGAGAATGGGTGTTGCTGCTAATGAGCTCTTAACCTGAGGGTAAAGGGCTATTGATCATCATCTTCTCTCTCCTTTATTCGCGTTAGAGAGTAGGTGTACGGTTCCCTTTAAAGAAAAGAATAAAGTAAAATAAACCAAAATTATTGAGATAGCCTGATCTCAGTGGTGTTATCTATGGACTTGACTTGAGACACAATAATACTAGTAGTGACATAGACTAACTAGTTAAATGAAAAGGATGGATGGGGGATGCAATCCCTTTCCATCAGTATGTATGTACATTGTGAACCATAAACGGACGCAGAGTATGAGGACATGACATGCCAAGAGTTGTTTCATGAGAGCTTCTGCGTTAGAGGTACCTTGATGAGACAAATAACATCCCGTCCCTTATGGCCGTATGAAACGATGAAACGAGATTGGTTGGAAGACCAAAATGTTTCGGAGAAGGGTTCTCGACTGGGCGAAATCAGACCATCGAACCTAGCGGGCAAGGGAAAAGAGATATGACTGAATTACCGTAATTAATCTTACTGAGGGGTCAAAGTACGTACTAGGTAGAGTCCGAGATCCACAGGTGATGACTCGATGCGAAACCCATGCTGTGGGGTGGCGCTTGACTTTAATTATTCTGGTAAATTATCGTTGTGCTTCCATGGTTTTACTACGGGCAATTATCTTCTTCTGGGATGGATCTCTCGTTTCTCGTCTGCAAGTCAGAGAGCAAACTGTGATGGTTCACGATAAGTCTTGGCAGAGGGGTCAGATCCGGACTATGTGCGGTTTCAGATAGATGCCCACACTTAGACATTATCCATTTCATTTACCTTTTTGACACTGATTTATTCAACAGGTACAATCATCTATACTCAGTATTTGCCTAGATCTCCTTGAAAAACTAAAGTAATTAGAATATATATTAATCGTGTTCTATCTGGCCTTCAGAATGTATTCAACGAATGACTAGCCATCTTACCTCTCAGTTTTGGAATCGGGCTTTCAACCAGTGGGGTTAGAAAACCAGTGTATAGATCCTGAAATTGCTTGTGTATCATCACCATGAGTATGATAGATCTCTTGCAATGTCAGATTCTAGAATTGTTCGATAACAAAGCAGAATATATTCATAATTCTTCAACAGTACTCTTCTTATCTACCCTGGACATGCAATTGTCAGAACAATAGAGTCTTCAATTCAAAGCTTGGCCATGATATCTAAGGGGTTGTTAGTCAGGTAATAACCCCCACTCTTCTAATCAATAGGAAATATTATTCTCTATAAGTTAAAGAATGTCAGGTGTATTAGCAGTTATTACCTTGAACCTACTATTAATTTAAGAGTATCTATTGCTTGCTGTACCGAATATCTTAGGATAACCATCAAAATGTTTACGATGCCGCCTAATCTTGCTTTTTAGATAAGATTGCAGTGCTTTATATAAGATACTTTTTCTCTATTGGGGTAATTTAAACTAGCCATATAACATGTATGGAATGAAATATATCCCTAGAATACTAGTCTCCGATGGAATTTGTCCACCTCAATGAGTACAGCGCCTCCGTGATCAGGCAAGGCACTCTATTCTATGGCCGATCTATTGCTATAGCTGTCCGTTATTCAAGTTTTGTGGTTTTGATCTTGACGCAAAGAATACCATCATATCGGTACACAAGGGAAAGAAGGGAAAGAAGAGGAGGAAGAGGAGGAAGAGGAGGAAGAGGAGGAAGAGGAGGAAGAGGAGGAAGAGGAGGAAGAGGATGGAAAATATGGCGTATGCAACAATGACCTTAGTGATGCCTGGCTTGCAAAATCTTTTGTCTTTCTTTCCCAGAAGCCTTGGCCCCAAAATAAGATACTATCTCCCCAGTTCATGTGGAGCAGAGTTCAGTAAAAAAGCGGAAAGGTGATCTCACTGACTAACAACAAAGACTTAACTAACTACCTGGTGTGGATATCAAACGAATCCAGTTACGTCTATTTTTACTGTATTCCTACATCTGCTGCTCGTCGTATACCTCGTTGGTATGTACCCTGACATTCAACCCTGTCATTTTCAATCTCTACTAAGCAGCTTTTAAAACACAGGATCAACCGAAGACGCAACAAATGAATGATAAAAAAAACAGTACGCTGTAGAAAAGCAAACGGCACAGATTTGGACCCACGGGCGATCAAGAGCTAAAGCAAGGAAGAAAGAAAGAAACGAAAAACCCCGTATGTAAAGCTTGCTACCCTGTCACATGTCTTGGTAACTTAGTAGTCACTTCTTACCCTGAATTGCCTCCTTCACCTGCCTGGGATACAATCTATCACGAGCGGATGAACCAGTAGCGTCCAAGGACACAGGTTTCCTTCGCTACCGCCATTCCATGTTGCACCCTGCAGCTGCAGATTGCTTTAAGGGAAAATATTGCCCGGTCAAATCTTCTTGCCTGGTTTGCTGTTTCGGTAGACTTGCTAGAATTCACTGGCCCGAGAAACGCCAAAAAATGCTCATGAAATATATTTTGTACAATTCTGGTATAAAGTATCCGAGTCCTGGAATTATCACAACAAAACTGCATCAAAAAAATAGCAGTATGGGTCTGAGCTTGCGGAATTCGTTCGAGAGGAACTATAGAAATGCCCGGATCATCCACTGTACTCGTTGAGCATAATATTTTGTATGTCAACTGTTAGGGAAGTTTTCATCATAACTTATTACTAACTGATTTCATTTCTTCCGTACACTCAGGACTAAGAAGCATTTTACTATATAGAAATTTAACTAGTAGAGCACACCACAAAGCATAGACTGGACCAGATGCGGTTGTGGAAGAAATTGACGGTCCTTTCCCAACCTCGACAAAACGAAAGGATCGGTGATAATTGGAAATGTTCTACTACACATAATTTCCATGGCCAAGTAGTGGTAATTCCCCAGTTCCTCTTCGTCAAAGATGCACAGGCGTAAAGCTGTTCGCAAACCACCCAGTAAAAATAACTTCTAGGATTATTTGATTTTTGATGAAATCCTGTGGCCTGACCGTCTCAAGATGTGACTCGCCATGAACTCTACCCCAGCCATCTTCCATAAAGGACGTGGTAGGTAACAAGGTCGTTACACTGCTGCTGCTGCTGCTGTGAAAGCGTTCTTCTGATAGGTAGGTGCTGATCGAGGACAAGGAAACCAAAGTGGTTAAAGATAAGTAAGCTAGCTGATGGAGTCCGAAGAGGGATTATGCCGAATGTGTCTTCAAACTGGTGTATCGGCGACTATTAATCCATGCCAAAAATGTTGCCCTTAAAAAAAAGGAGGCCTGACAACGGGCTACGGGAGAAATTTTGGCCTGTCAGATGTGCATGGCTTAACTATAACGCCTAGCTCTGTGTCCCAACTTTCATCTTCCGCATCAGTTGACATAAGAGGAGCCGCCGCTTCTTCTAACTACTCAGCCGGTACCTCCCAGGAAAGGATACCCTCCTCCCCACCTTGACTATTAGTTCTAGCTTCGTCAAAACCCTGTGAGAGATATATAAATGATAAATGGACTAATGAGCCTGACAGGAGCCATCCAGTCCGAGCGAATTGATCACGAATGGACAATCGGGCAGCAACTTTTACTATCTCTAATTTCTAGTGTACTGGGAGCCTAGAACGAAGGTTACTAACACTCAGATCATCACTAAAAGAGTGTCAGGCAGGGAAAGAGGTCAAAAACACCAGCTATAGTCGATAAAGACCCTTTACAACGTTCAACAAATGCTCGTTCTCAAGAGACTAGAGGCCAATGTTTCCATACAACAAGGCTGCACAGCGCGTTTTGTTTAGGGTTTGATGGAATAGACTTGTGGTTTCCTTCCTCCACCATTCTGGTATACTGATTTATATTTTCCTGATCTCTATCTTTATCTCCACGAGGCTTGTATCTTGAGTTCATTCACTTGCCCCTAATTATCTTCCCCCTCTCCCTCTCGGCAGCCAATTAGCACCATGGTAGTATGTGATGATTTCGGGTAAAATTGATCTGAACCGGAATTCCTCTGGAACGATTACCACCGACATTATCGGACCAACCAGTTCAACCTAACAATGGAGACCTTAAATCCGCCGGAGAGTGCCTTACCTTCAACTACACGGTTCATTGAGAATTTGATCTCGCAGATTTCGGAACGTACCGCCAACTCAGAAAATCAGGTCAACCCTGAAAGTCAGCGTCCGTTCTCCGCCTTCCCAGCAGGCCACGCATCAAACATGAAACAACTGATGCTGACGCTCCATTGTCTTTTCCCCAATGAATTTCTACCTGCCCTGGATATTCTGGACCGAGGCCTAGTCAGGCGCTTCATGAAGGAGGACTATAGCATTTTGGCCCCCGACGCTTCCGAGTCATTAAGCCCTGGCGAGTTAACACCAAATGGCAGGCGGCGTCCTCCACTTGAAGACTCGTTCTTCGTCATTTCAATGTCTACGTCTCCCTATCCCCCATCTGGGGAGTCTCTGCCTCTTCGTCCAAATGCAGACCAAAAAGGCTACGAAGTCCGACTACAAGCGTGGAACTGCACCTGCCCAACATTCACGTTTTCTGCATTCCGCGACCTAGGTCCAGATTTGACTGGTGGTGATTCATCTAGCGGAGAGCTCTCACAATCCCCCCTTGTACCTGGCGTGCATTATTATACATTCGGTGGAAGCCTAACTCAGCGGTTAGTGAAGTGGTCGCGTCCGGTATGCAAGCATCTCCTTGCTTGTGTATTGGCGGTGCGCTGTCCCGCACTCAGTGGGCCCTCTGCAAACGATCATGGTCGAATCGTCGTCAGTGCACAGGAGCTGGCAGGTTGGTGTGCTGGTTGGGGCGGATGATCAGCTAGATTGCATGCGTTATAGCAACCTTCAATACATGCTGGCCGACCGCCTATCCTTGGCCACAATCTATAGTGACTGCGCTATATAATCTACATTTTTCGCCAGAGCCGTACACATACCAGGGGTACATAGGCCATCCGAATAGCCTATATAGATGATGTCCAGCGGATGAACGCTATGCTACGTCATGGAATACTGGACGACATAAATCTGGAGTCAATCTCGTGCAGAGAAGACCTGGATCAGGCCTGCAGCTCAGTTGTCTACGTATATGTTAGTGGCTGAGTCAGAAACCCTGAAGAACTGAAAGCCTAAGATGCACGTCTATAAGCTAATAACTTCCTCTTCTCTCGGTCTCAGTTGATATGGGAGTGCGGGGTTTCGTGACGGTACTCAACTTTCAACAAACTGTTAAGAATAGTTTTGACAACCGACCCAGGGCCTCAAGTCGGACATTAAAGTCGATTTGATGAAACACGATCGCCCTATGGTCTGTAGTAGGCCAGGTGGCAAAGGCTACCAAAGCTACATGATCAGAGTAGTATTACTGCACTATACATTTCGATGTGAGACTAAATAGTTCTAAATCGTATCACATTGACTCAATAGCCCGGCTAGTAATTTCATTGGCCCTTCTTCTTGTATTTTTCCTTGGATCCATCTAGTTCTTCTTTTTGCTCACCGTTCATGGCTCCGTTCACCTTTTTCGCCTCCTTTTCACCCTTAGCAGCATTGGTTTCCTGTTCCCTCTTGAGCTCATTTTCTTCTTGCTGTTGTCGATTCTGAATCTTGTTCTCGATCAAGTCGTGGAAGGCAGTAATGGCGCGGATCAAACTGCTCAGGTAGATGGCCATTAATTGATCGTTGGTCTTTATACTCATGGCACGCGCCAGTTCGCTGTTCTCCGACTGCTGTTCCGACCCACTGAGGCGTGGTGTCGCTGGTGGGGTCGATAGGTTGGGAAGGAGGTTGAAGACATCCTGAAGATTCCCCAGTATTGCATGATTCACGGGAAGCTCATGATCGAGGACTTTCTGGAGATACTGCCCAATGTCCCGCAGGCGTAGATGAAGGCCCTGCAAGGACTGCAGCTGCGACGTTATGCGAGTGGAGAGGGTACCGACAGCGACATCCCTAATGTCTCGTAGAAGGTGTTCAACACCGATCTCCTCCGCTTCTTCTGCTTCGATTATGGATGGAGTGTGAACGAAGGTCTTGGAAGTGGTGGTACCATCCTGAGAATAGAAGCCGTCTTGGTAAGCAGATGACACAGAAGCAAAAGAACAAAAGAACGTTCATGTTCTTTGTTTTGTGCAAAGCTACTCACATCTTTGATCTCGTCCACGGCAAAGTAGGCATCTGTCGGCACGCCGACCTCCTTTGGTTGGACATCGATAATCACCAATAGAGGATTAGGAGTGTATCGTTTGAATAGCTCGTTAATTTCTAGGTCAGAGGCCCGTAGCTTCGGGCCCGAATGATACCATCCAATGAGCTTTTCACGAGCGTTAATCTTCTTGAACATGTCTCTCATCGATTCGACAAAATTATGATCTAAGAACCACACTGAGGGATCCTTTTCATCCTCCTCAAAAGGAACTGAGAGTAAAAGTATTAGTAGGAGTGGTATGATGACAGGAACAGAGATAGTAACTAAGAATCAACAGTGTGACGTACCCGCGAAGCTGTTTGATACCCGAACATTTTGACCCGAGTTCTCTCCTAGCAATACTCCCACCACACGCTTGCGAGTTCCCTTGGCCGAGCGACCATAATGATCTGCAACTGACAGGAGCACTAACGGGGCAACAGTGACGGTCCGCGTGACGAGGGAAAGGGTGTCCGCCGTGGTGGCAGGCATGGCGGAAACAGAAGACACGGGAGCTGGCTATTAAGTGGATGTGAGATGAGGTAAAAGTCACACGTATACGTGATAGAGGTGAAAAGGAAAGAAAGCCTCGGAAAGCGAAATCCTGATAGGGAGGAAGGAATGGTGATGATTAGAGGAAGATAGATGATGACGGAGGTGAAGCTGAGTGAGCTCCGGGCCCTGCTTGAGCCACAACAACGAGGCTGATGAACTACTACTAGTATCCTTGTAGCCACACATTTGGCCTTGTTGCCTAAGGCTTCCTACGAACACGTGTCTTCACAATACCTACTGTGGCTTATGGAACGGAGTATCGCAATTGAATAATTGCAATTTGAGCTCGGACTTAGGTTAGATATACATCAATTGATATTAAAACCCAAGCTTTCCGATACAGTTTATCTCACCGATTCCCTGGGAATGAAGAATTTCCGGTCAAGCACTGCGAGTACGGCACTTGCAGGCGGATCTTTAAACCTCGGAGAAGCGGGTGCGATACTCCGCTCCGGTTGACCTCTTTTCATCCCCAACATACAGTCTCCAACCTTTCCATTTACCCGTCATTGCCCAACCCATTTTTAATCCCTATACTATTTCCCACGCCGACTTCAACTTAGGCTCTCAGAGAACACTTCTACTATAGTATCCCTCTCACTCTCCACTTCAGTCTATTCCAATGGCTCCTATCACGGAAGAGGCCGTTTCCGGTCTTAAGGATATCATCGGCAAGCTCGAGGCTCGGGTTGAGGAATTGGAGAGCCGTCTCAGCAATGGGTCTAAACCCAAGTCTGTTGCAGAGCAGATGCGCATGGTTCTGATGGGACCTCCTGGTGCAGGTATGGACCTATATATATTTCAGATTTCTTCTAGTTTAAATGCCTCGGAATTCTGACCAGCCCTTGAACTAGGCAAGGGTACCCAGGCACCTGCACTCAAGGACAAGTACTGTGTGTGTCACTTGGTAAGTAACTGACTCTCAGATTGATTGCTGGTATCTATCGAAAGGTTCTGTGACTTATATTCACTGAATAGGCTACCGGAGATATGTTGCGGTCTCAGGTCGCCAAGAAGACTGAACTGGGTAAAGAGGCCAAGAAGATCATGGACCAGGGTGGCCTGGTCAGTGATGAGATCATGGTCAACATGATTAAGAGCGAGCTGGACAACAACACTGAGTGCAAGAACGGGTTCGTATATGAGAGAAAAGAAAAAGAAGAAAAAAGCGGTCCTTGAACTTTTCTATCTACGAATACTGACTGTTTGCTTGCCCAGTTTCATCCTGGATGGCTTCCCTCGTACCGTTGCTCAGGCTGAGCGCTTGGATGACATGCTTGCTGCCCGTCAACAGAAGCTCCAGCATGCCGTCGAGCTGCAGATCGATGATGCCTTGCTGGTGGCAAGAATCACTGGACGCCTAGTTCACCCGGCTTCTGGACGCTCCTATCATAAGGTGTTCAATCCTCCTAAAGAGGAGATGAAGGATGATATTACCGGCGAGCCTCTCATTCAGCGATCTGATGACAATGCTGAGACCCTGAAGAAGCGCCTTGGAACATACCATGCTCAAACCGCCCCTGTCGTGGATTATTATAAGAAGACTGGTATCTGGCGGGGGATTGATGCTAGTCAGGAACCGGGTCAAGTGTGGAAGAGCCTTCTCGGCGTTTTCCGGCAGAACTAATAAACATAATGATTCTTTTTTCTTTTGCCGAGGGGTAAGTCTCCTTGCCGTCTCTGCGTCTCTGCCGGAGAACTCAACAAAATGTGATATGGTATAAATTTTACAATGGATGGTCTGCCACCTTGGTCTACTGCGGAGGTTCCTTTTTGATACATGGACTTTTTTGTATCCTTCGGGTATCCGTACCTGGGCGGCTTTCGGCGGGGGTTTGATTTTATGTATAGTAGCTAATCTCGGAACCTAAAATACAAGTTGCTTTAGACGGTCCTCTTCTATTTTTCCTACCTCCAAATACGTTTGATTTTGTATAGTCGTTGGTACTATGGATATATACACGTTTCTGAACAAGGTATGCTTGTTCTCTCCACACGATATAGACTGTCTCTTACATCGGTGTAGGGTAAACTGTGGACTCAATGTTTTCAGGATAAACTAATCCACCCTGACGCCTGACCTCATCCATGACCTCCATAATAATGATGCTCTCCTCCCATGGCATGCTATCACTTTCAAGCTTACCATCCCGCAAGCACCGTGCGACCTCGTCCGCCTCCCAGTACATGCCCTTTCCTTCACCAGGAAATGAACATTCCACCTCTTTGACTTCCCCCTCGCCCTTCGGAACAACTCGGTACCGCTCCGGCCGGAACGCAGGGCCGTATATCTGGATCTCACCTTTGGTGCCCTGAATGCGGACCGAAGGCTGGACGGGTTTGTCGTCGACATTGGTCGATACTCGGAGATGTGTCATAGCCACTGCCTGCGATTCACCTAGGGGAGGAAGGTTGGACGGAGTACTGGTGGGGAAGGTAAGGAGAATGGATGTTGCTTCATCAGCACCAGTGAGGTGGTAAAGAGACATATGCGATGAGATCCGTGAGGGTGCCTTGCGCGACTCGCGGGGAAGAGTGTGATACAGAGCCTGGAAGACCCAGGTCAAGGAGTAAATACCCACTGCAAGCTGGAGTCAGTTTGGCAACGCTTTCCAATGTGCCGAAAAAAGATCAAAATATTGAATTCAGGTAAATAAAGTATAAATATATGCATACGATTAAGACGGGGAAACTTACAATCAAGCAGCGCCCCGCCAGCCAGGTCCTTGTTAACCATCCGATGCTCGATACCCCATCTTTCCTCCATGTCATCTCCAAAGCTATTATCGGCCAGCACACGCAGAACCTCACCAAGAGTGCCATCCTGAATTAATCCACGAACCTGTACGCTAAGTGGGAAGTACCGAGTCCAGACGGCTTCCATTAAAAAGAGATTCTTCGTTTTCGCCGTTTCGCAGAGAATCTTTGCCTGGGCCGCATTGACAGTGAAAGCTTTTTCACATAGAACATGTTTACCCGCTTCAAAAGCAAGCATAACGTTTTGAAAGTGGTGCGAGTGAGGCGTTGCAACGTAGACGACGTCTACATTGGGATCGGCTACGAGGTCCCTATAGGACTCGTGGGCAGCGCAGGGAGCAGGAATGCCCGTATCTGAGATAAAATCCTCTGCACGGGACTTTGAGGAAGACGATGCAACTGCAACAACTGTGTGGGAGACATCAGATGCACCTCGGACATTAGGATCTCTCAAGAGGTCTCTTACGAAAACTGTTTGTCATATATTCTCTTCAGTTGGGGTTTCCTTTATTGTAACTGGAGGTGGGAATAGAAGAGGGTGTCTAAGAACGTACCACTTGCAATCCAGCCGGTGGCTATAGAGGTTTTCAAAGAGTAGCGTTAGTTTTCATCGATTGTTGCTGTGCCAAGGTTCCTCTTACCCATGATACCCCACCGAACGTTATGTGGAGCCATGATGTGAGGCGATGTATTATGCTGGATGTATGGTATTGAGAAGGAATAGATGAGGGAGAAATGATACTGGAAGGGTGTATAGGGAGAGTCTTCAGGAGTCGATCAGAACATTGGAGGAAAAAGGGAGTAGTGGATTTATAATGGGACGCAATGCAACTGTAGTACTGGAGGTTCGAGAGCGGAGTAAAGAAACAACTGGGGCTCCACAATATTTCCGACGTCATTTGCCCGCAGCCCCTCGTGGAACCTGGAAAATACGCAATACTACATTATAATACAATATAATACATTGTTGGATGGGAAAGAATAACCATACTTCGACTCGAACTGTCAAGTGAAATCTTGGCTACTATGTATATATACAAAACGCCCCAATTGCTGGGGTACATAACTCTGAAGATGGATCTCGAACGCCATAGGGATTCTGTCCCAATGCAAAAAGAAAAGAAGAAAGGAAAGGAAAGGCAGGGAAGATAGAGGGCTAAGGCGTCGAGGCACGCATTTCTGATCGGACCAAGCAAAAAATGCAAATTCTAGTTCTCTTCAACCAGATGATATTCTTACATTAGCTCCAACTTGACCCGGGCATTTTGGCTAGGAGAATCGGTTCCCTAGCGCACAATGTCAGTCGCTGAATTCTTCAATTTTCTTTTTATGTCCAGCAAACTTACCTCAGCCTTGCGTTTGCCCAATACGGAGTCTGGAGTTCCAGTACGCCCTGATGGAGTACCTCGCAGTGCTGGCGTGGAACCGTCTTTGGTCACCTCTGCATAACAACTAGCATGGTACACGCGATTCCCGACCTTGACGGCATCTTGCCATATCCAGTCTTGGACATCCTCAGACCATGTCGACTCGAATTTCTCCTGGCAAATAGGACAGGGCGTATTCCGTAGAGTGGCATCGTTCGGAGCACGTATCCATTGTTTCGGTGGCCCTTTCTTCGCAGAACCACCATCGCCTCCATTTGAAACTTCACCGGATGTTTCTGTGTCCACAAGGCCTTCATCATCGCCCACCTCTCGGGATTTGATCCAATCCTACCTAGGGTCAGTCGAACAACAACTCAAACCAGGTAGGTGCGAATAGAATGCTCACCCGTTCGTCAACATACCAACTGCGGTTCTGGGCCCGCCTGGCTGCCTCTGCCATCCGCTGGTTGGTTCTGAAGTGCCAGTCTAGATGGCGCGCTTTCTTTTCTTTCCCATCCTCTGTTGCAGAAAATCGACGCCCACAAGTCCCACAACGATTGGGCTTTGACTCATAAAGAGTAGCTATGAAGGTATTGCGTGGTCTGTCACTCAAGTCAGTGGCGTCGGATGATGGAACATACGCATAACCTACATCTTGATAGACGCTGTGTTCATTTGAACGTTAATTTGTATATTCGAATTATCGGTCACTTGAGACGTCGGCACAGGAGGTGTAAATCGCACTTGACCGGGCACAATGAAAGGGAAGACCGAAGCGAGGTTTGAGGAAGGCGTAGCTGACGTTGTTGGAGGTGCCGAAGCAGGGGGTAAAAGGCCCCGTGCTCTGAGCGCTGCAATCAGTGGGTTCTCCAGGTTTAAAGTACCAGTTGGCTGCGATATCCCACTGCTAGGTGCTTGTGGCAAGAGACTCTGAGCCTGAGGCGGTGGCGTAGGCTGCTGGCGTGCAGCAGTAGTTTTGATAAGCTCAGCAAGTGCCCCGGGGTTCAGAAACTGCTGAAGAGGCTGAGAAATGGCTTGTACAGGAGGCATTGCCATCGATGGTGTTGACACCGCTGGAATAGCAGGGGGAAGAGTCGAAGGAACTGAATTTGGGGGGTTTGGGGAAAGCGCAGAAACCTGATCGCGCACAAGCTTCAATTGATCCTGAGTAAGTTCCTGGCGTTGCAAGATACCCTGGAGGTCTAGAAGAGCCTTTAGCCGTTGCTGTACGGAAGGGTCGAGGGGATTATTCGCGAAATCGCTTCGGGCAGTTGCGATCAAAACCTCTATATCTCGATTCAAAGCTGAGAGGTTCACATCCTGCTGTTGCTGTTGCTGGAGCTGAGGCGTTGGTGTTGATCGCGGGTCTGCCTGTTGAATATGTTAGACACATAAATGCAATAATAATATGGTAACAATCAAACTTATGACAGCTTACCGATGGAAACCCATGACCAGACCCATTCCTGTGATATAGCATAGGTGGCGTTGAATTTGTGGATGGCGGATAACGAGTAGAACTCTGAGCTGTTGCGCTGCTACTCCCCCAACCTGGGGGTGTCCCAACCCGCCCACGTGTAAGGACTTCCTGTTGGCTCCTCGCCTGCTGCTGCTGCAGGGCGGCTGTCCTCGCTTTGATGAGTGCACTTTCGATGCCGCGAGTAACCTCCGGAGGAAAGACTGGCCTCGTGTCTAGAGAACCAGGGACCGGCTCCTTCCATGTTTTGAGCATCTCGTCCAGTTTTCTGCGAGTTGGCGAGTCGACCAAGGTATAGGCATTCATAAATGTCTGGTACATATTGCGACCCAGAAAAAGCGTGTAGGGTGTCCCTACATTCTTGACAATTGAATCGACTACATACAAGGCGGGCAACTTCTGGGCCGGAGGCGTCTACAAAACAAAGATTAGAAGTTCATTCAGGAAGACTACTGCCAGTATTGCACCCTGCAAAATACGATACCGACAAGGATATGATCTGGGAAAGAGTATGTCACCTACTGTTCGAATGTGATTCTCCAATACTCGGGAGATGGCCATGGCATGCTCGGTGTTCTCCTTGGCTATGACCGTTAAATTGCTGATCTGGAACCTGTCGTTCGTTGTTAGATCTTCCAATGAGTTCTTGTAATCCTCAGCGACTTCGTCGGAGGCCAGTCCTGACGACATATTGGCAAATACACAGGTTGATGCTGATCACGAAGGGAAGTATAGGGGATGAGATGAGGGTGTGGGTGAAGAAATGTATAATTCACGAGTGTCGACTGGTAACACTCAATGCTATTATATTCTTCTTCTTTCCCTCCTTTTCTTTAACAAATTCCGATCAATTCCTCTCTCCCTGTCTTTTCTGTTTCTCTTCTTTCTTTCTTTTTCTCCCCTTTAATGATTTTTCTTTTCTCTGCTTTTTCTTCAAAATTTATCGTATATAGGTTTCTTATTCTCCCCTCCTTTGATTTCCGGGAATAACAGTCTCCTGAAAGAGCAAGAGATGGAAAGAGATGTCGAAACTTGTAGAATGCTTGCTAGCTATCTTCGTCAGGTTTGAGACAACAACACGAGGATGCAAGACCTCCGCCCAAAATCAGAATAAGAAAAGAACCCTCGAAGACCGCCCGAATCCCTGTCTGTCTGTCAAGTCTACCTCATATGACACCCTGCGCCGATTGACCCTTCAAGTAAGTAACGACTAGCAATAGGACCTAGATCGGTATGGAGAAGCTGCGCAGGATTATCTGGATTACCAGAAAGATCTCAGGAAGACTGCCGCTCAACAAAAATAGCTGCGGATGAAGTTGAGAAGCTCAATGGATGAGGGAATCTTAGAAGATGCCCACCAAATATGTAAGGAAAAGTTGAAAATTCAGATGAGGAGGGAGGACGAAGATCAAATCGAACGAGACAGAGGAACAAGGGTAAGAGTTGAGGATTGGAACGGTTATCAGACGTCAATGAAGATTATTTCGAGGAAAGGGAAAGCGCTAGTTAATTTGGGTTATAGTTCGGCGGTTAACAAATGTGACTACTGGATGAGTCAGCTACCGCTTAATGACGCAGTTGCTGATTCAGGGGTCGTATTGCAACAGCATGGTTAATCAGTTTTAGGTAGGTACCAAGTACTAATACTAATATCAACCACCCTGTTCTACTCAGTTTCTTCCTTAAGCTTCCCTATCTATATTTACTATTATACTTCAGGATATCCATTCTCTTTACAGGGGGTGCCGTATGAAAATGAAGTCACTCCCCACCCTGCTTCTCGGATGCTTGACTCTGTCTTTGGCCAATCCGATTGTGGTCACTTATCCTAAAGACACCCCTCCATCTGTCCTAGAGGACGCAATGGAGTCCGTCATCAGTGCTGTATGTTGTAGACCGTGATGGATTCTGTACTGACTTTGCATACTGATCCTTTTTATTCCTAGGGTGGATATATTACTCATAAGTTTCGTAAGTGCCCATGAATCCATCCCGATGAAAGATTGATTATATGTGCATCAAGGTCTAATATGCTTCCTCCTGCCTAGAGTTAATCAAGTGTTTCTTCCCTTTCCCTTCCCGTTCACTCTCAGCAGCAACTTCTAACAGCGGCTTAGCGGCTTCTCGGCGGACGCTCCCGAATCGGCGGTTCAGAAAATCTCAGTCCAATCTGCGAAGTACAAACCGACAATTGAGAAGGACCTCACAGTGTCTATCCAGTAGTGATCAGAGCCATGGTGCTTGAAGAGGCTTTTCCTGCGCATACCAACGGCTGTGCTGGTCTCGGGACTGTTCGTTCCTGTTAGATCACAAAGAGCCAACATGAGCAGGCCTAACGAATTATGATTGATTATGACCTCATGGGAATTGTTGCGTTGGAATTTAAATTTCAGTAGTCCTAGTAGCACTTCAAAATTGTTATTGTTGTCGTGTAATGAATGGTATTCGTGCCAGTATTCGATATTTATCCCGCCTTTCCGACACATCTGTTAGAAGAGAGAAAACAAACCGGACGGAAACCATATGCACTTCTTTCAACCATTGCCAGTGGTAAATTGTAGCGCGCGGGAAGTACTACAGAGAAAGAGAGAAAAGAAGAAGAGAAAATTGGCAGGAGTTACTATTTAAGTTATAAAGGCCCCTCCACGGCTTAGAACTACTTAAACCATACTAAATAATCTATTTATGCGCGTAGCGTGGATCCCACTTGGAATCCCGCGAAACCTGTGAAAGGACACCTTCAGGGTCTTTGCTGATAACTCGTCAGCCGATCTTCCCCTCTTTCCTTCAGAAGAATGCGATTTTACGTGCATCTCATCGTCCATCGCCCTGAAATCTTGTTGTCTGACCCCTGAAGCATTCCCCAACCAAACTGCCTTTTAGGTCAACATGGCTTCCGAACACACTATCACACAGGCCCTGTTGGAATGGATCAATAGTTTCGCCCTTGGCAAAACAATCCGAACGACCGATGAATTGACAGATGGGACCATCATTTGGGAAGTCTTACAAGATATCGACCCCCAATATTTCCTCGATGAGCTACCGCAGCGCAACCCGTCGGACCATTGGTTGTCCAAACTACAGAACTTGAAACACATCCTCAAAACGCTGGTCAATTATATCCGCCAACAACCCGACGGGATTCCTTCTGGACTGGATCCGGCGCCGAATTTGGAAGTGGTCGCTGAAAAGAGTTCGATCAAGGAAACCAACAAACTCCTCAAGCTCATTTTGATCGCCGCTATCCGTTCGCCGAACGCGCCGTCCTACGTGGAAACTCTCCAAACATTGAGCACTCCGACTCAGGAATCCCTGAAAGATATTTTCGAAGAAGCCGAAAATGGCCAACACGAGCCTCTTGACCCCGTGGACGAGATCAAAGAGGACTTGTCCAAACGGGAACATCCTGTTGATCTAGAGCTGCAATTCGAGGAACGAGTAGGGAAGGTGCTTGCTGAGAATGACCGTTTGACGCATGAGAAGAAGGAGCTCGAGAAGGCATTGGAGGACCTACATAACCGTCTGGCACGACTTCAAGAGAATAACGATACTCTCCAGTGCCGCCTCGCGACCACGGAGGATCGACTAGGAAATCTGAAGTCCGGCAAGGGAGACCTTGGTTTCAATACAAAAGCCTTGGAGTCTAAATCCCGCCAGCAGGAAGACATCATCGCATCCCAGGAGACTCGGCTCGCCGCAGCCCAGGATGAAGTTGACAGCCTGCGAATGACAGTAGAGTCCCTGCGCGTGAAGAACGAACGGTTCCAGAGGCTACAGGATGACTATGATGAGTTGAAAACAGAAAGAGACCAGCTCGCTCGGAAGGCTAATGCAGCAGAGAAATATCGGTCAAAGCTACAAGCCAGTCAGGACTTTGAAAAGGAGAATCAGACGCTCAAGAATCAGATTAGAGACCTCCAACAGCAGCTGAAAGAGTCAGATTCGCAGCAAAGATGGACATCGGAACGTGATGTTGAACTTGAAGAATATAGACGAGTCTTGCCACGAATCGAACAGGAATGCAGTGAAATGCAGAGTTTGAAGAAGCAACTTGAATTCAACAACCACGCCTTGACAGAGCGACTTAGCAGTGCTGAGGAACAGCGTGAGAGAGATGATGCACTAATTAGTGAGTTACGGGAACGGATCCGAGAACTCGAAGGCTCCCCTGGGAGCCCAGCTCTTACACCAGGCAGCGAAACGCCAAAGCTGCAGGGCACGCTACAAAAGGACTTCGAAGACATTGGCGTTAAGGAATCACAATTGTTAGGGCTCCCTATCTTACCCTCCAAATATGGGCTGACTCCGCGCTATAGGAAAACCGAAAATGATGAGCTCAAGAAGGAGGTCGAATTCTTGAAGGGAACCTCAACCATTGTAATTTATACCTCAGGACCAATATACAGAAGCAAAATTGGCTGACATTATGTTACAGGTTAATGCTCAGCATGAAGAGTTTTCCGATGCCTTCAGTGAAACGCTGCAGAATGCGCGAGAAAATTCTACTCAGGGGTATTTCAGTCGCAAATCTCCTAGCTACTACCGCTAACCGGACTCTTAGTGACGAGTATTGGAAGCTGTATGATCAGTATATTTTTGTACTCAAGAAACTTGCGGAGCTACAAGACTCTTTTGACAAGTCTAGCAGAGCGCTTGTCGATGCTCAAGCAGCCGGTCAGAATATACCTCAACTTGGAGAAACATTAATCGCATGTTTGCTTACCATTTGACAGCCTTACTTACGAGCAAGGAGAAGCTAGCCATGATTGATGAGATCAAAGAGATTGACTTCGTGGAATCAACCAAATTGCGCGACGAATCGGATGAAATCAAACACAAAATACATACTCTCCAAGCTGAACTTGACGCTAGTTTGGTCTTGGCCAGGGAAACATGTGCTGAACGGGATGAGCTGCGGACAATGCTTGACAACAGACAGGCTGGGATTGCTGAAAGTCGAGTAGAAGACCAAGAAACAATGGAGGAAATGAAAAAGCTCCTAGCAGATATCGCGGCACAAGACAGTGGTGGTGCCTCCGAAGCTTCCCAGAAGTCTGGTGTGGAGCTCACGAAACAAGTCGTTGAGCTTATTGAGCGGAACCTAGAGAGACTGGCACAACGCGCTGAGGTCAGTAGAATCAAAACCTGAGATTCTATTATCATACACGCCGAAAGCTGGTGCTGAAACATAATTTGCAGTATATCCACAACCAAAACGAACACATCAAGTTCCTCCAGCAGCGACTAAAACATTTTGAAGACGATGCGGATGAAAGCATACCGAAAGATCGTGAGGTAGGTGGACACGTCAATATCTATTTAATTTGCTCATTTGCCACGTTTCATGGATTGAGAATTGTGGCCCTCTCTGCTTAACTTTTGCTGAATCATCATGATGTACACAGATCGAACTTCAGAAGTTAATCGATTCTCAGACGAGAGAGCTTGCTCTTATGAGCTCCGCCTGGTATGAGATGCAAAGTCGACTGCAGAATAATAATGTCCCCGTTTCGAGGTATCGTCACGGGTCGAGTTTGGCCGATGCTCAGAAGGGCTGGTTGGCGAGGCAAAGGAACTTAGTAGCTGGTCGTTAGGATGAATGGTACGTCCTAATCGAAGACTAACCCTTAGCAATATATATGTGTGTGTTCCTCTTACAATCAGGTCTTGTGTTATGTCTTGCGCTTTTTCAATTTCGTTTGTCTACATATACTTCTCTCTTAGATTGCATTACCGTTGTTTATCACTTTGACTTGTTACTAGTGTTTCTTAAGACAGCATAAACCATATATTACGATAAAGCATGCCCTCTATATTTCTAAGAGGATATCCTTATATGCCATTGGCCAGTTGTCGGATTTTTAGATTTTGTGTAGATAGACCAAAAAGGATTTAAATTAAAGAAACGACACGATCTCTAGTTGAATTCTAGAAACACACTTGATATTATACTGTACAGATGAAGGAAGGACTTTACCTGAATTTTGGTCATATACCTTCATAATAATAATAATAATAATAATGAGGCTTACACCCATTGCCTGGGGTGTCTGAGGACATCCATTAATTCCTTTTCACGCTCCTTGTCCTCGCCTAGATTCTCTTCCGCAGAAGCCTCGGTCCGGGTTCCTGACACCGGGTCCATATAGGCCCAGCTTGCGGTGCGAGGGAGACTCATCAATATACTCTCGATACGAGCGTTGGGGGTTCGCAGGCCAAAGCTGGTGCCACGGTCATAAACCAGGTTGAATTCCACATAGCGCCCACGTCGAAGCTGCTGCCATTCTTTCTGAGCAGGTGTAAATGGCATATCCTTTCGGCGTTCAATGATAGGAACATAGGACGGGAGGAAGGAAGCAAGACTATCGGAAACGAACGAGAATAGAGTTTCCTGAGAATTCTGTGATGAAGTGGCGGACGACTCTAGGAAACTAGCGTCAAGATCATCGAAAAAGATACCTCCAACACCACGAGACTCTCGGCGATGTGGAAGGTAGAAATATTTATCGCACCAGGCCTTGAATCGAGGGTAATATGTTGCATCATGCCTATCGCAGGCGTCTTTGATGGTCTGGTGAAAATGCTTGACGTCCTCAGGGAATAGGTAGGAAGGGGTTAAGTCTGTACCACCGCCAAACCACCAATTCTTATCTCCATTTATCGGATCCTTAGGGTCTGACGTCTCGAAGTAGCGGTAGTTCAGATGGACTGTTGGTGCCATGGGATTATGAGGGTGCAGAACCAGCGATAGGCCGGCAGCAAAAAACTCTAGAGATTCCACGTCTGCGCCGACAAAAGATTTGTGATCTGCCCTCATTTTCTCAATAGCAGCCCGGGGCAATTCACCATAGACAACCGATACGTTGACACCTGCTTTCTCGAAAACATTACCATCTTGGAGGACACAGGATATGCCGCCACCCCCATTGGGACGTGTCCAGGTATCCGTTTTGAACTGAGTACCATCAATCCTGCTTAACTCATCTACGATTTTTTTTGATGCTCTTTGATCAGTTTCTCCATTCGTAAGCGCATTGGAGAATTTTCACTAATCGTTGCTTGTTTCTTCAACGCTTCATCGAGCTCCGCAATCGAGGGAGAGTCGAGTTCGGTCACTTCCCCTGTCATCTATATCCTTTGTTAGACCAAAAACCGTAACCAAAAGGTGCTTTTTGACCTCGAAACATATATTTACCATGGAATATATCAGAGCTCCGATGAATGGGACGCCAATGGCCAGCCGTAGGTATGGCCTCCACACAGTAAATGATTTCGGTTCGCAGGATCGCTGTTCCGCTGAGTATCTGCGAAATGTATTCTGGAAGTTACAAGGTGTGCGTCTGGTCTGCGATGAGAAGTGGCAAAGTGACCTCCTAAGAGGCATATATGGCCGGGACAAAGACATGATTTTATAAAATGGAATCGAGAATTAGCTGATTTATGGAAAGATCAGGTGGTACCGGAACGATATGAGTAGGTGCACACTCTCTCAAATGGCTCCACCTATCATAAGGAATATAGGTAGCTCAATTCTCAAGTTACCTTCTCTGGACCAGAACAGTATGGGACCACCCGTAATCAGAATATCCCGGATCAATGCCGTTTGCATTGTTTGCACATATTTGTACGAATTTCTGATTAGTCAGACTATTCCAGGACAAATAGTTTGCCATGTTTGCATCACTTGGAGGGTTCGCTATGTTTACGGATTATGGATGTATGTAAAGTCGTGACTCGTGACTCTCACATTGCAGCTTGCAAATAGTACCAGGTAGGGTGAGAGTTCCCATAGAGACTATATTTGGGACTTGAACAGGATTGAAATATGGACTATAGATTCCAGGAGCAGAGCCTATCAAGAGTCCTTTATGGAGATAACACGCACCAGTACGCTAGCCGCTGATCAGGTGGAGGCTGACACCAATGCGCACAGCTACACAGTACAAGGTATCTTTGTAGGCACTACAGACCCAGCATCACCCAAACATCACCCAGGCACCCCACATGAAGATATGACGTGTGTTTATGAGCTCCCTGACTTGGTTCAAATGAAGATGACAAAAACCAAACAAAACTAGGTCCAGTGAATGGATGACTTGGGGCATCTGACTGTGACTCCGGTGTGGGGCTGTTCACCGCCTCCACCCCGTGATCCGCTCGCCTGGCGACCTTATCAGCCGTGGAACTACCCATGACGCGGGGCTTTACTCTCCCTTTTGTCATCATCCACCTTCTCCCTACTACTCACCTTTTACACCAAACATCTCATTTGCATCGCTCTGCACCTCACACCATCTACGTCTTGTCTCGTTGGCGTACCTAGTACTCATAGCAGATCTACCTAGTTGTTTCCATCAACTGTTTCGATCCATCAATATGCGCTCCAAGTTCAAGGACGAGCACCCCTTTGAGAAGCGCAAGGCAGAAGCCGAGCGTATCCGACAGAAATACGCTGATCGCATTCCAGTACGCACAACTCCATCTGAATTCATCTGTGTGATGATTCTTTGCCCTTGAGCTGCCCTTCCTCGGAGAGGCAAAAGGTCTACTCACCGCTTGTTTGAAGTGCTAACTCGAGTTTCACCTGTAGGTAATCTGCGAGAAGGTCGAGAAGTCGGACATCGCCACTATTGATAAGAAGAAGTATCTTGTTCCTGCAGACCTTACTGTCGGGCAGTTCGTCTATGTTATCCGCAAGCGCATCAAGCTGTCTCCAGAGAAGGCTATCTTCATCTTCGTCGACGAGGTGTTACCGCCAACAGCTGCACTTATGAGCAGTATTTATGAAGAACACAAGGATGAAGATGGCTTTCTGTACATCACGTATGCTTTATTCTTCAGAGACGGGTTTTGGGCACATATTGACATTCTCTCTAGATATTCCGGGGAAAACACATTCGGCGATCTTTAAGCTCTAGTCAGCCGTTCTCTCAAGCTATGTAACTGTCCCACCGTTGGTATGTGTTTTGTTTTGGGCCCGGGTGTGTGACCAGCCACTCCGGAATGAGGCGAACGAGCTGGTTAGACCTTGCGGCGATTCTTCATATGTGCAGGCGTTATATCAGGTGTTCCGTATCCCCTTTATGACCTCTATTTGCAAAGACTTTTTAAAGTTTAAATACAAATTACTTTTGATGTGATAATCTGGCGATACCTGCTGACAGGCATTGCTGCTTTCATCCTTACGTTGGGCTCCGTTACATAGCACGCTTCTTTTGCATGCTAAGGTGGTTAGTCAATTTATGACGAGTAGCGAGAATTCCTAGCAGCATGTTCACAAATACTATGAATATCCTATGGTCGAGATAGTTCTGTACTTGGTAGAGCATAGCTACATGGGACGTGCCCGTTAGTCCGTTACATAACATAGTTTAGACATGAGATTACTAACCCGTCTCTCCGATATCAATGCCGATGACCCAGTCCTGTTTGGGACTAGTGTTTGGTTCAACGTCGGGGAGGCCTTGAGGAAAGTCCGACTCGGCGCAAAACAGGCGATGACTGACCGGGTCTTTGCATCTTTTCTTCACGTCCCTGGAGTTTTTTCCTTTTGCACCTTTTAAATTCTTCTCTCCTTCTTGTTCGCTTGTACTGCTTTTGTTCTGCTATTTCAAGTACATGCTTTGTTGCTTGTCTTTGATCTGATCGCTTTGGCACGGGCTTTTCACAAAAAGTCTATCGAAAAAAAATTCAACCATCGACGACTTTGGTCCACAGCTTGCCTGATCAACGTCTCAGCAAAGAAAGGGGAAAAATGTCTCCTGCCATTGCCCAGGCCGGTGCTGCCTCCAAGGATGTTAAGAAGGAGTCCGCGACTGCTCGACTTCTGGGTTCAGGTAAGTTTGTGTCCTTGCGTTGTGAAATGTTTGGTTGCTAAGATAGCACACCAGGAACCGCTGGAATTGCGGAGCTCCTAGTTTTCCATCCGGTACGATTAGACCATTGGATGGTTCTTTTTTTTTCCCTCTAAAAGGTCTCTGATAGTTTAAATGACACTGATGCTATCCAAAGGTTGATACAACTGCAAAGCGATTGATGAGCAATCAGACCCGGGTAAGCACCACCATTTTACATGCTGTTTATCACATGTTTACTGACTATATTCGGGGTTAGATTACGTCAATGGAAGGTATGAAACAGGTTGTTTTCAAAGAATATGCCAACGCTCCCCTTGGGCGCAAGTTTACTTCGATGTTCCCTGGTCTTGGTTATGCTGCTGGCTACAAGGTATGTATAACAGATGACATAGGAATATATCGCAATCGGCTGATAGGTATCGACAGGTTCTGCAACGAATCTACAAATACGGTGGTCAGCCATTCGCAAGGGATTACCTGGCAAAACATCATGGGGCCGACTTCGATAATGCTTTTGGAAAAGGAACCGGTAAGGCTATCATGCATGCTACCGCCGGAAGGTTTGTTGTTCCCTCCCTAGGAGAAATCTAAACATATAGACCGTTGCTGATATTTGAATAAGTTTGATCGGTATTGGTGAAATCGTCCTTCTTCCTTTGGATGTCCTGAAGATTAAGCGTCAGACGAATCCCGAGGCCTTCCGTGGTCGCGGCCTTTTCAAGATCATTTCCGATGAAGGCATGGGACTTTACCGCGGTGCCGGCTGGACTGCTGCTCGTAATGCACCTGGATCTTTCGCGGTATGCTTATGATCATTGATGACCCGGTCGATTATGTTCAGGATGCTAATCTGTAGTAAAGCTGTTTGGTGGTTCCGCCTTCGCCAAGGAATACATCTATAACTTGCAGGACTATAATTCGGCTTCCTGGGCGCAGAACTTTGTGGCATCCGTTTGTGGTGCCAGTGCCTCCCTGATCGTGTCAGCTCCCCTGGATGTGATCAAGACTCGTATCCAGAACCGCAATTTCGAGAACCCTGAGTCTGGCTTCCGCATTGTGTCGAACATGGTGAAGAACGAGGGTCTCACCAGTTTCTTCAAAGGTCTCACACCTAAGCTGCTCATGACCGGGCCCAAGCTTGTTTTCAGCTTCTGGCTGGCTCAGACGTTGATTCCCGCGTTTGGCCAGGTCGTATAAATGAGAAGAGCACGGAATGACATTAATAGCAGGCTTTAGATTTTTGGCTTTTTCTTTTTCCCTTTTTTCTTCTTTTTCTTACCTTCGTGCGGCTATTGGTACTATGATAGAACATACTGTTAGGCCCTTTGTATTTTGATAGATCCTTTTATTTGGTATGATCGAATCATGGGTAAGACCTTGATCAAAAGAGTGAACTTCTCTTAATTATTACATAGTCATATCTGGTAGCTAAAGAAGATAGATATAAGCGCTATTTGGGGAGTCTGAGCCCACAGGTATCGTCAGGGACACCTATAGCTTTTCTTCTGATTTATTTACATCGAGAAAGACTGCGTCTTCAAGGCAGTCCATCAAACTCACATCACGTGATCGATAGCACAACCTGACTTCATGGTACCTATCACGACTTGAAATCTTACTCTTATCTCAACAAACTGAACATACCTTTGCTTCGCGGGAGGCAATAACAGTTATGCCAATCTACCTAATTTCCAAGTACGTCGCAGATCCATCGACTTTAATCAAATACAGTTCATAATATATATGAACCGACGCAGCTTGTTTCGAATTTCTGCGAAAACTGATACTAAATTTGCGGATACAGAGTTGGGGACCCCTTTTTCGCCTTCACAATAGGAGTCTCTGCTGCCTTCCTCCGGATCTGCCGGGACCAGCGTGAGAAATTCCCTGAAAGGGCTCAGGACATCGGATACGGCGAGGTTTTGCAGATGGGAGGAAGAAGATTACACAAGTGGTGGAAGGGGGATTTTGAGGGTCTATGAACGATGAATAGATGGCGGTATTTCCAGTCTATTCGAAGGAGTTATAAAACTTAGTGTCAGAATAGATAACCGAGAATAACCGACCGTCTCATTCTCGACTGTTTTGTCTCCTCATAGTATCGTTAAAAGATGAACATGTGTAAATTAGCTTCCGTTACTGTATTCTACGATACATGGACCAAAAATTTTTATGAAGAATGGAACGTTCGTAAGGAACTTTTTTCCCTCCCAAGTACTGCAAATCATCATGCGTCAAGATGAAACTCGGATCTATGCAGCCATGCACAAAAAGAAAATCCCATAAATTCGTTAAAAAAGAAACAAGCAGAGAGTATTAAGGAAAAAAACCATTAAAAGCCGATCGCCCATCCACAAGCAGCAAGAAGGTGGAAAGAAAAGAAAAAAAAAACATTGTCAATCAAGACACTTAGTCAAGCTCCTCGGGCTTCTCCTCGACCTCGTCAGCGGTACGAGTGGAGCCACCGGGGGCAGCGCCAGGAGCACCGCCAGGAGCACCGCCAGCAGCACCGCCATAAGCAGCTGAGATGATGGGGTTGGCGACACTAGAGCACAGTCAGCATCATATCAGTCATGTAGGGATATCAAGGAGTTTCATATCACATACCCTTCAAGCTCCTTCTGCTGGGATTCGTACTCCTCCTTGGTGGCGGTCTGGTTGTTGTCGAGCCAGCCGATGATCTCATCAACCTTGCTAGTGACCTTCTCCTTATCGGAGTCAGAGATGGTGAGCTTGCCTTCACTGATCGTGTTCTTGAGGGAATAGGCGTAAGACTCAAGGCCGTTCTTAGCCTGGATACGGGAAGCCTCAGCCTCATCCTCAGCCTTGAACTTCTCGGCATCGGCAAGCATGCGCTCGATCTCCTCCTTGGAGAGACGGCCCTTATCGTTGGTGATGGTGATCTTGTTGGTCTTTCCAGTGCCCTTCTCGACGGCGGAAACGTTCATGATACCGTTGGCATCAACGTCGAAGGTAACCTCGATCTGAGGAACACCACGGGGAGCAGGGGGGATGCCAGTGAGCTCGAACTTTCCGAGCAGGTTGTTGTCCTTGGTACGAGCACGTTCACCCTCGTAGACCTGAATCAACACACCAGGCTGGTTGTCGGAATAGGTAGAGAAAGTCTCGGACTTCTTGGTGGGGATTGTGGTGTTGCGCTTGATGAGGGCGGTCATAACACCACCTGCGGTCTCAATACCGAGGGACAGAGGGGCAACGTCGAGCAGTAGGATCTCGTTGGTGGACTTGGAGGAGCTATCACCAGACAGGATAGCAGCCTGGACGGCAGCACCGTAGGCAACGGCCTCATCGGGGTTGATGGACTTGTTGGGCTCTTTGTTGAAGAAATCGGAGACAAGGCGTTGGATCTTAGGGATACGGGTAGAACCACCGACCAGCACAATCTCGTGGACAGAGGACTTGTCGATCTTAGCATCCCGGAGGACACGCTCAACGGGCTCCATAGTACCGCGGAAGAGGTCCTGGCAAAGTTCCTCAAAACGGGCACGGGTGATCGAGGTATAGAAATCAATGCCCTCAAAGAGAGAATCGATTTCAATAGAGGTCTGGGCAGCAGAAGAGAGTGTACGCTTAGCACGCTCACAGGCAGTGCGGAGACGACGGAGGGCACGGGCGTTAGTAGTAAGATCTGTCGTGTCCAAGTTAGCATTGGGTTTTCCTGGTGCTACAAAATAGGGTGAAAGCGATTATGGGAGACCAAAAGACACTAACCTTTCTTGTTCTTGCGCTTGAAGTCATTAACGAAATGGTTGACGAGACGGTTGTCGAAGTCCTCACCACCAAGGTGAGTATCACCAGCGGTGGCCTTGACCTCGAAGATACCTTCTTCAATGGTCAGGAGGGAAACATCGAAGGTGCCACCACCCAAATCGAAGATCAAGACGTTGCGCTCGCCCTCAGCCTTCTTGTCTAGACCATATGCGATAGCAGCGGCAGTAGGCTCGTTGATGATACGAAGGACGTTCAGACCAGCGATGAGACCAGCATCCTTGGTAGCCTGACGCTGAGAGTCGTTGAAGTAGGCGGGGACAGTGATAACGGCGTTGTTGACAGTACCACCAAGGTAGGCCTCAGCGGTCTCGCGCATCTTGGTCAGGACCATGGAGGAGACTTCCTCGGGAGTGAATTGCTTCTCCTCACCCTTGAACTCAACCTGGATGATGGGCTTGCCACCCTTATCGACAATCTTGAAGGGCCAGTGCTTCATATCAGATTGGACCTCAGCATCGGCATAACGACGACCGATCAGACGCTTGGCATCGAAGACAGTGTTGTGAGGGTTCATTGCGACCTGGTTCTTGGCGGCATCACCGATGAGACGCTCGGTATCGGTGAAAGCCACGAAGGAGGGGGTGGTACGGTTACCCTGGTCGTTGGCAATGATTTCAATGCGGTCATCACGGAACACACCGACACAGGAGTAGGTGGTACCCAAATCAATACCGACAGCGGGGGCCATTTTGAAAATATTTGGAAGGGTAATTCGTTAAAAAAAAGGAGATAAGAGGAAAGGAATTCGTAACAGAGGGGGAATCAAAGAGTGGTTAGGTAATGTACAGAGTAGTAGTCTCCTGTCTATAGAGGATGAGACAAGGTAGGTCAAGGAGAAAAAAAATTTAATGTGTGAGAGGGAGGGCAGAGATTGTGCGAGCACTACAGTTGATATAGTGGTGGGCGGTGAGTTTCTGCTCCAGCGAAACTTCTAGCAAGTCATAGCTTCCATGGGCATCCATGGGCTTCGATGGTCTTCGCCCACACGGGTCGGGCGAGGATTTTGGTCGGATCTTCCCTTCCAGAATTCGCCAGTGGGGTTCTGGCCATTTCCATTGCCTTGGAGGATGTTACTTTCATTTTCACGATTATTCTAGTTACCTCTAGTTGTAGCCTTAGGGGAGGTAGGATAGTGAATTGAGTATTATTTCTTGATTAGAAGGGACTCAAATTGAATATTATGATTTCATTACTAGGTTTTTTTTCTTTTTCTTTTTCTTTTTCTTGGTTTCCTCCTTTGGCGGGGATAGTGGATGACGTAATAGCTGAACGCTGCTTGTAACTAATTTAGTTACTTTTCTCTCTCCTTTCCCTCCCTTTCATTTCAAAACTACCACTGCACACAGGATATGATTCGATTCATTCATTTTAGTTTTGTGCTTGGTTTGTCCCTCCCTCTTTCTTTTTTCTTCTCTCTCATGAATTACAAAATATATCATTTCTATACAGTAGTTTATTTTTTAATACTCTAGACATCCAATACAGCATTTTTTTGGTTCCTATGCCTTCCGTCATTATGACCAGTTAAATTCCTTAGGATTCCATGGATCAACTATTCTGTGGAGTGATGAATAACATTCACTTGTTCCTATCAATCCTATATGTAGAATATTCCTACTGCAATACATCATCCTTTCTCAATAGTGTTCGGAAAGTTTTACATGAAGTCATCGCGTGGGTGCATTCATTTAAGGGGATGACTAACCCTGTGGCAGGTCTGGACCTCTCCCAGAAATCACCACCTCCATATAGAGTACTCAGTAACATGCATATACTAGGCATGATTCCTCACAGATCCTTCCTACTGCAGGTGATCTGCCACCCAAATATTCGAATACCGTAAATCCCATCTCAGTATTGCAACAGCTTGACATGTTCTGTCTCTCATACATTCAAATTCCTCATGAGCCTCTATTCCTAATTTGGAAGAACAAGAGAGCACCAACGGACTTGTTCAACTGAGAGAATCGTAGCGTTTAAAGTAATCCTCCTCCCAGACGTGCTCTAATGGACGGATGATGTATATATAGGTGGTGGACCACGTTTGCTCTCTCTGGTCTGAGTACACTACACCTGCCCAATCCTATTTCAATAGGAGCAAGACAAGCGACATGAATGTCTACTTACTCGAGTTGCCTTGCAAATAATACGTGATTGAATCTTGAACAGCGTTGTCACATCCTCTTTGCTTAGCTTCAATTCAGAATGCCGGGTAATCTCAGATTGACTCTAGTATACTATATATTTCTCCACCCTTCAAGTTTGACATGGAATCGTACGAATTCGGTAGCATGTTTATTATGACCTTCCCAAAAGCGAAAGGTCGTCACGGGAGCAGCGCCGCTGATCCTCAAACCTCGTAGCCAATCAGCGATCACTAGCTCCAGGGAAAGTTAATGTGAATCTGCTCCCCTTGCGGCTTGAGCACTGTTGTGTTCTTCTTGTATTGCTGCAACTATTTAAAGCTCCTCTTGTCCCCCTACCTTAACATTAATTCACTTCTTACCAGGTTACATTATATCTGTTCTACATCATCTCCATATCCTCGTCATCCTTTCTGAACAAGCACCTCAATCTTACTGTCCATTATGGACAATAACCAAGCCACCACCCTGAGCAGTGCTTCTGCCGCTAACGCACCTGACACCGCGACGTTAGACAATGGCAAGTTCAAGGCTGCGCAGGATTCTACCGCGATAGATGTGAGCATGGACGAAGGTGAAAGCGATGAGAGTGAAAATGAAGACATTGTAAGTATATGAGACCCTCTACATCCAAATTAAGACGCTTGAACTGACCGTTTCTCCTTTCCTAGATGGAAGGTAACAATTGAAATCTCCCTCGAGGCTTAGTCCGCTTCGCCTGCATTAGCCTCTAAGCATACGTTGACCCTGTCCTCCCCTGCAGAAGAAGATGATGATGATGATGAAGACAAACTCGAGCCAATCTCTGCCGACAACATTATTCGTGGCGAGCGAAGGACACGCGGAAAGATCATCAACTTCCAGGAAGCCGCCAAAAAGCTCAAGGATGATGAGGGTGAGGATGATGAAGATGATGAGGACTTTACACTTGAAGATAATGGCAACAACAACATGCGAGATTAAACCAGATTGCCTTGCGGCTCACACAATCTTCTTGGAAACAGGGGCAAGTGGTCGGCGCCGGTCTATTGGCGTCTCGATAAATTTTCTGTTCTGACTCGGATAGCTGTCACGTCAACCACCATATGTTCTCCTCCCCCCTTCCTTTTTCTTTTTTTTTTTGGCTTTGTTCTCCAAACGGATGCAACATTCATGAGACATGATGTAGCAATTGATGCATAATGACTACTATCCCTGTCTTAGCTCCTTTCTTATACGGATCACTTGCTTGAGTGCTTACCAATCATACTCGGTTTCTTCGAAAGGATTGGGTTATAGGCCTCAGGTGTATAGGACCGACCACAGAGGGCGACCGTGAAAGACATATCCTTCTGGTTTGCATGGTCGACGTTATCCTGGGCTGCTCCTGCCGGTCTAATGGCATCTCATACGAGATAGGTTAGTTTCGACAAAACACGGCATAGTATTGTGTTCCGCTGGGGCGAGCAAAGGCCGTGGTATAATAGGGAATACTACCATCCGGAGCTTGGCCCTGCAATAAACAACGTAGTTCAATCTTTGTTTAGGGCAGATCCTATGGCCGACTGACTATATAGAGAAGCGGTTGTAAACCGTTGTATCGTTGTATGGCGTTGTATGGAATTATAAATAGAGCCTACTTTTCGCCTAAATAGTATTTTAGTCAATCACACTTTCCAACAATAAATATCACTAGTTATTAGTGCCAACAGTACTCGTAGGATGTAGGTATGTTTGAACTCGGTACTAGTACTAGTAGTAGTCTGTAAAGTGTTGAAGTGGCCAGAAAGCACCTTTCCCGAATAGGAAGACTATTCTATTTACGGTAACCCGTCTGAAGGCTCAATCCAAGAAAAAGGACTTGATGGGGTACTCCGTACTCCATACTTGTTCTATTGATTGCCGCAAGCAGACCGCAGAAGCCTTCAACCACGGGATTGGGTTTATTCAGATCACAACAACGAAAGTCTTGGTGTGTCACTCCACACGATGCTGGCCAACTAGAATCTGGGAAATATCCTATTCATGGTACCAGCCTCCTAAAATTTCTTGCAACAGGGTTGGACTTGTCTGCTCACTTTCTGTTATGGCTTCTCGGTAAATTGATCGTGATCCTCCTTATTTCCTTTGACTAACTATTTGATGGCATAAAACTTAAGATTTCCACGCTCCAACCTTCATCAGCGCGATCCTCGCGCATCGGCTTCCCTCTTTGATTCATATGGCGGCGATTCCAGATCTGTCAGTAGGTCGCCTGGCCGAGTGGGTGGTTATAGCTATGGAGGATATCCCAGCAATGGGTCGATTAATGGGGCCTCTGTTGGAAGTGGATACAGGGCTGCGACGCCAAATGCCAAGTAGGCTTCAACGAGAAACTATTGATCGTAATGGAGCATAATTCTAATGCCGAAACAGGGGACACTACTCCGATGCAGTTTTATCTCATCTAGAGTCGCAGAATGATGTCGAGGTAGAGGGTATCAGCGCAAAAGTCAAGATGCTGAAAGATGTAATCTTCCTACCCCCTCATCCAATTAGTTACGTTCATTTGAGTACTGATATTGAGTCTAGCTCACACTTGCTATTGGCGAGGAAATTCGGGATACTTCGACCATTACAGAACTTAATGATACATTTGACAACACTCGTCTTCGTATACGAGGCAACATGAGTCGCATGCTGCGGATGGCGGAGCGGACAGGCGTCGGCTGGCGTGTATGGCTGGCTTTCTTCCTGGCTGTGTTCCTACTCTTTGCTTATGTGTGGATGGGTTGAACCGTCCGGTTATGACTCTCTGCAAGGGCTCGTGGGTGCTCAACTCACCCTGTCTCCTCTGTGGCGACTGACACATCATTATTCTGACACTTCATTGTCCTACGCTCCTCGTCTCCCTGGCAAAGATTATGAACCCATCCGAACCGAATAAATTGCTAATGAATTCTTTCCTAATATATCTGATGATTGACAAACGAGCATGCCTTCTTCACCGTGCGTCCACCCTATATCCCCCCCCTCTCCATTCTTTTTCTTCCTCGGTTCTCTCATACTTTCCATTATGGCCTCCAAGGATGGATGGTGCTCGGTGACATTGTGACCGTCGAATCTTGACCTCGATCTTCCATTTCATGTCTTTTTTTTTACGAGCAGTTTCGAGTTATATCTCTTATACTAGGGTGGCGACTCCCCTATTCGTTACCTTCATCATGATAATGCATGCGTGGAGTTCAGGCTAATATGCTTTGTCTAGTCTGGCAGTCCTTTTCTAATGTACTATTTTGTATGTATATAAAATAACTGCTTGGTGACGGATATAAAATGAATATTGCTTTAACGGAATCCATCCTCTTTTCATTTGTAAATTCCCTGTCAGAGAGTAAGAGGAATATTTTCTATCGATGAAAACAGAGGCAGTCCACAATAGAATCAAGTTTACTGTCCGTCTAGCAGCACCGTACTCACTCTCGATCAGATACGGCACTGGTCAGCCTACGAAAGACGTTCCTGGAGGGTACCAGGGCTTAAATATGATGCGTGCCTGGATATATAGCCAAGGAACCAACTGTTGTTAAGGTCCTCATTATGCCCAAGTCATCCGCAACGACAGTGCAACAGGTAAGCCTATTGAATAGCCTTTGAATAGGAAGCCAGTCAAAGGTATTAGAAACTCCAAACACATCCTGGCGTCATCAGTCCCAAAATGTTCTTGTATTGAACACCAAACCTACAATCTGTGACTTATGCCCGCATCCAGTACGCCATACAACCCTGAAAGATAGCCCAATTATAGATAGGTTCGTCAATATATAGGATCGTTGACCTAGCCATCAGTTGGGCCTAGTCAAAACTATCCCTAGGTCCCCCAGCTCGTCGTCTGGGGAATCTACTGAAAAAGCTTCGCCGACTACCTTGACTAGTAACAGATGCACGTAGATCATCTTCATCGATCATCATGCCGCTTGTGTCGATGACATCGCCGCCGCCACTCCAACGCTGGAGGAACCGGCGTTGGGCCTCTGTCTCCTGAGCGTGAACAGGTGTTGGAGGTAGACCACGACTGCTGGCTGTACTGGCTCGGAGGTTTTGCGTAAATGGATCATGTGAGAAACTGGCCTCATCCTCGTCATCTAACTCGGCATCTGTATCGGTATGTTGCCATTCATCTTCTTGTTCGGACTGGTTCTCTGCAGCCTCGGGGATATCATCGTCCAAATCGCGGCCCATTTCTTCCTCACTTATGTCTTCGGCGCTGGGAATGTCATCATCCAGGTCTGGCTGGTTATCAAAATCATCATCGATTTGATCGTCGTCATTGTCATCAGGGAACGCTTCAGGGATATCATCGTCCAGATCCCGCTCCATGTACCCCTCCTCGTCAACAACATCATCCTCATCCAGACCCTCCTCTCCTTCCTCGACGAGACCCTCTGCATCTGCGTCAGGAATGTCATCGTCCAAGTCTCTCTCAATTCCCGTGTCATCCTGTTCATCACCATGCTGTGGATTGAGCCCATCTATCCCAGCAGCTCCTGCTTCAGCTACTGCAGCGGCCGCCGCCATCTCTGCAGTTGCCGCAGCTAGTGCTTCCTCCCTCTCCGCCTCTTCCTCTTTCATGCCCAGCATAGTCTTAGTGCATCCTGCAGGCTTGATCCACGAGTAACCGAATGAGGCGATGTTGTTCTTGCGAGCACGGAGCGCACGTTCTTCGAGAACTAATGCCGATAAGGTATTACCGGGGATGGAGGAGATGGCGAACGGACGTCCATTCATGGGATTGTTCGCATTGCGGCGGAGGTTTCCTTGCGTTTCTCCATTTGTTTGGTGTTGGGACGAGGTACGGTAGGGTTGGGAGAATCCGAACCAGAGTTCATGAGACTTAACGGATATAACAAAGATATGTCAATTATACATCCCGCTATCCCCAGATATGCATGGGGATTCTCAAGGAGGTCACATACATCGCGGGGTGTGAGGAGCGGTAGGGAGAGCATCATGGCTGGTTGAACCGTGATCAAACTCGGACAATATACCACCTGAATTGCAAGGCTCTTTATTGTTATCCAAGTTTTATATTATTCCTTCGGCTAGATTGTAATCTTTCGTATACAGCACAACAGAATACGCGGCTGCTTCTGTACTCGCGCCGATTACTGTTCTCAAGAACCACCTCTCCCTGTGATGTTCAAATCAATTGACCTAAACCGCGAGCCATGCAATTATTTTAATCCCAAAAAAGATGAAAAGGTGTTAAAGAGTGTTGAAGGTAACTCAATGAACTTGCGGTGGGAATATTATCTGGTAGTCACGAGGGGAATGATCCGAGAAAAACAATTAGACTGGCGTTTAAGCTCCGCGGCAACGTGGGGAAAGTCCACCAAGTCGATCGTTACCTTAAATCCGCCTTGGGTTCGTTCTCTCAAACATGATCTTATGTGAAGTTATCTTTTTCTTTCATTCTTTGTTTTGCCCATCCTTTATTCAATTTTGTTTCTTCTTTTCTTAGATAGATATACTATATACATTTAGTTCACCAGGATGTCCCTTACTTCCTACTCCTTCTCCGCTTGGCACACTGCCTCAGTATTCTCACATTTGAAAACTTGTAATCGTAGTAATACGCACGACTATATATTGCCCATAAATCCTACACTGAGAGGAATCTGGTAGTCATGGATGGCCGATAGTCTGTAGGCAGTCACTACATTTGGTTGATGCAATACCATCAGATTGTGACTCATGGAGAGATTAATAACTAAAGCACGCCCAAGCATGATGGCTATAGCTGTAGCATATCTACACCAAATATGTGGCCCCACCAGTGCACCACTTTAAATCTATGGTGCCTATGATATCCGCGACGTAAATGTCTTGAAGTTTTAGCGCTAGAAAGAAGGAATACTCCTCAGTTTTGACAATGGGAGTTGAAATGCGAATATTTCGCTGTTAAAAAACAAATAAATCTTCAATACTGTCTTTGATGCCTATCAACAAAAATTTCAAGTACGCTCACTACTAGTCCTTAGGTACAGTAAACAAAGTACGCTGAGATTCTAGGGCTAAGTTTCAATAAAACACCCAGAAGTCTGCTCTACAGATGTTGTGTTCAAGACTAATTGACAAAAAAAATGTAAAAAGCAAGCAGGAAATACCAGCGAGCCTGAGAGCTGGTAAAGGAGACCCTTGTACTCCGTCGACATTCCGTCAAGGCTTCTATGAAAAGGCACAGCGAGAGATTCCATACCGGGTCAAGCGACGACATAGGATCAGACCATAGCAACGTCATCAGTCATGCGGAATTTTGGGAAGAAACAATATGGAAGAGACAGATGCCGAAGTGGATCAGGCAGTGCACTCGGCTTCGACAAAACAACGGAGGCTTCTACCTATACCTGCAACGATCCCAGATCAGTTCCAGCGTCGCTTCAACGAGAAAGTACGTTGCAATAACGACACAGAGTACTCCGTCCTGCACTAAGTAACTCATCCACTCACACCAAAGGAAAGACAGATCATTTTGGACTTCTACAACACTGGAAGTAGTAAATAGTTCCCCACGATAATTGGCACTGTAATTTATTGGCCAACTGCGAGAAATCTCAAGACGCCGAGTCGGTATTCGGCCGTTTCAAGCAGTATTCCGGGTTATTCCGATGCCTTTCAGCTTTCCGCTCCGTCGACTAGCTCATGCCCGGTGAGCCCAAAGCGGACAAGACTGATCAGGAAGCATCGGGAGAAAACGGGAGCCGGAAACATTGGCATCTCCGCTGATCATGTGACACCCGTGGCTTTGAAAAAGAGGAGGATACACAATGTGACACAGTCAACATACCCCCAAAAAACGACCTGCGCTATTAGCGATCTTTCTTTACGGAGTAGCTCTGAGTCACCTTCAATCCTTTTCCGTTCCTCTTCATCGTACATGATTTAATTTCAGTGTTAGATCCACTGGTTCGGTCATGGCACAGAAAGGATAATTATCCCCCTTTAGGGATGCATTTGATTAGTTAATAACAAGACTGACACGGAGTGCGAATACACCAGCAGGAGAATTGGTATCTAAACCTTGGTTACCCCTCAGGCGTCATCAAACTCAGGGCTCTACTATTCACCCATAGGAATGGACAAGTGCCGTGTCCGGAGTTAATTTCCAAGAGAAGAGCAAGTGGCCAAGGCATTGGAGGGAATTAATATCGAACTGGTGCTGGTGGTCAAGACCTATCTACCAATTGGAAACACTTCTCCGTAGTTATTATCATTATCATCGCCATCCTCATACACCGTAGCTATCTGCATTTAGCTTTTACTGGGACTACCCCGGGATTAAGGGAAAGGGCATAAATCCGAAGAAGGAGAAGGACTTTTGATCCATTATAGTTAGTAGTTAGTATTTCCGGGGGTGCTGGTTAATTCGCCCGTGCTCATTGGTCGGGTTCAATCAGTGAATGTCATGGGGGTGGATATCCCCCGGGAAATCCTAAGATTATGGGGGGATAGGAGAAATGGTCTAGAAAGAGGTCACAGAAGGCGTTGTTTCGGGAACGGAGAAATATAGATATGGTATCGAGTAAGCATTGGAAGATTTACGCAGCTCATCTGATAAGGGTGTTGATGACCTGAGGAAATGACCTGGTAGAAACTCCCACCGGCTAATCTAGATGTATCTGTGAATGCCCACCTCCCGGCCCCCCGAAATCGGCTGGGTGAACTGTATAAATGAGCGGCCGTCAGGTGAGGATGGGGGGACCCCCCGGGAGAAGGGCCAATTTGTTGGAGGAGGGCGGGGGGAGAAAGTAGTATTCAGTATGGTAGAGGAAAAGCTCACTTGGCCGCTGTCGGAAGGTTGCTGCTGACAAGGCTAAAAATGCATCCGGGCGGACAGCATGTGTGGTATTGCTCCGTGCCAGTAATTTTACCCACCGTATGTTCGCCAATAATACATATTGAGTATGCGCTTGTAAAATGGAACGTCGGGTTACAGTACTAGTGATTTTCCAAGGTTCCAACAGCCTACTGAGGTAGTGTGGGGTATGCAACTTTTAGTATGACAGCCAGGGTACCTTTAGTATTGAGGGGGTTCTTCTACTAAAAAAAATCATCCATTTCTCAGTGCACATGCTGGTTGCATGGTTTGATCGCCTCAATTGTAGGCCGCCTGTGCACTCTAATCTGATGCTCGCCAGAGAGCAAGGCGGCTATACCAAAGCTGATCTTATCATGACAGCAAATACTTTGCTTAGGGCGTAAATCAATACTTTGTGGTGTCATGCTTATCTGAATAGGTAACGAACTACAGGGCGGTCCATCTGGCCGGGGCAGAGTACATACTAGTATTTTTCCTTTTGTTCTACGGCGCCCACTTTATGCATGCTTTTCGTGCACTTTATGATTCAATGCAATTCTCAGTACCTACCAAGGCCTACTTTTTCGGTCCAGTCAGGAATGGCTATGTATCTTAAAAGAGTACATCTAGACATTCTCACAACAACTGTTTGGGGTAGAGTCCACCTGGACATGATAAGCACCCCAAGCCTGCATCCATGGGCCCTAGCACTACCCCACTTTGGCGACAGCCATCCAATCGGGTCAACCTATAGTAGTAGTATAGTAGTAGGGAGTAAGGGCCAAAGGACTGGAACAAGAGAAATCATGTGGAAGTAGAAATGGACGGAGTACGGAGTACAGAACATCGACTCCATTCTGCTAGTACTTTAATTTTTTCTGATTTCCCAGCGACCAAGCCAGTGATAGGATTATGTACAATGGCATCAGCTTCGAAAGAATTGATGCAGAGGGGGAAATGGAAAGGTATCCTCAAAACACATACATCGCTCACTCGCCCTCCCTTTTTGGCAGAGAGAGAGAAATAGAAAGAAAGGAATGGGGGGAATAGGGGATATCTGGGAGAGGTGTGAGGAGTATATACTCCGTACATATTAACTATATTGTGACTTCACGAGGATTATTTTCTGAGGATTTGCAAGCCTGTACGTTTAATTTGGATCCAAGTAGCACTTACCTTCTCCATTTTGTGAGCATGGGTCGTCTTACTATTGTCCAATACTGGTGTCCTGAATCAGCATGATGATCCTACTAATGAATTTAGGGGTTGATCGCATGTTGAACTTGATTTCAAGGTCCTCCATAACCTTATCTCTGAATTAAAAGCTCAAATCATGCATCGTACTTGCTTCCAGCATGATTTTGTGCACTAGATATATACATTGAAGGAAATAAGAGAATTGGACGCGGATTAACGAGTTTGAGGGGCAGTTCTATTACCTTATATTATATTATATCATTTTACTTTATTTGATAAATAAGTACAGGTGGCGTGGATTCAATTGAGGAATTTGTCTGTCTATGGTAAAAGGGTACAGGACCAATTTCTACGACCTATACTCCGTAAAGGAGATCTTGGAATTACGGAGTAGAAAAGCGTTCATAGCACCAGGACCGTGTGGATTGGATGGGAAAATTACTAGGTGATACCAACCAGCGTAAACGACTGGGTAGTGTAAATCGTTTCCCACTAGTGCCAACGCAGCCATTCCTTTAATTTTTAAATTAGCTCAGAGCTCCACCAGGCTGGATCTTGACGTAGTGGAAACCTAATCTTCTTGGTTGAAAGGTTGAAATACCGGGATTCTTATTGGCCGTGACGGTCTTATCTCTCCCTCGGTTTATGGATTGCATTGCAAAGTAGGTCGGGTAACTATCTAGTATATTCCACTTCCATTCCCGCTTTCATAGCAAGACTGTACGGAGTAAGTACGTACTACTAATCTCGTACCTAATGTATGGCACTGGTGGATTAAAACTAATAATATTTGCTCCCTAAGCGGGCTCAGAAGTCTAATACTGCTAAATTGGTACACGTTGGAGGAAGGGGCAAAAGAATAAAATAGAATGCAGATATTGACAACATCATGGTTGCTTTAACATCGACTCTGTGCCTCCCACGTTGTGGTGCCCCTTTCAACCAAGGACGGAAGGCGCCGAAAATGCTCTCTTCCCGTGGATGCTACGCAAGAGTTGGTGTCTCGCCCGATGCGGAATTGAAGAGAAATGCATGTAACAATCAGTAGGAATAATCGAACTCGAATTGACCTTTCGCCTTGGCTCCCCTTCGTCCTCCCTCGTCTTTTCTTCTCTTTGTTGTTTTTCTACTTTAGTTTCTCTCTCTCGCGCGTTGTTTTAAGTAGGGAAAGGGGGGAGGGAGGGAGCAAAGACGGATTAGTTTATTTTACCATTCTCCAGATACCAATGATTAGCTGTTTTTATTTTTCGAGCTGCCTACCTAGGTACACTAGTAGTTGAGTTGCGTTCTCAGGTGGAAGAAAGAGCTGCAATTTGCCACGGCCTACCCCCCAACCCCCACAACTGCGTATTTCTATTCTATTAGTTCACTGTACACTTGTTTTCCAGTTGAAACCCTGTCATTTTGTAAGTAATGTCCGTTCATCCCCGATAAAATACATACTGTACCTTGTCTGTATCGGAGAGACAAGGTGAAATTGAATTCTCCGGACCTCTGCTTCCCGCTCTACTATCCCACCTGCCATTCCCCTACTAGTATATTCCCCCTCCCACTTTCCTGCTTCTTTCTCACTCTCTCTTCTCACTCTCTTCTTGCTTCAATTAATACTCAAGCCAAACGTTGGGTCACAGACAGAGGCCCCTGTTCCTTATTCGCCCGCGTTGTTAACCTAAATATCCTGTGACGACGTAAAGCTACTACACATCTATACGCTTCACCACCCCGCCTTGACTTGGACCGTGGCGCTCTTCTCCGGAGACACTCCACTCCATACACCCCCTAGTTTTACCATTCCATTCTCTGTCGGCCACCGGCGGAAGAATGGGTCTGAACTTGGAAGATATCTATGGCCAAAATATAATTGACGAACAGAAGCCCAACGAGTATTCGAAGTACCAGCCAAAGCAAGGATATGGCTGGGCTAATACTTTGCCCGAGAGGCAGGGACTTTATGACCCTGAATATGAAAAGGATGCTTGCGGAGTAGGCTTTACTGCGTAAGTTTTCAATTGACTGTCTCAAGGAGCCTGAATTCCTTGAGTGACCGTTGCTAACATGGACCCCTTCTACTTTGCAGCCATATTAAAGGCAAGCCCAGCCACAAGATCGTCAGTGATGGTAAGGACTCAATTGGAATTTTTATCAACCTCGACTCGCTAACGTAGATTGTCATCGTATACAGCTCGCAATCTCCTCTGTAATATGACGCATCGAGGAGCTGTTGGCTCAGATGCTCGGGATGGTGATGGTGCTGGTGTGATGACGAGCATTCCTCATAAATTCTTCATTAAGAACTTTGCTCGTGAAGTCGGGGTTGATCTTCCCCCTCTTGGCCAGTACGCGGTTGGCAACCTTTTCTTCAAGCCTGATCAAGAGACACTCAAGGATTCTACGACTACATTTGAGGAACTTGCCACATCCTTAGGGCTACGCGTGCTGGGGTGGCGTGAGGTTCCTCATGATTCTACCATTCTGGGTCCTGCTGCTCTCTCTCGAGAGCCCGTTATTATGCAACCCTTTTTGGTACTGAACTCGGCCTATGGCGACGGTAATAAGCCCGAGATCACAGATCCAGAATTATTCGATGAAAGAACATTCGAGCGTCAACTGTACATTCTTCGGAAACGTGCTACACATGTTCTTGGTCTCGCCAACTGGTTCTATCTGTGCTCTCTCAGCAACCGAAATATCGTTTACAAGGGTCAACTCGCCCCTGTCCAAGTATATCAGTACTACCATGACTTGGTCAATGTGGACTATGAAGGCCATTTTGCTCTTGTTCATTCTCGTTTCTCTACCAACACATTCCCCTCTTGGGATCGTGCTCAACCTTTACGATGGGCTGCCCACAACGGCGAGATCAATACTCTTCGAGGAAACAAGAACTGGATGCGGGCTAGAGAAGGTGTGCTGAAATCAGACATTTTTGGCGAGGAACTTGACTCGCTGTACCCGGTAGTAGAGGACGGCGGCTCTGATTCTGCCGCTTTTGATAATGTCCTGGAGTTGTTGATGATTAATGGTGTTCTCTCCTTGCCAGAAGCAGTCATGCTCATGATCCCCGAAGCATGGCAGGGTAACCCGGCTGTGGATCCTGCAAAGGCTGCTTTTTACGAGTGGGCTGCTTGTCAGATGGAGCCTTGGGACGGGCCCGCCCTCTTCACGTTTTCTGATGGTCGGTATTGTGGCGCAAATCTTGACCGTAATGGTTTGCGTCCCTGCCGTTTCTATGTCATGGACGATGATCGTATCATTTGTGCGTCTGAGGTCGGTGCTGTCGATATTGACCCAGAGCGTGTGGTACAGAAGGGCCGCTTGCAACCTGGAAAGATGCTACTGGTTGACACCGTGGCTGGCCGAATCATTGATGACTCCGAGCTCAAATATACTGTCTCTCATCGTCAAGACTTCGCCGCATGGTTGGAAAAAGAGCTTTTGAAGCTGCCCACCATCAATGAGAAGTTGCTCCAACGCAATGTCGATCTTAGTTACACAATTGATGACACCACTGTCCAGAACGACCCCCGCCTCAAAGCTTTCGGATACTCCTTTGAGCAGGTCAGCCTGCTGCTTGGTCCCATGGCGGCCGACTCCAAGGAGGCATTGGGCTCGATGGGAAATGATGCTCCGTTAGCTTGCATTGCCCAACAGCCACGTCTTCTATACGAATATTTCCGCCAGCTTTTTGCGCAAGTTACAAATCCACCCATAGACCCTATCCGAGAGGCTGTGGTTATGTCTCTTGAGTGCTACGTCGGTCCCCAGGGTAATCTTCTAGAGATGGATGCCTCGCAATGCCGCCGCCTCCTCCTTCCTTCTCCCATCTTGAGCATCCCCGAGTTCAATGCCCTGAAGAATATTGACAAGGCGCACAATGATTGGACCGTAAGGACTATTGACATTTCCTTCGAGAAGAAGAAGGGCGTTCCGGGATATCTAGAGGCACTTGATGCCATTTGTGACGCTGCTACCGTGGCAATTCAGAATGGGGACAAGGTTCTTGTACTTTCTGACCGTGCTACTTCGGCAGACAGAGTTTCAGTGTCTGCTCTTCTAGCTACTGGTCTCGTACATCATCATTTGGTTCGTAACAAGTGGAGGTCTCTTGCAGCCCTGGTTGTCGAAACTGCTGAGGCTCGGGAAGTCCACCACATGTGTGTTCTGGTTGGTTATGGTGCCGACGCCATCAATCCATACCTGGCTATGGAGTGCATTCTCAAGATGAATCGCGAGAAGTTGATCCGCAAGCAACTGCCAGACGACAAAGTTATCGAAAATTATAAAGCCTCGTGTGATGGAGGTATCCTAAAAGTCATGAGCAAGATGGGTATTTCTACGCTGCAGTCGTACAAGGGCGCACAGATCTTTGAGGCACTTGGTATTGATGATACCGTCATTGACCGATGCTTCGCGGGGACCGCGAGCCGCATCCGTGGTTTAACGTTCGAGCTGATTGCTCAGGATGCGTTTGCTTTACATGAACGCGGTTACCCATCACGTTCAGTTATTGAAATCCCTGGACTTCCTGAGTCTGGCGAATATCACTGGCGTGATGGAGGCGAGGAGCATGTGAACGACCCGGTCAGCATCGCTAATATGCAAGATGCAGTGCGTACAAAGAACGACAAATCTTACGAAGCCTACGCCAAAGCGGAGCACGAGCAGATCAAGAACTGTACTCTCCGTGGTATGCTCGACTTTGATTTTGAGCAGCGCACTCCTATCCCCATCGATCAAGTTGAGTCTTGGACTGAAATCGTCCGTCGATTTGTGACAGGCGCAATGTCCTATGGATCCATTTCCATGGAGTCTCACTCTACCTTAGCTATTGCTATGAACCGTCTTGGGGGCAAATCCAACACTGGAGAAGGAGGTGAAGATCCTGAGCGAAGCAAGAGAATGGAGAATGGGGATACCATGCGGTCTGCAATCAAGCAAATCGCTTCCGGCCGTTTCGGTGTGACATCTCATTATCTAGCCGATGCTGATGAATTGCAGATCAAAATGGCCCAAGGTGCTAAACCAGGCGAAGGTGGTGAGCTTCCTGGTCATAAAGTCGTTGGTCCTATTGCTCACACCCGTTATTCCACTCCTGGCGTTGGTCTGATATCGCCACCCCCCCACCATGATATATATTCAATTGAAGACCTCAAGCAGCTCATCTACGACCTCAAATGTTCGAACCCTCGTGCACGTGTCTCTGTTAAGCTCGTATCGGAAGTTGGTGTTGGTATTGTTGCCTCTGGTGTTGCCAAAGCCAAAGCCGATCATATTCTGATCTCTGGTCATGACGGCGGTACTGGTGCTTCTCGTTGGACTGGTATCAAGTATGCTGGCCTTCCTTGGGAACTGGGTCTTGCCGAGACTCACCAAACCCTTGTTCTCAATGACCTCCGGGGTCGTGTAGTTGTGCAGACTGATGGTCAACTCCGCACTGGCCGCGATCTTGCTATCGCTTGTCTCCTCGGAGCCGAAGAGTTTGGCTTTGCCACAACTCCCTTGATCGCTATGGGATGCATTATGATGAGGTTTGTATAACTGGTAAAGCCTATATATAGTTATATTTGTTTCACTGACAGCTGTTTAGGAAATGCCACCTGAATACTTGCCCTGTCGGCATTGCTACTCAGGACCCTGAACTGAGGAAAAAGTTCTCAGGCACCCCGGAGCATGTCATCAACTTTTTCTACTATGTTGCCAATGAAATGCGCGCTATCATGGCCAAATTAGGTATTCGTACCGTGAATGAAATGGTTGGGCGGGCTGAGCTACTCAAGACCAGAGATGACATCCGGACTGCTAAGCAGGAGAGGATCGATCTTTCTCTCATTCTGACTCCTGCTCATTCCTTGCGACCCGGAGTTGCTACATACAATGTCCGCAAACAGGACCATCGTCTGCACACTCGTCTCGATAATAAGCTGATTGCAGAGTCTGAACTTGCGCTTGAGAAGGGTCTTCCCTGTAGGATTGAGTGTGATATAGTTAATACTGATCGTGCACTGGGCGCTACACTCTCTTACCAGGTCAGTCGCCGCTTTGGTGGCGAAGGTCTTCCACAGGATACAATCCACGCCAACATCAAGGGCTCTGCTGGTCAGTCGTTTGGCGCTTACCTCGCTCCAGGTATCACTCTTGAGCTTGAGGGTGATGCCAACGACTATATCGGCAAGGGTCTATCGGGAGGCCGTCTCATAATCTATCCTCCCCGTGGTGCAGCCTTCAAAGCAGAGGAGAACATCATCGTTGGTAACACTTGCCTCTATGGTGCTACCAGGGGTACTTGCTTCTTCCGTGGTGTGGCTGCTGAGCGTTTTGCTGTCCGTAACTCAGGTGCTACTGCGGTCGTTGAGGGCGTTGGTGACCACGGATGTGAATATATGACTGGAGGTCGTGTTCTCATTCTTGGCTCAATTGGCCGCAACTTTGCTGCTGGTATGTCTGGTGGTATTGCTTACGTCCTCGATATGGACCAGGACTTCCACTCAAAGGTAAACATGGAAATGGTGGAGGTCTCCGGTCTGGAAGATCCCGCCGAAATTGCCTTTGTCCGCGGTCTTATCGAGGACCATCACCACTACACTGGATCGGAACTAGCTGCTCGCATTCTACTGGACTTTACCCGTGCTCTTCCTCACTTTGTCAAGGTTCTACCTACCGATTACAAGCGGGTGATGGAGGAGGAAGCTGCCAAGGCTGAAGCTGCTAAGAGGGCTGAGTTTACTGTGCCCCAGCTTCCTAGCGCACCTTCCAACGTTGAGCAGCTCAGGGCGGGCGAGGCCAGGAAAGCTGAGATGCTTGACATTGAGGATAGCGTGAGCGATTCAAAGACCGAGAAGAAGCGGTCAGCACTCATCCTTGACAAGACAAGGGGTTTCATGAAGTATAACAGGCGCAGTGAGAAATATCGGAACCCTGGTACTCGTACACGTGATTGGGCCGAGCTTTCTAGTCGTCTAACTGAGGATGAGCTCAAGTATCAATCTGCCCGTTGTATGGACTGCGGTGTTCCCTTCTGCCAGTCTGACACTGGCTGCCCCATCTCTAACATCATTCCTAAGTGGAACGAACTTGTTTTCCAAAACCAGTGGCAGGATGCCCTTAACCGCTTGCTCATGACCAACAACTTCCCCGAGTTCACTGGCCGTGTTTGCCCCGCCCCTTGTGAAGGTGCTTGCGTTCTTGGGATCAATGAAGACCCTGTTGGGATCAAGTCTATCGAATGTGCCATCATTGACCGTGGTTTCGAGATGGGCTGGATGGTACCTCGTCCTCCTAAGATCCGTACCGGTAAGACGGTTGCCGTCATTGGCTCCGGCCCAGCTGGCCTCGCAGCTGCGGACCAGCTAAACCGCGCTGGACACGCCGTCACCGTATACGAACGTGCTGATCGTATTGGCGGTCTTCTTATGTATGGTATCCCCAACATGAAACTCGACAAGAAGGTCGTGCAACGCCGCGTCGATCTGATGGCTGCCGAGGGCGTCATATTTGTGCCCAACACTGCTGTTGGCCCTGGTCAAGAAGTTTCTTTGGACTCCCTGCGTAGGACGAACGATGCTGTTATCATTGCTACTGGTGCCACAGTGGCTCGGGATCTCAAGGTTCCCGGCCGAGAGCTGGAAGGCGTACATTTTGCCATGCAATTCTTACACCGCAATACCAAGTCGCTCCTTGACTCTAATCTTGCTGATGGCGCATATATCTCCGCCAAAAATAAACACGTTGTTGTCATTGGAGGTGGTGATACTGGAAATGATTGCATTGGTACCTCTGTCCGTCACGGTGCTAAGTCTGTTACCAACTTTGAGCTACTTCCCCAGCCGCCTCCAGAGCGTGCTCGCGACAACCCATGGCCCCAATGGCCGCGCATCTACCGTGTTGATTACGGCCACTCTGAAGTCAAGGCCCATATGGGCAAGGATCCTCGTGAGTACTGTGTCATGTCTACAGAGTTTGTCGATGACGGCAACGGCCATGTCAGGGGCATCAACACTGTTCGTGTTGAGTGGACTAAGAGCGCTTCTGGAGGTTGGGATATGAAGACAGTTGAGGGCAGTGAACAGTTCTTCCCCGCAGACCTTGTCTTGCTGTCCATGGGATTCCTTGGGCCTGAAGACCGCCTTCTTGGCGATGAGATAGAATGTGATGCTCGCAAGAATGTCAAGACACCCCCCGGTCAATATTCCTCTAATGTCCCTGGTGTTTTTGCTGCTGGCGATTGCCGTCGCGGACAATCCCTCATTGTTTGGGGTATCAATGAGGGCCGTCAGTGTGCCCGCGAAGTCGACACCCATCTTATGGACATTAGCTCTCAGCTTCCTGTCACTGGCGGTATTGTTCGTCGGCCGGCTATTGATGCGGTTCGGCAGTCCACCGAACAAGCTGTTTCCGCATGATTTTCTCTGAGAGCTTCAGATTCTTCAGAGCTGGACATATTCGAGCCCTGGAGCTATGGCTCATGATTAAAATGACTGTAGATTATTGTGTTATGATCAAAGAGTTTTCTTAACCAGCTGAATACATGGTGGCTGAAAATCTATATCATGGCAATTGATCAACAGTCACGACTGCAGTTACATTGACATGTTAACAACAATGGTGCAACACTCCCGGAGAGGTTTATTAAGTGCTTTGTTCTTTTGTTCATTGAAGCCTGTGCCGTTTTGGTTCCTGCTATTTCTTCCGTTCTGAGGCTGTGTTACTTTGCATTTTGTTGCAGCGGTCTTTCCCATAAAACTGGTATGCAAAAATGGGGTCGGAGCATTTGTTATTCAGATTATATTTTCTATGATTCGCTGTACATATCTACTCCTTAAGCAATATAGCAGAGATTCGATGATATACATCGTTGTGGATTGATACATTACATGGCGACCTGCCTTGCTGGCGGATTTTGTAATGCACCAAACGAATGGTGATAACTGCACGAGAGAACGGACTGCAAAATGTGCCTATCATTTAGAGGCTAGCTGATATTCTGATCTACCACGAGGTGATTCTAAAGGGTCTTGTATCTTCATTTCCAGATCTTATCTGCAGATACTCTTGCCCTTCGATTTGCCTCTCGACCCATGAACTCGTCGTCGACCTTTATGACCCATTCCAAGCTAGCCTCATCGTCAGCCGCCTTCAAGAAATCGTGGAGATATCCCAACCGCTGATCGGCCAGCTCGATCATTGCCCATAAATTTCTATAATACATCGATTGGTCCAATGATGTCTGGGGCTTGAGAATGGGTTTGCGGTGTGGTGCTCTCTCGTCAAAATCGGTTGGATAGTACCCCTTCCTGGGACGGTCAGGGAGTTGCACCACCGCACCCCAATGAACGCGTTTTCGTAGCCTATGTCTTCGAATATGGTTATGAGCCTGATCTGCGTGTGGTAGTAGTGGGGTTGGTCGTGCACTCGACTGTCCATGTCGACGTGATTTTGTGCGATAAGCACGGTGGAATAAAAAGGAATGTATAGCGTGGTATATTCGTGAATCCATCAGACTGACAAGGCGAAAGCCTTCGAGAAACCATGCGGGGATCTGTAGCTTAGTTCTGCCATTTTAACTTCTGACTTCATCGCTTTTATATGATACAACCTAGTGAGCATGGACAAAGGATGAAAGGACGTGTTATCGATAAAGACACTAAGCATTAACTTGTGTTACTGATATTATACAATAGATTCCTAATTCTCAAGGGAAAACTCCATCATCCAGGTCTATGACAGCTGCTTGACATGGCATTAAAACAATGAACACTATACAGAGTCCCATGAGGCGCAGGGGACAGGTATCCAGAATTCAAATCTACATACACTGATAAACAAGAGAGTGCAGGCAAACAAAGAAGCATCAGCGAACCTAAGCGGCACCAGCTCCCTGTGCTTCTTCCTCCGCTTGCATCTCCTTCTCAAGGGCAGCGAAATCCCCTTCAAAGGCATTCCGAACTGGCTCTGTCCGGAGATCCCAGACATCCTCACTACTGGGCCCTGTCTTATACTTGATGGCCTTCTTGCGATAGTGGTCTCTGACTGCCTTCTTACGAGCACCATCCGACCACGTCCTGGCCTTCATGCACAGCCAGAAATTATCCCAATGTTCACTGCACGACCGCAACTCGCCATATCGGTAAACATTGACGAACTGCCCGCCGAATGATTGACAGAAAAATGCGTAGTCGAATGCAGAACGACAGGACATTGTATCGGGGTAGAGAGATTCGGGTGCTATGGAAGACGGGGGTGATGACGTGGGCTCTGGTGATCCTGCGGAGGACGGTGACTCTTGTGATGCCTCAGATCCTTTATTAATGTCTCCCTCCAGGCTGGCTAGCAATTGCCTCAATTCCGCATCTGCTCGTTCTTCGCGAGTTAATGTCCGCGGTTGCGATAGAGGTGCCCCGGAGTTCTCTGGCGCTGGTTGCGTACTATCGGATGAAGAGATAATTTGTGGTTTGTTTTTGGAAGGAGAAGAAGACGAACTCCACCACCAGCCCATTTTGTGTAATGAATACTTGACGTTGGAAAATAAGGACAAGAATTAGAGGTGGAGGTAGTGTTGAAGCGGCAATTCTGTGGATTGAATGAATGTAGGAATTAGCGCTGTAAATTTCATAGTTACAGAAAATGACAATACCAGGACACTTCCCCGGGTTAGATGCGGGATACGGCTGTCCTGGAGTGTATGATACGGGCATCTACGTCATACTCATAACCAACCTGATGTTGATCAGTATCGAACTCCTCAACAATGGCTCTACCATCTCAATAGAGACGACAATAATGATGCGAAAATCATTTCCAGCGGTGATACCTCAAATCTATCAGGCATCCTTACGGTGGAGGCGACCACCCCCATCTCTGTTTGTCGCAAAGCCCTCGCTCGCTCGCCTCAGTAGCGCATCGCATACTTCGTATCTCGAGACAGGACACATTGATTTGAAGGAAAATGAAGGACTACTGTTTATCAATAGTACGAAATCTTGAAGTTAGCTTTCATGCTGGTAGTACTGCAAGCTAAGTTTGAACTACAGACATTTTCCCCCAAAAACTGCAATGGATCTTGGAAGGGCCTCTCCGCGCAAGTCGATCGTACGAAGAGGCATTGAAACGAATCGACAGACCGCACCTCGCAGCGTCCGATCCCCTACGCATAATCTGCCGCGTCTTTCCCCAAGATCTAGAAGTTGAGATCAAAGAGGTCGTTCCGCGCTTTAGAGAAGGTGGTGCATTTGTGAAATACACTCGCAACGAGGGAGTTAAAGACACTGATATCGAGACGGCTGTCAAGGATCATCTTGAGAAGCACCCTATTCGACCCTGGTTCAATCCTTTCCAGCAGGTCAAGGTTGCTCCTGTTCTTGGAAGACCATGGGTGGAGGATTTATATCGCATACCGAGCCCTCGACTGAGAGTTGAATTCCTGCCGGGCAGCGCCAATGATTTAGTAAACGATCCAACCACGGAATCTTTGTACTCACTATTCCGCAGCTATGGGAAGTTGAGAGATATTGAAAGACAACCGTCAGATTCTAAGATCCTACCAAGGTACGCCTACGTAGAATTTGCTCGTCCCAAGTTTGCGGTTACGGCCAAAAATTGTATGCACGGATTCACAATCCCAGAGCAAGAAGGTGGCGCAAAGTCTGGCACAAGGTTAAAGATCAACTATGAGCGGAAGATCAAATTGTCAATGATCAAGGACTGGATCTTGAGCCATCCAAGGATAGTAATCCCTGCCGTCGCTGCCCTCATCGCGGCCATCACTGTGACTGTTTTCGACCCTATTCGCACATTCTTTATAAAGATGAAGATAAAGGCAACGCTTCAGGTCGAAGAGAACAGTGTTCTAGGATGGATTCGCAAACAGGCTAGTAAGGCCAACATCATCGGCTTGGGTGTTGTGGCATCTGATCCTCGTGGGCTCAGCGCAATTTGGGAGGATCGTCAAGGAGATATTTCTCAGCTGCAATCTTGGCTTACGGAGAATATGGAGACCTTCATCATTATACACGGCCCTCGGGGTTCCGGGAAACGGGAACTTGTATTGGACCAAGCTCTTGAGAACTACAAATACAAGGTGGTCATTGATTGCAAGCAGATACAGGATGCCAGGGGCGACACTGCAAAAATTGCACGAGCAGCTAGTCAAGTAGGCTACCGGCCAGTGTTCTCCTGGATGAATAGCATTAGCAGCTTCATCGATCTAGCTGCACAGGGCATGATTGGTACCAAAGCGGGGTTCTCCGAAACATTGGATGCGCAACTCAGCAATATCTGGCAGAATGCTGCCACTGCTCTGAAGGGAGTCGCGTTGGATAGCAGGGGAAAAAACGATAAGGATGCGCATCTCACAGACGAGGAGTATCTGGAAGCTCACCCCGAGCTCCGACCAGTGGTGGTTATTGATAACTTCCTGCACAATTCTTCCGAGGATAATGTCATATATGACAAGATCACTGAATGGGCCGCTGGGTTAACATGCGCCAACATTGCACACGTTATTTTCCTAACCACCGACGTTTCCTTTGCTAAACCTCTGAGCAGAGCTCTACCGAATTCGGTCTTTCGAACAATCTCCTTGGGTGATTGCTCCCTTGAAGTCGGCAGGAGGTTTGTACTCAACCATTTGGCCGATGAAGCAAGAACGGGGGATAAACCACCCAGAAGCGAGGAATTTTTGGAGGATCTAGACAGTTGTATTGAAATATTGGGAGGCCGGGTGACTGATCTCGAATTCATGGCACATCGTATAGAAGCGGGAGAAACCCCCAATGGTATGTTAGCCGCTTCCATTGGCATGATACATAGCTAACGAACGCGAAAGACGCGGTCAATCGCATTATAGAGCAATCGACATCTGAAATACTCAAAATGTTTGTCTTAAGTACGAATACTGAGGGCCAATGGAGCCACGAGCAGGTCTGGCATTTGATCAAGATGCTGGCGAATAGCAAAGAAGGTAGTCTGCCATACAACCAAGTCCTTCTCTCAGACCTTTTCAAGGAAAACGGCGAGGCTGCTCTTCAAGCTCTTGAGCAGGCAGAACTCATTTCCATTGTCTCTATCAACGGCTGCCCTGAGACGGTCAAGCCTGGCAAACCAGTTTATCGATCGGTTTTCAAAAAGTTAACCGAGAATAAGACACTCAGCAGTCGCCTGGACCTCGAGATTCTATCACAGTTGATTAGTAAGGAGAATAAAAGCATTGGAAAATATGAAGAGGAGCTGCGTTTGCTTGGATCACTGCCAAAACAGCCCCGAGAGCTAACCTCGCGAATTCAGTGGCTCTTACAAAAAGTATATAACTCGCAGAACAAGATTAGCAGGTACGAGACTGAGAGTGCGTTCCTCCAGATGATCCTCCGTAGTGGACATTGAAACGACTCGTTCTAGACCTGCCTATCTAGTACCGCTGTGCTTCCATAACGGTGATGGTTTCACTTTCTCATTCACTTTATTTCCTTCTTCTTTCCTTTCGCTTGAGTACACCTTTGCAGATATGATAGTTATACATAACAAATAGCAACGAATGGAATCAGCTAGTTAACTAGTTAACGTAACCAACGGGCGAGTGGCCGCTCGCTCGGGATGGCCACTCGCCCGTTGGTTACGTTATGGGGTGGCTGTTAGCTGAGTAAGCTGTAATATTACTGTATAACTAATGTATCACATCACATCATACCGGGAGTCTATCATCTACTCTCTTTCAAGTTTTCCCCATCACACTCCATTAGACTTGGTACTCCCCAACGGGCCTTCAAATCATCCTTTGCCTTTAAAGGTGGGGCTCTCTTGAAAGTACTACTTGTTCCTCTTCTATCCCTTGGCCCTGTGTGGCCCGCTGACTCTGTGCTTTCGCCCAGTCTATGTCTTTTTACATTTTCCGCTGTACCAATTATTTCTTTTCTTTTTACTTATACCCCTTTTTTATTCAAAGACAATGGGGAAGTATGAAATCTCCCCTGATGGTCTGATATCAAATGCCTGGAATGTCTCAGCTGAGCTGTTATGGCCACTGTTAGCAGCCACCCTGGTCCTTTGCTGTATTGCCACACGTATCATCAGCGGATTCCAGAGTCGCGCCGACAGTAAGACTGAACAATCGCAATCAGTGAAGACGCTGCCGTATTGGTTCCCTTGGCTGGGTCATAGTCTTTCTTTTATATGGGACCACGTAAGCTTCACGGAAAAAGCTAGGTCAGTATCCATATCTGCCTCTGTATTAGCCCTGTGGGACCTGACCGGCGCTATAGAGATTATATGAATGCACCTGTGTTCGGAATCTTCATGGGTGGCGCAAAGCACAAAACCATCGTGTCACCATCCATGATCAAATATATCATGCAATCCAAAGCCACATCATCAGCTCCTCTAGTCAAACGTGCGCTGAAAGCTTTTGGCGACCACCTGGGCTCACTGCGAGATCTGGATACTATTGACTATCAAACATTTCATCACAAGCTTCCCAATCTGCTCATGCAGGAACCATTCATAACGGAAGCTTCCGAAACTACTAGTCAGCTTTTAAAACGCGAGGTTCCAAATTTCGTCACCTTCAGCCGGAGTGTGGTTGATCAAACGTTGTGGGAGCGTGGGAGCGATGTCGAAGTTGTCAACGACCACCGCGACAAGCCCACCTGCGAGGCAAACCTGTTTGACCTTGTCAGGGGCTTCATCGGAAATATTACAACCACTACCCTCATGGGTCAAGCAATTTTGGAAGTCTTTCCTAATTTGCTTGATGATGTTTGGATACTGGACAATCGATTTCCCCTTCTAGCGATTGGTGTACCTCGTTGGGTACCAATTCCTGGTCTGCCTGCAGCGTATGCTGCTCGTGATCGGATACTGAACTCTCTTGCCGCCTACCATCAAGCATTTCTCCAGTGGGATGATGGGGTAGACCCTGGTGTGAAATTCCGTGATCTCGAAGATGTTTCAGAGCCTTTAAAACAACGCATCCGGATGTCCAAGAACTTGGGACTCTCACCAAGGTCCAGCGCACCCGGACACTTGTCTTTGATCTGGGCCATGAATGCTAACTCTTCAAGCATCGCCTTTTGGTACCTTGTCCACCTTTACAATGATCCTACTCTTTTAGAAGAGATTCGAACCGAAATATCTCCTTATGCGAAAGCTCACAGGCTAAGTAGGGAAGAAACTGGCTTCCCTTTCGAAGAACCACCCAGGATCTCTCTTGATCTCGAAGGCTTGTTGAACTCTTGCCCTTTACTGAAGGCCAGCTTCTACGAAACACTTCGTTTGGATTCAGCAGACATGTCATTCCGAAAACTCACATCTGACTTGACCATCACAGAGTCCAACGAAGACATTACAAATAGTGATCGGCCAAAGCCCCATGTTTATAAACTCTACAAAGGCGAGAATATTATACTCCATCATGGAGTACTCCAGAACGACTCTCGGTATTTCTCGAACCCCAGCCAGTTTGATCCACTGAGGTTTATCATAACCGACCGTGAAACCGGGGAAAAGAAGGCAGACATGCACACAATTCACCCATTTGGTGGAGGCATGTCTGGATGCAACGGGCGAACATTTGCGGAGAGGCAGCTCTTGGCTTTCACTGCCGCAATGATCGTCATGTGGGACATTGAACCAATGGATGGCAGTCGGTTTACAGTCCCAGGACATAGGCAATCTAGCGGTGCTTATTTGCCCGAAAAAGACATTAGAGTACGTATAATAGCTCGTGTGTGATAGTAACAATAATAGAGAAATACATTTGTGAAACGTCGACAGTCCCGAAAGGGGTACCACCTTTATCCAGATTTTAGCTCCATGTCTATGTATGTAGTAGTGGCTTTGATGAGGGAAGGAGGATACTCTGCATCTCACTCCGCCTATTGCTGCTTTGCAAGGGGTGATTATTGCTCTTAACGCATTATGATTGACAGGTATTATGCATTTGTGATGAGAAATTCCGAGTCTCGATTACCATTATAGTTCATAAGATCAGGCTGACTGAGACCTAAGTTTTGCATAAATTGCCGAGCTGACATAGTCCAAAACATCCATGTATAGACCAATGAACACAAAACGACTGACATTAACAACCAAAGACACTGGGAAATACCCGAGATTTAAAAGAGCCCCGACAGAAAGCACTATCAGGGAACTTGGTCACCTTATTGTTTGTCGTGAAACCAATTCTCTCACTCTTGGAAGATTTATATTTGATGAAGGCTTTGTTGGAATCACTTTGGGAACACTCACAAATGCGTGCTCGGCAGCAATGGTTACAACAACGTAAACTATGAGGACTATGGCCTTCCCTCTCATCGAGTTTTGGTCTCCGGCAAGGATCAGCTGTATAGGGGCCCGCATTACTCTCCCCCCAAGAAAAGTCTTGCTTGGATTTTGAGAATATTCTGAGCATGTGTCTACCTGCCCTTTCATAGAAATTTTCAACACATATTTTGGGGTTGATTTCAGTCATTTGAACATCCCACAGCTCACGGAGGCTGCTAAGCGTAGGTTCCAGCTCGACAACGGTCTAGAAGTCTTACTTTCTACCATCAGCGTGCACGAAACTTTTATCGCACCTCACTAGTATGTTCCTGCGGGATTTTATAGGTATGGGCACCAATGAAATGATTTGTGTCCGAGCGCTCGAAGCGCGTAGATTGACTGGTGGTGTGTACCGTTCTATCTTCCACTTATCGTATGTGCTGCATTGCATCTATCTAGTAGTTTATCAATTCACCACTAAATTTTACTGATAAAGCTTTAGGCTGCGACAAGACTGTTGCCGCTTAGTTAATGGGTGACATTTCTGAAAACAAGCTGGTCTTACCAATTGAGCCATCGTAATCTGCGTGTGGGAAGTATATTCGGTCATGTCAAAGTTGCGATGTATTCTTTTTGGGCCCTAACCCTATGCCCTATGCCCTTTGGAATGACATATTTGGGTTATTGGGCATCGCGCGCGCGGACGCGTTCCTGCGCGTCGGACAACACTCCGCTAGCCCAATCGTGATCGGTAAGTAACCTGGGATGTCAAGATAAGCTACGAGCTGTACTCAGTTTGACAGACGTGACGGATTGATCTTTCTGAGTGTATTATGTTCAACTCCCGGTAAATCTATTTTCATACCTGTCCTGCCACCGGTTCTCTATCTCTACAATGGCCTCGGAAGCCATCCGCCCTAGAGGCAGACCAGCCCGTAAGTTTGCATATATCTTGACCCTCAGTATGGACGGCGTAGCTGATTTGGGAACAAACTTAGATACCCCTGGGACTACAGTATTGGCACACACCCCGAATGGCCGTCGCGTTATTACTGGTGGTTCTAACTCCGCGATTCGAATATACACTATTGGGCAAGATGGCGAACCAAAGACTGTCGACGAGGGTGTTGATGGACATACGGGAATCGGTGCTACAGTATGTTATGTAGACCCTAGGATGAAGTTGGTAAGATGCTAAGGACTATTACAGAATGAGTCATTCATCATGGGAGCAGAGGATGGTACTGTTTGGCAGTATGAACTTGAGTCTGGTCGAATGGAAAATTTGCTTGTTCGATGTGCCTTACCCGTGCGAGATATAGCGATCTCGAATGATGGTGAATGGGCTGCAGTAGCAAGCGAGTTAGTACTCTGTGCGCAATAGCTCTAGGGGACCTAGATGACTAATTTGGTACAGTGAACTCACAGTGAAGATCGTCAAAATTGAGGATATGACGAAAGTTAAGTATCTTCGGGAACAAACTAAGGGAACTAAACATGTTTCCTTCGACCCAAGCGGGCGGTATATCGCGGTATCGTGTATAGACGGTATATTGTATATATATTCATTGCTCGCCGATGAGCCGGAACTCGTACGAAAACTTGATGGAGCTATTCGGAGGCTTGAGCCAGAGGATGAAGCGACATCGAGGGCGGTGTGGCATCCAGATGGGACGGCGTTTGCTGCTGCAGAAGCCACCAGGGATATTGCAATTTTCTCCACGAGCGAGTGGAAGAAGGAGAAAGTCTTCTCTGGTGGCCACAATGGTGATGTTACAGCAATCAGCTGGTCCCCGAATGGCGCACTTCTGGCGACTGCTGGCGCAGATGGTCAAGTCCTGCTATGGGAAACTAAGACACAAAAGGTACTACAGCGGCACGACTTTTCGAACGTGATTAATCTTTCCTGGCACCCTTCTAATAACTCTTTATCGTTCACAACGTCGGATGGAGAGCTATTCATATATGATGGAATTGTATCAAGCGAATACCAGCCATTACTCCAGAAGCCGCTTCAGGCTGCACCTATCTTTCCAGGACCTTTAGCGGAGATATCTGATAATATGAGACGGCCATTAGCGAACAGACCGAAGGAGTCCATCGAGCAGCGAGCAGGTACTCCTGACTCTCTTGATGATATCCTTGGCTCCGACCAGGGGATGGAAGACTTCGTCGATGATGATGATGGCGCCGGATACGCCGAAGGTGTTAATGCATTTGGCAAGCGGACAAGTCAGCATCTGGACGAGATCGATGGCCATGCTGAGAAGCGACTTTTGACCTCTTACTCTAAGCCTAAAACGCACCCATCGCTTCAGCCTGGTAGTACACCCTGGCGAGGTAACAGACGGTATCTCTGTATGCATCTCAAATATTCACGGTTATCTCCTAGTGACATACTAATTGACTCGGCTAGGCCTAAATCTAACAGGCTGCGTTTGGACCGTTGACCAAGAGACTCATAATACAGTGACGGTGGAATTTTACGATCGAGAACTCCACCGTGATTTCCACTTTACCGATCCGTATCTCTACGATCGCGCGTGTCTCAGTAAGTCGAATGAACTCATGGTTCTGATGATTCCTTGCTCACTAGGCCTAGATGACCACGGAGCTCTCTTCTCCAACACCCCTACTGACGGCAGTCCTGCCACAATCTTCTATCGTCCCCATGAAACATGGACTACGCGAGCGGACTGGCGGACACAACTACCCAGGGGAGAACTCGTCAGAGGTAGAAGCCCAACTGGTCTCCCTCCACTTCGTTGCTGACTTGGTGACAGCGCTGGCGCTCAGTGATTCTTATATCGTCGTCACGACGACGAAAGATTATGTCCGTGTTTATACATTGTTTGGAACACCGTTCAAGGTGTACAGGCAGAAGAGCCCAGTGGTGACATGCGTCGCATGGAGGGACTATATTATGACTATCGGGAACGGGCCCGTAGGAAGCGACGGCCGCACAGCAACATTGCGGTATTCTGTCGAAAATGTGAAAAGGGATGAGATCTGTCAAAATGAGGATGTGGTAGCACTTCCTGAAGGCGCAGAACTGCAGAGTGTTTTCTTCTCAGATACAGGAGTGAGTGGATCCCAAAGCAGCATTTCTCATTTAGTAGATACTAAATTTAGATTCAGGACCCATTTATCTACGATTCTGAGGGTGTTCTTCTCATCCTGCAGCACTGGCGTAACCATGGCCAAGCTCGCTGGGTTCCACTCCTTGATACCACGCAAATGGAGCGCCTTGTAAGCGGTCGCAAAGAGGAAACATATTGGCCTGTTGCAGTTGCACAGGACAAGTTTCATTGTATCATTCTGAAAGGAGGTGATAAATACCCATATTTCCCTCGCCCATTGCTCAGTGAATTTGACTTCCGGATCCCAATATATGAAACACCAGGAAAAGGAGTCGGGGAACAAGAAGAAGGGTTTGCACAGAGTGGTGGTGGGAAATTTGAAGAAGCCTTTATTCGCGGCAGCGTTATGCTTTCACTTTTTCAGGATCTTCTAGGATCTACAAACGCCACGTCGACTCAGCGTGCCGAGTTGGCTAGGAAAGAGCTCGAGTTGGATAAGATCCTCTTGCAGATGTTAGCAATTGAATGTCGAGAAGGAGAAGAGCGAGGCATGAAGGCTTTGGAGTTAGTCCGGATGATGAAAGACCGCAATGGCAAGATGGTTGAGGCTGCCGTCAAGGTCGCAGAGCGATACGGCCGAGGCGTGTTAGAAGATAAGATTCGGGAATTGGCGGAGAGAAGATACATGGGGGAAGGTGACGACGATGAACTAGCTTGATAATCACTCTGTTATGCGTATGATGAACTGAGTTGATATCTATCAATCAATTGATTTTTGGCGCGATGCGTTCTATGAGATGTAAAATCAGTTGGGCTGACCAGTTGGTGGATGTTCCGTGGGCCGCGACGTCATTTGTGGAGGGAAAAGAAATATATCAATCTCGGTTTCTTTCCTAGCCATCATGTATGTACCTTCAACAACACAGGGCTTAGCAAAGGCTGCTGTCGTCTGGTGCAGCCTGGAATTCTCTTCTTATTTCTTTCTCTAAAGTCCTTTAATATTATTTTCAATGTGTGAGACCGAAAGCTTTACTCCGTGATGCTGAAACCAGTCCCTATGTCCGCAGCTCCATACATCATCACCACCAGGAACGCGTGGAAAGGGTCAGGTTCTGGTCAGCACCTCATCTCACCCCTCACACACCCTCTGGCTTCCTCACATCATGGTATCCTAAACGAACCCTGGCCGACATCCTTGTCATCAACGCTTTTCTCGCAAACGCGGTTTCGACCGTCGGTGTCGAATGGGCTGAACGGAAACTCTACCAATGACCGTAAACCACCGGATGAGCGGATCCTGAAACTGGGAAGAAGTGAGTTTTGTGCAAGCAATGTACGTCCCCACCTTATAATCCACATGCTGACCATAGCCTCAATCTCCGGTAGCGCTTCGAACCCTTTCTCCTCTCCTACCCACCCTCCTCATCAATCCGCTGCCTCCAAAGATCCTATCTCCCAGCGTCACTCTCCACCTCTTTCCATCGACGCACCCACATCTTCCCACTGTAAGAGGAAGGACCCTCTACCGTGCTGCCCTGTGGACCGTACCGGTGGCCTGGAGCAGCTTACCCTTGGTTGGAAATGTTAGGCTACAAGTACTAAGTGAACGCATTGTTCGCGCAGGAACAGCCTTGAATCCGGAACAATCTGGCGACAATGAGTGCGGAGATGAACGACTAGTTGTACGGTGGAAGACGGAACCCCGGGGCGAGGACCACCATTCTGAGACGTCGGCCGCCACCAGATCAACGAAAGCTAACGACCACATCGCATCGCAGGGGAACGGTCATCTTTCGTCGTCCAAGAATGGAATCAATAGAGGGTTGAGTGTGCTGTTGGGTGGCGACGCCCCGATCTTTCCGCTATCCAAGGAGGAACAGTTTACTGGGCTCTTTATCTTCTCATTTGACGAGGAGGGACGTATTTCGTCACATACGATTGAACATGCTGATGATGCTACTGGTTGGGAACGAACGGCCAAGTTCGTAACATTGACCGACTGGTTAATCGGGAAAGCAAGAGGATCTCTAGAGCCTGCGACTGGGCCTGGTTTGACGATGCAGAGCTGTCAAGGCTATCGTTGGCATTCAACGGACAGATATTGCTTACATCGCCGATCGTAGATGTGGCATTCCTATCTTTATCAGAGAGACTATGGCTAAAGGCAAGCTTAGAACTATGTGATACTAAGGGTGTCCACACCGATGATGCGGCGCAGCGAACATAATGCTTACAGAGTTAACAGGGTTGTCGAGTATCTCTCAATAGGTATGAAAGTTCAAACATATTGTATCAACACACATATAAACCATTGGCTATGTGGCATGAATCTCGATGATGACGTGGCTATTGAGCCCCTATTAACAGACACTCTCTACTTTACGATGTATTTTATACTTAGAAACCACCGAAAAATTCTGTGCGTATTCGCACTTCTCAATATAAACCCAGTAGGGTTTCTATGAAGCGAATTCAATGCCAGAGCGGATAATCCCGGCCACTGAGCCAGCAGTTAGCCGACCACTCAATCCATTAAGACTATCAGCATACTGTACGAGTTTCTAACCAAAGCAACCGCGTCATCGACATGCATGCCTATATGCACCAGTAACAAGGCCAGTGACGACATTCAGATCCTATCATCGTTTCTTCTTTAGAGCTGGTGGAATAGGAGGCGACTTCAACGTCGTAAACACCCCCACGCAAACAGCAAGCATCAAGAATCCTCCAGTGGTATAGGCAATCTCGCGGCCAACCCACCAAAAGAGTGAACAGAAAAGTAAAGGCCCCGTTGCGCGGCCCACCTGTCCCCAGCTTCTCAGCCGGCCCAGCACAGCGCCGCGCTCTCCTTCTGATGCTTCGAGGCTCCCCAGGCTGTTCAGCCCGGTTACTACAGTAGCGCTAGTGATGGCTAGAAATCCACTGGCAGCGTATAGCCCAGGTAAGGAAGAAACATGAGCAAGAAGGAAGAACGAAACGGTGCAAGCTACCACACCCGCACGGACAGTAATGAGCGGAGGTAAGCGTCGTACGACGGTACCCTGGAGCAAGGATGCAATGAGACCCATCATGGATAAGAGACGGCCATTTAGCGCGGAAGGGCTTGTTTTGTGCCCGGCGTAGAATGTTGCAGTCAAAAAGGGAAGGGAAAACTCCAAGCCCGAGAAAGGAAGAAGAAAGAGGAAATGAATCAGATTGAGCATAGCAGGGTTGTTGATATGCACGCGAGGTGTTGAACGACTTATTCCACTGCTCGCAAAGTTGGTACGGTTGGACTGGGGCGTAGCTTGGGTGAGCTTGGTAAGACGGGGGTGCGTCTCCGGAAGGCAGTGGTACAGGTAGAGTGTCTCAACGACGATTAGAAAGAGTGACACTCCCGCAGCTGTTGCAAATGGATTTGCAGCTACGGTCGTAATGTTGGAAAGTGCCGCCCCCAGCACTGGGCCGCATGTAAATGCAATGCTAAAGCAAGCGCCCACTAATGCCATGGTCGAGCCCCTCTGACTGGCATCGCTGATATCAGTGGCTATAGCATTAGCCAGCTGCACATTGCCTTCACTAAGGCCGCCAACAATGCGACTAGCAACAAAGGTGCGAAAGTCTGTGGCAGCTATCCAGAGCGCGACGCTAAGGGTATTGCCCGCCATAGAGTATAGAAGCGCCGTCCTGCGGCCATATCTGTCGGAGAGACGCCCGATAAATGGGGCGGCAAGAGCCTGAAGAAAAGAGAAAAGCGAGCCCAGGGCGCCTCCTAGAAGGACGATGTCATAGCGGGAGTCGATTGGTTTGGCAAAAGCGTTCTTGTAAGCGTTCAGATAGTGAAATATCCGATTCAAGAGAGACACAGGGGAAGGGTCTTCGTTGCGGTAGAAAGTCAATAAGGAAGGAAATAGCGGTAGAATGAAAGTGAAGGATATCTGGGAGAGGATGGTTAAAAATAGCGTAGTTAGATAGATAGGAATTGAAGGCTAGGTACCAAATCCAGAAGCAAAGATGTCATCAAGACCTTGAGGATCTTCTTCCGCTGATCAGCGGCTAGCGCCATAACGATTGATGGATGTGAATGAACGTTGGAAAAGGGGAAGAAAGAATGAAAAGAAAGAACGAGAGGAAGAAGAAAAGTCTAGTCTAGTCTAGTCTAACATGAAGATTTCTTAATCCCAAAAAGCTAGGGGAAGATGGTTTAAAACCGATGATATGATAGTTCTCAATTGCCCTTCCCTTGACTTATGTAATCGGCAAATTAACTCATACGGTAACGTAGCCGGTAAGCAATCCGGTCATCTCTGTATTCCATATAAAATAGTACATTGTTGAATAACGATATTTCAGTAAATTTATAATCTATCCCTTTGTAACTTTATATATAGTCTAATCTATACCATAATAATAAGCTATTAAGTTTACAGATTCTGATAATCTTTTATTATCAGAGTAATATAAATTACAGTATATTATATAGTATTATTTGTATATAGCTGTAATTTATATTTCTAGAATTTTAATTATACTAATATTCGAGATATATACAAAGAATCTATATACTAATACTGTGACAAATTAATAAATATATAGAATATAAGTTTGTTGAGATATCGATATTCAAAAATATGCTATTTTATATGGAATACAGAGGTGACCAGACTGCTTACCGGTTACGTTCGTTAGTTACTCCGTACTTAGTTAACTACATAACCAGGTTGCATGATTCGGCGAAGTACTAAGTATAGAATTACTTGGACTGATTTAAACAACTTGTACAGTGATATTCGCTGCTGGTCCCATTGACTAACTGCAAGCTTACCACACTGAAACCCATGTCCAGCCACACTTCCAACCCTCTTGAGCTGTCAACAGCCAGTCTCCGGCCAATCACCACTACGTCCAGCGGTCCAGCCATCATCCCCATGCGCCAACAAATTAAGAAAATAAATACAGAATCAGAGTGTTGGTTAGTTAAAAGCGCTGCCATGAGAGCCGCACTATCCACGAGAAGGAAGGGGGGAAGAGAAGAGATTAAAGAGCAATATACTATGCACGCTCAAAGATGCAAGACATGTACAACCAGGAACTGACTTTTGGAGTCAATCTTCCAAAAGAAGAGACCTAGAGCCAAGGAGGCTTGTAGAGACATTAGCCAATGTCTCTTCCCTCAGCCTTCCGACCCCTTGTTGTATGCATTTCAGAAGATTCGTTGCTTTCGTGACCCGTAACACCACCATTACCCATAGCCTATTAGATAGGAATAGCAAGACAGATAGAGAATGCAGAAGCCCACAATGACCGCAGTGAGAAAAAAGAGACGTTAAGGGAACCCAAGAAGCAGTGTCAGAAAAGTCTGGTGTATGGCAAAGCAGAAAGTGTGGGAACTGGTGACACTCTTGTAGAAAGCCTTATCCCGACCCAGGTGGTAGGCTCACTGACAATTCAAGCGCATCATCTACTGAGCCCCGGCAGGAGGTGTGACAGTGTTGCCATCAAGTCCGCCACGCCCGCGGCCACCACGACCTCTACCACGACCCCTGAAATCGCCACGTCCGCGTCCCCGAAACCCGTCACGTCCACGCCCGCCACGGCCACGGCCACGGGAACTCGGCTGTCTCTGATGATGCACGACCGCTTCGAAACCGTCGCTACCTTGTGATTTAGGCACAGTGACATTCTCAGCACCATTGCCCGTAGTCTCTTCTGCAGTCACATTGTTATCACCTGTGTCAGCAACTACAGGTGTAGCCTCAATGCCAGTATCAGTCTCGGCAGGATCACGTGGCACTTCAACCCAGCCATCGGTATTCGCCGAAGAGGCAAGAGAATCGCCCGTCTTGGGATTCCAGCTAGCCTCAGCAACAGGGTTAGCGGCATCGTCAACGAGTGTTTGCGCTGGTGGAGTGACCTGCTCGGGCTGGGATACAGCATTGGTGGGCTCGTTCACGGCGGGGTTTCCGGTGCCATAAGAGGAATCCTGGAGCTCAGTGTAACCCGCATTGGCCAAAGTAGGATCCGATTCGGGAGCAGTATCCGTGGTTACTTCTTCAGTTGCAGGGGCGTGCTCTTCAGAAGTCTGTTTCACTTTGCTATCTAATTGACCAGAGCTGTTAGAAACGAGTAATTGGGTCATTGGGGCTGCAGGTAGTTGTCTTACAGGTGATCTCCAGTGCCTCCCCTTCGACACTGACAACCTTGTCATCCGCACCATCAATTAGCTTTAACATCGAATTGACGGCCTCGTGCGACCCTCCATAAACCTGGTATAAGACACCCTCAAAGGCACGAGTCAGGTTGGAGGTTTCATCGCCAGAACGTCTCATGGTGGCAGCAGCACAGAGAAATTTGCTCAAGCTAAGCAGACGCTGTCTCAAGTCAGTCTGACTCGCTTTATTGGCCTCAGAGACAGCTTTCTCCTGGATTGCATCCAACTCCTCTTTGTGGGCCTTCTCTAACTCGGCCTGCTGCGTGGCCAGGCGTTGCTCGTACTGGGCTGCAAACTCCTTGTAGTTGGCGATCTGCTCTTCAATCTGAGCGATAGTGGCTTGCAGAGCGGGCTTCTTCAATGCCTGCGCCTTTTGGTCGGCATTGATCTTCTTCTCGGCAACCAGGTCATCAAGGGATTTTCCGGAATTCTCGGCAATGATGGCATCGACTTTAGCGGTCGCATTCTGTACAAAGCAATGTGAGCGGTAAGGGACACATGAGGGTAGTATGGGGCGTGGTCACTGACCAACTTCTTCACAGTATTGCGCAAGCTCCTATAAGCATACTCTTAGCTCCATATCAAAGTGCGAATGCGCAAGTCTTCATTTGAAATGGCAAACCTTTGCAGTTCTTTGAAGTACGGGCTGTCAATGCTATCCACGCCGTTGGCGGTCGCTCCATCTAATTTCGAACTAACCGAAGGAGTAGAAGTATGATTTTGGTTGAGCTTCTCCAAGGTTGACTCGGGCTGTGCCTGAGAGTTGCTGTTGTTGACAGAAGCGGCAGCCATGATGCTGAAAGATGACGTCTCTGGTAGTTTTCCCTAGAAGAGTGGACGCAATAGAGATATTGTTGACGATTACAAAGATTTGATATAGAAAGAAAATAGAAGAGAGATTTTGAGTATTTTAATATAACAAGGATAAAGGATGAATTAAAGACGTGTTGGAAGAAGAGCTAGAGAGCAGAGGTGTTCGAAGACGAAAAAGAAAGCTGGCGGTGCGAAAGATGCGGGTGGAACTCTTCCGAACCTCAGGCCGCCTCTGTCGCGTGCAGCTCAACAAAGCACCCAGAGCAACGCTCAGCCAGTAGGTACGCAGCTACCAAGTCAATGGCTGCAGCCTTAGGGCCGCATGTGTATCTTTTTAGGGATTACTTCTCTCTAAAGCCGATTGAACCAGGGAGAAGCGGGTGTGCCTGACATGAATTGGAATAGGTAGTCATAGAACAAATACATTGGGGTATCATAGTATAAACTCCTAACGCCTCCACATCCCTCATTCTTGTCCGAATTTGATATGACAAAACAGGGGAAAGGCAAACTAAGCGCCATAGTAGTACCTATTCCCATGTTCAACGCTAAACGATAGAAACCCAGCCATGGTATCATGTAGACTCTACCTCCCATGGTTCTCCGTGAGGGAATTCAGGGATATGTACAGTGCATGAAATGGCGTTGTATGATCAACCTTTGAACTTTCGTAATGTCCTCTAGAGGAAGATCATGATAGTGAGAAAAAAGAACTACAAGAACCACAAACACAGTAACAGATCAGAAACATACCTCGGTCACTTTTTGGATGGAATTTGGGCCAATATTTTTGTCACCAGTTTTGCGCGAGCGAATTGATGCTTCGCGTACCAATCTAAAAGGATCCTTTAGTATCAAATTCATAATCGGATTCTTGCCAGTCATTGCACATTATCTTCCAACTTGTGGCCCGTACATAGCAAGTGGGCTAGTAAATAGCAATAATCACTCACTCCTGCATGAAAAGCATATAGTCCAGGAAGATCTATGATATCGTGAAAGCAGCAAGTTACTATCACTGCCACTTTTCTGGCTATTCAGAGCACTTACCAGTATATCAGCATTCTTGCTCACATTGCGATTTGACTGAGCTTTGACAATACGCTTCACCGTTCCGCGCGGATAAAGCTTTTGTGTGGTGGCCATTGTTACCGGTGATGTCGAAGAGAGACTAAGTATACTTAGATGAAACAGGCGGCAAAGACGATGGTCTGTTGATGTTAGTGGATCACCATAGCAAACCAATTTGATAAGCTTCGGCTTGGCGTGTTTATGTAACATGTTTTACCAATATATTGCACGGTTTTGAAACCATATACCCATGTAATTTACAGTACACATAGTTAACTAACACTTCAGTCGTTACATAATACCCAAAGTAACTAACGTATTCGGTAAGCAGTCCGGTCATGTAAGCAGTCCGGTCACCTCTGTATTCCATATTAAATGGCATATTTTTGAATATCGATATCTCAACAACTCTATATTTTATATATCTATTAATTTGTTACAGTATTTATGTAGATAGTCTCTATATATATCTCGAATATTAGTAGAAATAAAATCTTAGAAAGATAAATTACAGCTATATACAAAAGATACTATATATTACAGTATAATTTATTTTACCCTGGTAATAAAATATTGTTGATATCTATAAATTTGACAGATTATTATTATAGTATAGATTAAACTATATATAAAGTTACAAATGGATAGAATATAAGTTTGTTGAGATATCGATATTCAAAAATATGCCATTTAATATGGAATACAGAGGTGACTGGACTGCTTGCATGACCGGACTGCTTACCGAATACGTTAACATAACCGGCAACCGAGCTTTCCACCTCTATCTTCTATATAAAATAGCTCTTTTTATAATCTAAATATTCCAACAGTAGTAATGATACAATACTCAATTTATTGAAATATAGAATATATACTTTATTTATTAAATTATATGTATTTTTTATATATATTTTAAATCCTTGTATTATAAGATTTAATAAAATATACAAGAAATATCAAGAATATAACTATTTTAAAAGAATTAAGAATCTTTTATTTAGTCTACTTAAAATTTATATAGTTCTAATATTTTAGAATCAATTATAGTCTCTCTAGGCTTCTTATTATTATAATATCCAAAGTATAAAAGTGGTCATTTTATATGGGATACGGGACTGGAACGCTCGCTTGCGTGGAACGTTCGCTTGCCGGCTACGTTAGTGATCATAAACCGGTAAGCGGCTGAGTCACTCAAGTAACTGGGTACGTTAACTACCGCAGTAGAGCATGGACTCAACTTCCACTACATATTCGAGATCATATACAGATTCATTATTATGTCCATACAACAATACTTAGTAATATACAATCATTTTCGGCGTCGGAATAGTTTCCATGCGTAAATCGCAGCTAAGGAACCTATGGCAGCTCGCCACGCCAAGAGAACCTGAATAGCAAACCTGAGTTTGGCATAATAACCTTTAAGCATAATACCAACAGCATGTGTATCCCGTTCCAACTCTCTAGTTTTAGACGACCCATAATACGTGTCAACTCCTAGACCCCCGATGTCAACTTCATTAGGGAAACGGTTCGCGTCCGCAGCATCATTATCGTCGGTTGCAGTCACAGCAGATGTTTGACTGCCCACCGCTGTGTTGCTGGATTGCGATCCAGACTTGGCCCGGAGCTTGTTGCGCTTCCGTAGGCGATAAGTTAGGATGCTGGTAATCAGTCGTAGATCGGGGGAGGTAAACGTAGGGTACTCCCACAGCTGCACGGCTGTGTGAGGCGGGAGCATGTCTAAGAAGTCAGCTAGAATACCAAGAGTCAACCCCCATAGAAGAAGGGGCTGAGTTTGGTCCTCAGGATTAGCTCGGTTGCCCAAGAACCACGTCCTTAATCGTTGCATTAGAGATGGTCCTCGGCTATTCTTAGCGGCAACTTCAAGCGATAGGTTGCACTGAAGGCTTTCAGTTGGTCTTAGCCGGACAGCGGAAAATTCCATAAGGCCCAAGATGTAGCGAGAAGTGAGACGGGTAATGAATCCAGACGTCTTCGCATAGCGCTGCGAAATATCAACATACTCCACCGTACGCTGCGAAGGGGAAAGGAGAGCCCTGAGAGGAACCCAATGGGTTGATGCAACCTCAGTTGGCTGTAGTCGGAGGGTCGGGGAATCACTGCATGTTAGAAGGAAAACATAAGGGCAAAGAACCATCAAGCTTGGACCAACACCATCAGTAGCTGAACTGAGATAGGCTATAGAAGAAGAAAACGTACGGCACGGAGGTCCAACCAGTAGATACAACACGCTCTGGTAAATTTCCAACATATATATACTCATCCGCCGTTAAGTCGAGTCCTACTTCCTCCGATGCTTCCCTAATAGCAGCAGCTTTGTCGTCCGCATCTTCTGGATCTCGCTTCCCCCCTGGTAGAGCAACATGACCAGTCCAGCGATCTCCCACACGGGAAGCTCGCTTAATGAAGAGAGCCTCGGCATCACCTTTTTGAACCCAGTCCTGAGAGAAAAAAGTATTCAAACGTTGCTTGACTGACGCAGTGTTGTTCTCTTGTGGAGAGGGAGGCGAGTGTTGCGAATCGGGCCAGTGGTTATGCGTAGGTCGAACTCGAAGGACAAGGGCCACGGAGGCACGTTTCTTGCATGCTGGCGGATTGGGGACATGAGGATACGGATGGTCATGGAGGTACAGCAGTACATCATGAAGGGAACTGGGGAGTGGAACTGCTTCCAACAACTCGGGCTTCGGTGTCTCCATCGAGATCAAACATCCAGGTACATGAGGCCACCTCTACCAACTAAGCAACGATATTTCAGCTAAATAGGCATGGAAACACAATGGTTAAATTAGCAAAGTAGTTGGGGCCAGTATGTAGGGAGGAGAACAGAATCGGGAAATCCTTATCGGCACTCAGGTCTATCAGTATCGGTAGTGTGAGTGTGAGGTATCAGAATAATAGAACCATGCCGTAGCGTATTCACAATACGTACTCTGTACACGGTTACCATCCAGCGGGTCCAAACGTCATCCATTGCCGTGACTGGCCCATTGGCGAGTGTGACACCTTACCAAAAATGGAAGGAAAGCTTTGCACGTGCGTCCAGACGCCATTGCGATAGTATGGACCATATGGACTAGTATGCCCCGGGGGTAGGAGAGGTACTACTAGTAGTCGGACTAACACCTACATGACACTATAATTGCAGGAAATTTGGTCCACTGAAATTTTTTTTCTCATTCTTTGCCACAGCTTCAGATGGAGTGAGTGAGCAGTGATCTATCTTATATCTCATTTTTCTCAGTTGTTGTCATCGCCTTCTATCCCTTCGAACTTCATTACCGAGTACTCTTCCCCACCACACTCGCTTCCACAAACGGTGCAAAGCCGTGTCTTGACCACCATGCGCTTTGGTAAAACTCTTAAGAATTCAATTTATCCCCCATGGAGTGGGAAGTATATCGATTACCACAAGCTCAAGGTCCTCTTGAGGGAACATGATGTCACCGGAGATGGCAGTGACTCGGACACTCAATGGACGGAACAGGATGAGGAAGCTTTTGTCCAAGAACTGATCAACGTTCAAGTGGACAAAGTCAACGCTTTCCAAGTGGAAACCTCTCAACAGTTGAGGGAACGTACTTCTGCTTGTGAAACTAAGCTGCGGCCACTGGCACCCTCTGACGAAAACGAGGCACCTACTGTAGTCGACGAAAATGAGAGAATGACTATCGCTTCCGAAGTCCTTCATGAACTAGATGGTATCACCAAAGAAGTGAGCGAGCTCGAGAAGTACAGCCGTATCAACTTCACTGGTTTCCTCAAAGCTGCAAAGAAGCATGATAGAAAACGAGGAGCACGGTATCGTGTCAAGCCTCTGCTTCAAGTCCGGCTATCGCAGTTGCCATTTAACTCGGAGGACTATTCGCCCCTAGTCCGCAGGTTGTCAGTGATGTATTCCTTTGTTCGTGAAATATCGAGTCAGGGTGTTGCTGAGCCCAGGGATGTGGAGGCGCCTCGGTTCGGCCAAGACTCATATTCGTCATTCAAGTTCTGGGTACATTCCGATAACATTTTAGAAGTCAAAACTTACATCCTTCGACGGCTGCCGGTCCTCATTTATAACCCTGGCACTTCTAAGGAATTGGAGACACTTCCAGACGACCCTACAATCACCTCCCTATACTTTGACACCCCCCAATTCGATCTATACACTCAAAAGGTCGCACGTGCACCAGAGGCTAGCTCTTTGAGGATTAGATGGACTGGAAATCTGAAAGATAAGCCTGCCATTTACCTGGAAAAGAAGGTCGTGACCGATGACGATCGCAGTAAAGAGGTGAAGGTGCAGCTGAAGCAGAAGCACGTGAAAGAATTTCTCGACGGCGAATATCGATTTGATAAGAAGCTCCACCGGATGGCCGACATGGGAAATGGAGAGTCAGAGCAGGCAGAATCTCTCAAGAGAGACGTGGATGAGCTGCAATCGTTCATAAAGGAGCACCAGGTGCAACCCATGCTGCGAGCCAACTATACTCGCACGGCTTTCCAAATTCCTGGCGATGATCGGATCCGCATCTCGCTCGACACGAATTTAGCACTAATTCGGGAAGACTCTTTGGATGAAGAGCGACCCTGTCGTGACCCGAATGAATGGCACCGTACTGATATCGACAATATCGGTATGGGATATCCCTTCAGTACCGTACGAACAGGTGAAATCGCGCGCTTCCCATATGGTTTGCTGGAGATTAAGTTGAGGGGGGAGTCTGCACATAAAGCTGAATGGGTCAATGACCTGATGGTTTCACACCTTGTGAAGGAGGCCCCGCGGTTTTCTAAATTTGTCCACGGCGTCGCACAGCTTTTTGAAGACTATGTCAACAGCTTTCCTTTCTGGCTTAGTGAGATGGAAAATGACATCCGCCGGGACCCTGAAACCGCGTTCCAGCAAGAGCGAGAAAGAATTGCAAAACGGGCGGAAGATGACATGGCAGTTGGAAGCTTCCTTGGAAACAGGGCGAGCCCGTCTGTAAAGCCCTTGGTGGGATCCCCCATCTCTAGGTTACCGGACGTCGAAAGTTCCTCACGCTCGAGGCCCTCTCCACAGGTAGCACCGTCCTCCAGGCCATCTGCCTCAGAGGGCGTCTCTTATGAAATACCTGAATCACCGGAGCAAGAGGACCGACCTGTGACCCTGTCCCGCCTGGCTGCCTTGTTCCCAACGTTTTCTTTTTCACGTGCAAATCGCGTGCAGCAGGCTTCGGTTGCTTTGCCGCCGGGTGTACGGGAGCCGGGTACATGGATCAAGGATTCTGGACCCGTCAAGGTTGAAAGCAAAGTGTGGCTTGCCAACCAGCGGACCTTCATAAAATGGCTTCACGTCAGCATCCTTCTTTCATCGCTCTCCCTGGGTCTTTATAACGCTGCAGGCAAAACCAATGACATAGCTCGCGCCCTCGCTATCGTCTATACTTGCTTTGCGATCTTTTCCGCTGCCTGGGGGTGGTACATGTATGAGAAGCGCGCTCGACTTATCCGCCAACGAAGCGGGCGAGATCTAGACAATACTTTTGGGCCGATAGTTGTGTGTATCGGATTGGCCGTAGCCCTTGTATTGAACTTTGCTTTCAAGGTAGGCGGAACCCCTCGATGGCTATTTCATTCAGACTAATGGCTAACTTGTGGTTCAGTATTCTTCCACCCTAGAGAAGCTCAGACAGGAGCAGCCTTCTCACACCGATATGCCTTCTTTAGTCAATCAAGGTGGACATGCACTCTGAAATCTGCTATTCTAGCTGAAGTAATTCCAATAATCAGCCTATCATCAATCGAAAAAGACAAGCAGCGGACAAATTTTCGGTACAGCTACCCAAGTCTACCAAGAACAGAAGTTTTTGTATATTTGACGTTGTGGGGTATTCTAACAACAAAAGGTTTAAGGATGAATGAATGAACAGTGATGCTATTCGAAGGTGTTATAGGCAACAAAAAAACCAGCAAGGTGGAATAGTCAGAAATCTCACTGACCGTTCAGTACATTTAACCCACGAAACTGTATTACCAACTGGAGGATGTCACATGGAAGGCTACGTACACTCACATTGTCTTACTGTTATTCCAGGTGTATGTTAATTATGCTTCTTTCCCTTGAATCCAATATCTCGAAATGGCCAAGTTTCTCTCGTAGTTAGAATTGTCTAGAAATTAGTGTAGATCATTATTGGGTCCAGGTATATCTTTTTGGAGAATGCTGTTCAAATATGGTGAAGCAGGGAACCAGAGTTCACGTATATTTCCAACATGCAGGTCCCTCAATTAGGTGGGCGCGCTCAGGGTCCCGATTCTGTATCTGACCCTGTAAACTTTCGGGTGTTAGGATGTCTTTTCTTTGTACAGGTGGGGTTTAAAGCATGCTTGGGACGTAGCCGTCGAAATTGGTTCTGACTCAATGGTCAATATTGGATCGAGTGGCGTGGAATATGGACCATGATGGTAGTACATACCGGTCGAGGAACCCACAAAATAACCAAAGATAGATAGTCCCCAGGAATGCAATAGTCCACTCAAAAATCCCTGCCTTTCGATAGCCTGCAATTTCCTCCGGTACGGTCAGAGAGATGAAGGCCACTCCTAGGAAGGCTTCTGTAATGATCATGTTGAGAGAGAGGCACTAATTCCGGGGATCAGTCTTGCTTTTGATAACGGAAGCTAAGAGTAAAAGATGCGACAAGTAGCAGCAAACGAGAGGGCCAAGTTAAAGGTACAGGAACAAAGTTCACGTACAAGACTCTAACTCGTAAACTTCTCCCCCAATCGTGTTGCCATATACCCAGGTGGTAGACGTATGACACAAACCCGAGTACCTCGTTCGAATATACGATGGGCGTACAGGCAGCTTGTATCGCCAGACCAGCGAAACACACCTGGAGGAAGAGGTGATGTACGCTCTTATACTGAAAGGTATCCATGACCGCCAAAAAAATCAGGGCGATACTAGCCACGCCGGCAGCGAAGATGGCTAACAGAGAGATAAATTTTAAGGTTCTTGTAGGTTCATGATCCTCTTCATCCTCGCTGTAGGAGTCCTGCTGGTTACAGTGACTATGACACGAACTGCTATGCCCAGGAAGATCATGGCCGCCATTGTCATTACGGTTGTCGGTTACAGGACATTCCACCAAGGCGAACCCCGGCTCATAGCGCACCACATGGACCGCAGCAACGGTGGTCACGAAACCCACGGCTGTAATAGAAGCGCCAACGAGAAAAAGTGACTTCAACTCGAAAGATGCTATGTCAGAGATGAAGCTATCTCTGCGTTAATACGTTATACGAAGGTCTAAGACGAGAAAGCAGGAAGCTACGAATGCAACATGCCGGTTACTCTGTCCCAGGTATCGTGGGCGAGCCATATTGACAGTAGGGACGCCAGAGTCAGAAACCAGACAGAGCCTGCCAACGCCAGGAAGAGAGCGAGTCGATTGAGGGGAATGCTGAGAATGAAGACATGAAGAAAAAACCGGGCTGAATCATGACAGCAAAGGATGGGATTTGTGCTCATTGAGACTTGGCACGGCACTTATAGCTCTGCAGATGTGGCGTGCATTGGAATCCATTGACAGGCAGTGAGTCGAAAGAGAAGACAGTAATAGATGCACAAAAAGTGATAATAAAAACTATACTCCCACTCCTTATGACCCAAGTCGGTTGATGTGCTTACCTATTTCCTGATCCGCAAACTAACGAGCAGAATCTGCAGAGGAAATCGACTGGGCGGATTTAATGGTTCGATCCTCTTTTTATTTCGTTGACTTCCCCGGATTCCCTTTTCAAGTTGTCATTCTTTAGATGCAAGATGACATCAGCGGTGGAAAACAAATCACAAAGTACTACTAGTAGTAGTAATACTCTATACCAGTTTAGAGGTCAGCTTACCTACTGCGTGACCTCTTTATGCCTGAGTCATGGTTATACGTGGATATCCATAACAATTGAGACACTAAGTTTGTAAAGTAGCAAACTTCGCTCATACTCTTTCTTGTATATCTACTGTAATGTAGGTACTAGTTAGTTATTAGTAGTACTAGTAGTTAGTTACTCAGTGATCTATACTTGCTGACAAATCAGGTCTGATTTTTAAACTAAGATAACTAACTAGTCAACCAACTAACTAACTATGATGTTTAGTAAGTATATATATATAACTAGTTAGTTATGTCTCTTTCATACCCATCTCTTAGTAAACCCCTACTACATTTCTTTGATCTGATCTATGATATATCATAAACTGGACCATTTGAATATACTATAGCACTACTACTACTACTACTACTACTACTACTACTACTACTACTACTACTACTACTACTACTACTACTACTACTACTACTACTACTACTACTACTACTACTACTA